TAGCACTCTCCTTCCGAGCGAGCTCTTTGCAAGTTTCCACGACCTGGTCGACACACACCTGCTTGGCCGCCTCGTCCATGGCCGGCCACGCCTTCTCTAGTGTCTCTCCTGGTACGCGAGTCGTGATCCAGATAGTATCGCCCGTTGAATTCATCGTGATATAAGACGCGGGGGATGGAGCAGGTTAGCGTAAACCCGTTAACGGGGTCATGAATATGGCGCAGAGTTGTGTGTGTTCGCCGGTTGTATTTGGTAAGGACACCTTCTACACTTTCAAGAAGGCCTCGCCGATTCTCCAGGCCGCGTTTGCATCACCCGCATGGTGCACTACTTTTCCTGGACTCGTGGGTGAAAGTGGGCGGGTTTGGGGAAATGGTTGTTGGCTTGCTAGCTTGGAAATGGTGTAGAACGCGCTGGCGCCATCACTCCAATATGGCCCAGGCGATGGCGCTGCAGGCTGCAGAGAGATGCGGAGTTTATCCACCATGGTCCATGAATGGTCGTCAATCTCAAGAATGGACTCCCGAACTGGCCGAGGGGGAGGCGTATCAGCTGCCATTGAGGTGTAGAAGTGGAGGGTGGATCAGTTCTTTATAAGATGAGAAAATAGTGTCGTGGACACAGAACGCACAGCATCCCAGTCCTCGAGGGCAGTCATCGGCGCAGTACCTGTGTACTTCTTATATACCCGCGTAGACTGATTTAAATATATAGATTTGATGTATCCCAAATACCTGTGCTCTTTGATATCAATCCCTCAAGGCTCGGGCAACATCAAATCTCCCTCGGGCAAGCATTCTGACCATCTCTCCTCTGTCGCAATGCTACTATGGAGCTTCGCACATCTCGCAAGCCCTTAGCTGGGAGCCCTTCTGGTTGTAGAATCCATAGCACCATGTTCTGTGGCTGAGGAATGAGATGGAGGTGGCTTTGGCGCGTTTCAATTGAGGGGTTTCCAACTCGGTGTCCAGCTTGGGAGTCTTTCAATTCGCTCGCTTTCTCAGCTGAACACTACCAAGTAGTGCAAATAAACGAGGCGCTGAAGGGGCAGTTCCGAAGGATCAATAGAAATCTATTGATAGCCTTCCTTGTGTTTCTACCTCTACCGCCGTATTTGCGTATTGCACTGACGTACACTTAAGCATAGATCGGCTCCCTCATAGTTTTGCCGTCTGGTGAACCGCCACTTGCCACTTGATCTAGTCCATTTAATCCATTTAATCCATTTGATCAATCCCAACCGAACTCTGTTTCAACGCCTGAACACCGAGGCCCTCACTATTGCCATTAACCATTAATAGTGAGAGGTCAGGCAACCACCAAAAAGAACACTCGAGTGACGCCACTGTCCACGCAATCATCGTCTCGTGCCAACCCATTTGTTCGCCTCCATAACTGATTGCGCCTCGGAAAGCAAGCATTGTTGAGGGGGCTCAATTCTTTATCCTTTTTTTTCCCCTTCCGCCTCGTTTTATTACTGAGCGTCGACTCCATCTCCTCTGGAATCTATCCTCCTATTCTATTTATCCCACCCATTCTTTCATTCCTGTTTCTTTTGCAGAAACATACCCCTCCTTCATTACAGGTTGTCATGCCGCCTATCAACCATGTCGCCGTCTCAGCCGGCATAGCGGCAGTCACCGTCGCCGTCGCAGCAGCAATGGCCCTCTACGAAAATGAGGACGTCCGGCGCTACGCCGACCAGATCCGCCGCCGCCTCGCCATAGTCCTACATAACCTGGGCAACGAACTCGACCCGGGACAAACGGGCGACCTCGAGCCCCTCTTCAACAGACCCGAAGATGCCGAAGGTTTTCTCATGTCCTCGCGAGGCGCCCTCGAGCCTGCCGTCGATGCTGACGAGGAGTCGAGGAAGAGACAAAGGGAAGAATTGATGTATTGGAACGCTCTGCGGGAATCGAAGCTGGAGTCCGAGAAGTCTGCGACGGAGCCGCCGGCTTCGACGAGACCTAGGGGTGTGAGCTTTGATGATTTCTTGAAGCCAGACGAATCTGGGGAGACTGGGACATTTGTGATTAATTCCGGTTCCGATGCCAATAATCGAGGCGGACTCGTGAGGAGAAATGTGGTAGGTGCTGCCGAAGCTGGATATACGAACCCCTTCTCCGACGAGCAGGAGATCCATGACGAGAGGCTCGCCGTATCGATGCTCGCCCCTTCGGTTGACGAGATGTCGGACATCTACAGCGCTACGACCGCGGACCTTGCCGACGAGAAGAAATACGCCGGCGTTCCCGCTTCTCCCCGGCCCGTCGAGGAGTCCTCCGCTGCGCTAATCGACTTCGCCAGCGACGACGGCTCGGAGAGCACCATCTCAGGCACCATGGAAGAATCCGCCACCGGAGAGAAGCTGCAGCGATCCGGCTTCGGCGAACCCGCCGATCCCCGCTTCGGAGAGAGGGCTTCCATGCTTTTCAGCGACATTTCCGCCTGGGCCGAGGCGGCGAATCAGACCAGCCGCCCCGCTTCGCCCGCGAGCTCCTTCACGAATGCTGACCTATCTGACGGACAGCTCACCCCCGACGATGGCATGTCCATCGCTAGCGCGGACGTTAGATCGGATGCCGGCGTTGCTGAGGGAGTTGACGGTGCGTATCAGAACACTTCGGATGTTGAGAGCAATCACTATGATGTGCGGAGTGTCAGCGAGGGTATGTTCACCCCGGCTAGCTGGTCCGAGGTTGGAAGCACCGTTAGCGAGGACGATATCCCCGTGCCTGTCCGCCAGTAAATACGGTTCCCTGCCCGCACTACATGAGGCCGAACCGTGGTCTCTTTATTCTCCTATTTTCGTGATCTTGTTTTTTTTCTCTCCCCGTTTTTATTTATTTTCATTCCCAGGTCCCGGCGTTCTACGGAAATTACTTTTATTTCACTGGTTGGATGGGATATCACGGGTATACGGAAACAATTCGGATCAATATCTTAAGGACTACTCTTTCTTCTTCCTCATTTCCTTCCTGCGCTGTGGCATATCTGCTCTAGCTGCGTTGGCGTGTGTAGACTTATACTAAAAAAACGCTGTGGTTGAAAAGAATAACAAAATAAAATCGTCGTTCAACCCTCAAGGCGCTGGCTGACCATTGTCCTCAATTGAATAAGCTCCGCACGCCGAAGGTGGGCCCGAATCTCCGCGAGGAGGGCGGGAATCCTCTTATCCATTGGAGGCCAGGGTGTAGGCTCGTTTTCCGGGATGCTTGAAATCTGAATTTCGGGGCCGGGGACCGTCGGGCTCTTGGGGGTTCCCTAGTCTGGCAAGTTCGGCGACGTTACCACTCCCGAGTCGACATCATCATCATCATCATCCTCCCCCTCGGCACAGTAATCCTCCCAAAGCTCTTGCACCGTTGCCCCAAACAACTCCGTCCAAAACTCCTCCTCGACGTACTCAACCGCCCTCAACTTCCCATTCACGCTCGCCACGGTTCCCTTCCCGAACCTCTCCTCGAGATAGTCCAAGAAGTAGGCAGTGCAATCATATCCTCTGTCCCAGTTCTTGTCCCTTCTCGCCTTCCTCTTCTCATCCCTCTTCCAATGTGGCGGCGCCAAATCACATCTCAGCCGGACCCAGTCGGCAATTCCTTCAATGAGACCTCCGGGGCATTTCCCTTTCCCGTTATACTGGTAGCAGTGGACGAGTTCGTGCGTTAGTACGCCGGTGATTTCGGAGGCCACGCGAGAGGCGGGCTTGATGTTGGACACGTAGGAGAGAGAGAGGTGGATTTCCTTGTGATCGACGTCGAGGTCCGTGGAGGTGGTGTAGGCTACTCCGGACATGGGGCGGAGTACCACGGTCACAGAGCGGGTGGGGGGAGCGGGGACGGGATTCTTCTTCGGGGAAGAGTAGAGAAGGCCATGGATGGAATAGATTGCGGGGAGGAGAATCTCGGCGACATTCAGGGATTGTAGGAAGAGAGAGGCTCCCGGATGAGTAAGATCACGGATTTCGAGGCGGAGTTTGGGGCTGGGGCATTCGGGCGGTCTGGAGCTGGGAGCTGGTGAGGCTCCATTGGAAGGACTCTCAGCGGGTTCGGCTGGACTTGGAGCTGCGGTACTACCTGGCGTAAAGATGGGCTCCGAGCCGTTCGACGACGCCGGGAATGCTGCTGAGGGCCCCATGACGTTGGATATAAACGAATATCACGGTTTTAGAGAATGGTGAGGTACGAGTGAATGTTACGATGTTGGAAACGGTGAAGTCTGTTGGTAGAGCGGACTTGATAAATAAATGCGGGTTGATGTCCGGGTCCGCGGGGTCAGGATAGATCAAACCAAGGTTGCAGAAGGTCTAGGACTTAATGATTGAATGAAGTGAAGTGTCTAGGACACTGACAGCCCCGACAGCTACAATCCTACGAGCCTTATGGTATTCTGTACTTCAAACCAGAATTGCGCCTTCCAGACGATCGAAGAGCAGCTTCCTTCGTTATTCCCCAGTATCAGTCTCAACCTTCCCTTTCAGGGCAACAAAGAGGCACACGACCCTGAATATGCTTATATAACCAAGACCCCTCGACTTGTCCAGACTTGAGACTTGACCCGCCTGGCGTCATTGTTTATCGATAAAAGAGGCGCCAAGATAAAGGATCCGCTTTTTACAGGGCCTTGGCGGATGCGTACCTTTGTACGAAGTACCTTTGTACCTTTGTGGGCGCTCGGGGCAACAGCGACCTGCTTCGCCCCTTGTTGTTTTTTCCCTTTAAAAAACATCCCCTTCGCGGAGAATAGTTGCAGGACTGCATGACATGACAAAACCCGCTTCCAGAGCCAGACTCCATCCGACGGTCTCGAGCCATTTTTGATACTACATGAATCAATAACCCCGCTATACCATCTATATCTCAGCTCACTGCTTTTCCGAAGTCGAGCTGGTCCTTTCATATTACATTGTTCGCTCTCGATAAATACGGGACGAGGCTGTTGATTAACCGCATTTCTTTTTTTCAATCCGTCACCGCTGCCAAGTTTGGCAATCTCGCATGATCGACTCAGGACATATATACCCGCGCCATAACGACAGCATCAACTCCCCCTCTAGGTCCACGGGCACGGAGGCCACAACTCTGATCGAAGCATTGACATACTCATCGTCTACCGTACGGACGAATCAACAACAATAACACAAGTAGAACCTCCCTTCCTGGGACCCTCTTACCCCCTTTATTTCTGCAGATGACGGATAAGATCTCGGACAAGCAGGTCGCCGACCTAGCGACGCTGCTCCTAAAACACGATGCCTCGACAGACACCAAAGTGAACGCCGTCAACGCCGTGAAGTCTGGTATCAAGCAGCACAACGTCCCTGAGACGTGCGTACCACAGCTCTTCGACGTCCTCCGCAACGCCTCTGTCTCGCAGCATGCCGCCCTCGTCAACGCCAGCTTCAGCTCGCTGAACCACTTACTCACCCGGCTCTCGCGCCAGGAGCCCAAGTTTATCAGCAAGGAAGCCATGCGCACCATGCCTGTTATCATTGAGAAGCTCGGCGATCAGAAAGAGAAGATGAGAACTCTGGCTACGCAGGCCATGACGACTGTGTATGGAGTTGCGCCGGCTGAGGTGGAGCGGTCGGTGAGGAATACGGCGATGTCGGGTAAGAACCCGAGGGCGAAGGAGGCGAGCATGCATTGGCTTGTAACGATGCACAAGGAGCAGGGGTTGCAGTTTAGGACATATGTTCCGCTGCTGATGGATCTTTTGGAAGATGCTGACGGGATGGTGAGGGATGTTGCCAAGGCTACGGTCATTGAGCTTTTCAAGTAAGATGCCTTTGTAATTTATCCTAGGTTCCGGCGTATGAGCCTGGGCGGAATATGTTGCTGACTTTTCCCTTCTACTTCTAGGACCGCACCTGCCGCAGCCAAGTCCGACCTCAAGCGACAGCTCAAGAACTTCAAAGTCCGGCCCGCCATTGAGCAGGCCATCGTCAAGGCCCTCGCGCCTACTGGCGGTGAAAGGTCTGAAACTGCGACGCCGAGCCTGACGACGAGCGTATCCTCTCTTTCTGCTGGTGACCGTCCAATCACTCCCATGTTCGAGGGCAAAGCCGACGCCGTTGAGCCGACCTACGTCAACACCCAACGCGAGCTAGAGGAAATCTTCCGCGAGATGGGCTACCACTTCGAGGGTAAGGAGACGGAACAGAACTGGATGAAGCGCGAGGAGGGCATGGCGACTCTGAGGCGACTTCTTGTCGGCAATGCCCCGTCCGACTTCCCCGATGCCTACCTTAATGGCGCGCGCGGGCTGCTGGATGGAATCATCAAGGCAATGAACTCGCTGAGAACGAGCTTGTCGAAGGAGGGGTGTGCTTTCGTCCAGGATCTCGCCAACTGCTACGGCCCTCGAATTGATCCCATGGTGGAGCTTCTGATGCAGACTCTGCTCAAGCTGTCAGCCTCGACCAAGAAGATCAGCTCGCAGCTCGCCAACACAACGATCGATATTATTCTCAGCAAGGCGACTTTTAATAACCGCCTGCTGCAGCATATTTCGTCGGCGTACGCGGACAAGAACGTCCAGCCGCGCCTGTATGCCACTGGCTGGCTAAAAACCATCATAATAAAGGAGGAGCAGCACAAGGCGCAGATTGAGCACTCTGGCGGGCTTGACTTGATTGAGAAGTCGATTAAGAGGGGTCTGGCTGATGCCAACCCTGGCGTGAGAGAGAAGACCCGAGCGACCTATTGGACTTTTGCTAAGATTTGGCCAGGAAGAGCTGAATTGTGAGTTCGATCAATTTTTAAAGTCTCTTCATGTATGTTTCGGAGTCATCATACTAACAACCACCTTGTGGATAGGATCATGGAAGGCCTTGACAACACGGCGCAAAAATTACTCCAGAAGGATCCAAACAACCCCAACTCTCCCAAGAAGGCAACAACGACAACTACTGCTCGACCGGGTCTTGGTCTATCGAAGAGCACGATGGGATCCTCCAAGTCTTCGCTGAGAGAGACGGTGATGGCTGGACGGAAGGCGCTGGGTGCCACGAGGAATGTTCCGGCCCGGCCTGGTTCGGCCATGTCTAGTTTTTCGCCGGTGCGGACTGGCGCCAGCTCCGCCGCACCAACCCCCGCTAGCTCCAAGCCTGCCCAACACCGCCTACGGCCAGAGTCTACGCTTGCCGTAAACTCGGGTGGCATGTCCGCGGCACCCACGCGACCAACTAGGAGGCGCGCCGAGCTCGCTGCTAGACCTGCTACGGCCGGGCCGTATTCGGTTCGGTCCCACGGCGGACCATCGGCGGAGGCGAGTAGCCCCGTTGATACCGTGAAATCGACTAGGAGCGTCGCGTCGAAGCCGCCGACTACTAGCTCGCCCCGGCGCGTCGCGCAGCGACCCCGTCCGGGCCACACTTCCCACGCGAGTGAATCGAGCATTCCTTCTCCTACCAGGGCTGCCTTCTCCAAGCCCGCCTCTCCTCAAACTACGCCGGTGAAACTTAAGAAGGCCCAATCTAGCCCATGGTCGGCCAATAGCGCGGATAGGGCTGAGGAGCTTACTCTCGTTGTTCCGACTATTGGAAGCCTGAGGACGTCTCCGCCCAGGGTCGTTCCTCCTATGCCGAGCCCGATTCCCGAGACACCTACTCAGGTCGATTCAGAGAATATTCCTGCATCGACCACCCCGAAGGACGCATCCCCACCAAAGGCGTTGCAGGTCTATGAGGATCCGTTCGTCGAGGAGCAAGAAGAGACGCCCAAACCCGCATTTACTGGTACTGTTCTCGAGGATCGGCCCATCAATGAGAACGTGGTGCCAGCGGCACCCCTCCCTCCTTCGGATGGTCAGGTTCCAGACGAGCCACCACCGTCCCCCGAAAAGTCCCGCCAGAACTCGCGGCTCCTGGAGAGCGGCATCACGCGTATCAAGGCTAAGTCTCTCGATGTGCACGGCTTCAGGAAGCTGCAGTCCCTGATCCGCGACAACAAGGCCGTCTTCACGGGCGATAAGTTTGAGGCGCTGCTCCTCGGGCTCTTCGAGTTCCTCCAGGACCCTCTCGAGAACACGCCCCGAGAGAAAGTGCCGGACGTCAAGGCTCAGATCCTCGCCACCATCAAGCTCCTCCTGAAGAAGGAGCGTTTCAACTTCCAGCCCCACGTGTCGACGGGCCTCGAATCCCTGCTCCTCGCGCGCAGCGCGTACGACTCGCGCACTTACATCGTCAGCGGCCTCGAGCTCCTTGCCGACGAGCTCGTCACGCTGGGCGATGCCCCAGAACTTGTCATGACCTTGACGGCGCAGCTGGACAAGAGCACTGACACGACGGCGGAGGGTTGCCGGTGTCTGAGCATGGGCATGCACGCACTGAGGCAGCTCCTCGAGAAGCGCGCGTCGTACGTCCCCTCGGAGACAGAGCTCCAGCGGCTTGCGGCGCTCGAGAGCCGGTGCCTCGAGTCGGCCGACTCGGGTGTAAGGATGGACGCCGTGCAGCTCTGCGTGGCGATGCATACGCGCGTTGGGGAGGCGGTGTTTTGGGAGGTGTTGAAAGGGATTAAGGATGATCCTAAGAATTTGATTACGTATTACATTGCGAAGAGGCAGAGGGAGCAGCAGGAGGAGAACGTTGGCGTGAACGGAGACTGAGCCAGGGCCGGGGATGGGGAGAATGATGCGGTTGTTTTTTTTGGACTTCGCTTTGTTGCGTGTACGAGTTGAGTGTTTAAAGTGTTAAGGCAGGCCAGGCGTCGGGGCGCGATTCACACAAGAACGCTGGGAGCATTCGAAGGAGGAGGCTTTTCTTTCTTTTTCATTCCTTCTTTCCTTCCTTCCTCCCTTCTCGCCCCTTTTCTCTTCAATTGCATATATTTGATGATTGGGGGGTTACAAGTTTTGAGCTCTTCTGTTCGAGAGGGAATCGCCTCGATGTTGTACGTGTTTTAACACAATATTTTTTTGAAGTAGCATTGTTTAATTGTTACCTGTATAACTCTTTTATCCTTAGGTTAGCTGGAGGTGAAAGCCTGGTAAAATAAATAAATTGAGAGTCTTTGAGGATTCTTCTTTGGCGGCGCAAGGACCGCAACAGCTTCAGATCGTCTTTAGGCTTTGAAGGGACAGGACAGTGGGAAACACACGAAGAAGGTAGTTTATCTCTTCACATTGCATCACGTTCCCAATCGATCCGAGGAACGAATGGAATCAAAGAGGGGTCGCACGGCATGTCCACAAGCCGGGCCGTGAACCCACGAGCACGAGCTCAAAAGAGAGGACCTTGCCGAGTCGAGCTCCTTGCATCTTGCACACAACGAAATGACAAGATGGTGGAGCGTTTTTCTTATGGAAGGGATCGACAGGCCGGGCGTGGAGAAGCGGAGTAACACTTAGGAGGCTTTACTCTTTTGAATTTAGTGTCGTTTGAAGGGATGGGGGAGGGGGCGTTGATGATCGTTGATGGGGGGCGGTTTAGAGGACTCCACTTGGATGTTGGTCTGGGATGTATGATGAAACATTGGGAGGAGCTAGGGACAGGGTCGAAGATGTTTTATTTCTTGGTTCTAGAATGGGAGGAGCGGTCACGATGAGGTCAGGCTTTTCTCCTTATCCTTCTTCCAGGTTCCTTGAGGTGGGTAATGGGATCGTCCTTGTCTTTGGCCCCCCACGAGCTCTAGTGTACTCCTATAGCTCGAGCAGAGATCGACAGATCGATGGAGTAGGATGGGGGAAACGGGAAAGACGCCGATCGCATGCGTCTCTGGAATTCGAGAACAAAAAAGGGACGATCTCCCTCCAAAGCCTCAATTTTTTATCTACGAGCTAAGAGCGTCTCGACTGGAGCGCACAGACGAGAATGATGTCGTGCTGCATGCGCTGGAGGAGAAGTCGGTAGGAGATCATACTGGCCTGGCTTCTGATTTCTGAGCTCCGTTGAAGCGGAAGAGAGGACCACCCGACTAGGATATGTTTCTTGTTTTCTTCATCCAATTTGCTACATGACCCATGGCACAATTGGGGTCACGTCGATATCTGGTTGGAAAGGAAAAGGAAGGGGGAAGATGTGAAACGACGACGTGGTTAACGTACAGACAGTGGTCCCGACTGGCAGGGAAAAGACGACCACAATCGGCGCATGGCTAACCAGCTTCTCTCCTTTTTTCGGTCTTTTCTTAGAGCTTAGCACTTGCAGTAGAAGGGGAAGAGAAATAAACGGTGAGCCGTATGGGGAAGGTGAGGGTTCTGTAGTGCTATACCTCGTACATCGTGGCTCTCTCTTCCTTGGAGACCTCATGATGGTCTCGCGGATTTTTCTTCTTCCCTGCTTTTCTTTTTTTGCCTTGAGACTAAGTCTAAAACGTGACAGCAACCTCCCTTCGGCCACGGATTCCGAAGGAACAAACAAACAACCACCCTAATGATTCGACTCCATGGATCTTGCTAACCTGGCAGGGGTTATTGCGAGGATGAATGGGCAGACGGGGTGATGAACTTATGCGGATAATAGGACGGAGAGATTTGATATATCCGCCAACCCTGGCGTTTAGGAGGTTGATTCAAGCACGAAGAAGGCGGTCTTAGACTCCCCCCCTGTTGATAGTAGGAGCTGATTATGATCCCTTTGACAAGACAATCAGCCACTACCGGCGGTTCCGGGATCGAGCCTTGATCCGTCCGAAGGGGTAACAGCAAACATTGTCACCAATCTCACCAGGGCCGCGGGCTGGGGAAAAAAAAAGGTTGCCAGCCCGGAGACTGTGGTCCCAGCAGTTTGTTCATGTGGCGCTCGCCTTCCGACGAGATGGGGAAGGGGAAGTAGAGGAAGTAATATTTGGCAGGACTGACAATGGGGTTGACGATGGATTGACGATGGATTGATTGGTGGATCAGGCTAGTTCTGGGGGATGAAAATAGCCTGGCCTCGATGGCGAGGCACAATTGAGGGTTGTGGTTACGCACTCTAGCTGAAACAGTAGCTCGGCAGGGAAGAGATGTTGACGACTCTGGTCCTGTTGGGTGGGAAGAGGGGACGGAACCACATACAAGCAAGGCTAGGTCAACACCGCGCTACGAGGTAGATTTCTCGAGAACGGAGTCTAGCCAGGCCATCAATGTGGGCTTCCCACATCATGTTGGCACCATTGATAGAGCATACACTACTTCGTGCATAGGCTGGTGTCTTCAATGCGGGCCTGTGTTTCACGGGGGTAGCACTAATAACATTCCAGGATCATTGGGCTTGGCGGATGGCAGCATACGCTTTCCACTATAATATTACTTAGTCGAAGGATCAATTGATGGGGCATCGAATTTGACATTCCCCTGGGGTCTGGAGATAGAAATGTTCTCTCGATGGCACATCACCCCTCCTTCATCGGGGAAGCGATCGACAATGTGCACGAGGCTAACCAACATGATTGATGAGACGGATCGGTCGCTTGCACTTGGTGGTCTGCATGAGGCTTCGGTAGTGTAACGGCCGACGCCACGCCACGCCAGGGCTCTGATTTGATCTGGGCTGGACTCACTCTCCAGCCGCAGTTCACTTCAGCTCTGCTCAGACGTAAGAAATAGGGGACGCTCCAGCTGGAAAAGCTGGGGACTCGAGTCTTAGGTTGAAGAAACTGTCTTTCTTTCTTTGGAAGGGAAATGGTTTGATGTCTAAGACAGTCGTACATGACGAAAAAAAAGGGGGGTCTCCAAAGTACGCTACTTTTAGGGTCTCGATTCCATTCAGGTCCCCTGGAGCTTGCACTATTGCCACTACGCCGTATTAGATCGAGTGCATGTACGAAGATGCATGTCTGAGAGCCCAAGGCAGGAGTCTAAAATCCTCAAGATCCACTCTAAAACGCGTCCTGGCGTGGTGAGTGAACTTCATAGTGTGTACTCTTGTGTACGGATAATATGGGAGAGGAAGACCGAAAATGTCCAACACACAACGGACGGGAGAGAGTTTGGGTCTCCAAAATTGGGAATTTCCGGGATACAGGATGCGGAAGGACGGGAAGAGACGATGCAGGAGAGAGTGTAATCTCGTCGTTCCCGAATATGCTGCCCGGCGTGCCCACCTGTATGCCTGCCTGCTTTTGAGGCGAGGCCTGCGGGCTAGGATTAGCCGCGGCGGACGGGGCGACACGTCTCGTCTCGCGTCATGCAGCAGACTTTTTGTCGGGTCGAAAATGTCGGGAGACTTTGGGAGAGAGTTATTTTTGATAGAAGTCAAGAGAGACCACACCTAATTTTTGGGAAGAATAAACGGTCCAGTAAGATGTTGAGGACTAGGGTCCACGAACGACGTTTGAAGATGGCGTAACAAGTTACATGGGTGGATGATGTGGATGATGCACTCGCGAGATTAATGAGGACAGGGCAAAACGGACAAAACAGGACAAGGACAGCAACAGGAGAATTATCCGCGGTTTAACCTCTTTGAATCGGATACTTGCTCCTTTTGCGAGTGATTTCGTGAATGACCGCGTCGTCTCATATTACTAAAGGGAAAGGGAAAGAGAGGCAGAGGTACTCGAAAGTACCGATGTTGGCAAGTTGAGTCGACATCCGGACTTCAAGGTCTGAGTCGTCGCAACATCGATTAATTTTACGCACAATGATTTTTTAGCACTTAGCCTCGGATAGGGCTATCCTTGGTCGAATAGAAACCCGACCAAACGGATTGTGTGCGCCAATGAATGGTTTGAATCTGCGGGTCCTTGTCCTTGTCGTCGACTCGACTGTTAGCTGTACGAGAGGAAATCTTGATGTCATCAGGCTCTCAGCATGCAGCATTGAGGAAGTGTTTGGAGTGATTAGTGAGGAAGCTGAAAGCAAAAGTGGGCTGGATACGAGCGGAGTGAGGAGCCGGTTTCGATGTGGACAGGGTCTCCGACTGGATCTCACTGGATCTTACCCTCCTCAAACTCTTGACTGTCATGTTGTTTGTGTCAAGTACTTCCAGCGCACGCAGTAGTTCAATCAGGTTAGCATTGAGTTTTGCTCAGAGCAGCTGGAGTTGGGGCCGTCAACGTCAACATCAACTTATATATAACTATGTTCGCAGACTGGTTAGCCAGGCCAGGCCACCACCAAAGTGATGGATTCTGAAAGTTTCAAAATTGCAGATGGGGCTCGTTTGTCTTAATACCTCAATCTTGTCCTGGTCACGACAGGAACACGATCCACACACTAAAACACTTCTGTAGGGTCGCATGCAGTTGAGTCCTGGACGCTAACCAATATCGAAACGGGACCCCTTCAAAGTGCCTGCTGGCTTTTGACCTCCACACAACCTCGAACACACCACTGTTGAACCCCTGACGACCCGACCCTGACTGGAAACGTTCAATGTTATTATGTTACTCTCAAGGAGTCCGTATTAATTAGGCCATCTCCATCCAGCCTCGAACCAAGCCCCATTAAACCTAGTGTGCTCTCTTGATGGACAAATTGAAGGCAAGAGCTTGACCTCCTGTGATGGCGTCGACAGGAACTCGTGGGACGAAGTAATAATAGACCGTTGATCAAATTACGTCGGGGCTGTGTGGCATCTATCAACGGTACATCCATCGCAGCTGGAGTGTGCACTCGTCGAGCTCATGGTCTCTAGGCTCTCTCGCGACTCTCTCCCGTCTCCATACCAGCCATATTGTACGCTGGTTCTCGCATGCGTATACTCCATTTATAATTGCGCTACTGTACCTGTGTAAACACTTTGTAGTTGGGTTGACGGACACTTGGAGTTCTCCTGTAAATGTCAAGTAAATTAGTGTGCGTGGTGTGTTGTATTAATTGATCAGATGTAGTTTCTACCCAAGTACATCATACGTGAGGACATGAGGATGCGAGTACCTTTCACAAGAGAGACCTACTTCGTGAGGGACCTAATAATTCAAATTGTCAGTTTGATCCAACATCAATGGATTTTTGATGTATGAAGCAATTAGTGTACTTTGTACCTCTGCACTTCTGAGCACCCACCCCGTCTCAAACCTGCCCATCTTCCGTTGCCCTCCGTACGTACACACACGTCCTCCTTCTCACCTCCTCCTTGTCATCCCGGAACCCGGTGTTGCGTTGCTAATCATCCTTCCCCATCGCAAGCCTCGCCCCCTTTCTTTGGTGCCAGTCTCCAGTCCTTCGTTTCTGTCGTCTGCCCAACCGCGTCCCCTATTGCCAGGCGGATTGAACCTGCCTACGATCCGAGCCAGGACCTTTACCACCGACCCTTCTGACCTCGACGACCCCGACAGCACAATACACCTGACGTAGCATCCAGTGTCTCTCGTCGAACATCTGCCCGGAAAAGTTAACAAGCAGCCTTCGAATTCGCACTACACACAAACAACTCCCTGAATCCCACGCACGCATTCCGTGGGACGCACACATCCGTCCACGTACCACACACTCCACGCTATCCGCTCTTGTCCAACAGTTTGATCCTACCCCAGCTAGCGAGCCGGGCCCCTCCGTCACCGAACATATTCTCTGCCCCCCTTGGTGAATTGTTGTAGACTTAGCCAGAGTCCTATGACCACCAATTTCTAGCCCGTCCTCCGCCTGCTGTTTGTCGACGGTAGCTTCCACATAGACTTGCTTGCTGTCTTACTGTCTTCTTTTTTTCTTGGAGAAGGAGAGAGAGAGGAAGAGAGAGAGAGGGCTAGAAAGTTGAGAGGAGGCTCGATTAATGACGCCCCGAGATTTCGCCTTCGACCACCCAAGCAACCCACATCTTGCGCGATTGATCCTGTAACGAACCCGTACATCTCCATCACCGTCCCGACACCCGCACAAACACCGCCCACCATGACGAGTGTGATGGATGAGTATCTTGATACTCCAATGGACAATGATGACATCTTTCCCTGCAAGGGTTGTGGTGAGGTTAGTTTGCACCGCGAACCTGCCCACTCGGACAGACGACCACCTCTCGCCATGTTGGGCCTAACCTCGAGGCGTCCGAGGCAATGGTTTTAACTTGCCGGTCCCTTGCCGATATACTAACGGATGGTGCTTTCTTTTTAGATCCTCGAGGAGGGAAAGGCATTCGAATTAGGTATGTCTATCGTCTCTAGCCTCTGGTGGTAGCAAGACGTTCATCGTCCATCCTCATTCACCATTACTGTACCCGACGATCTCCGACGAATCCTCTGCCCATCCATATCCCACTCCCCCCTTCTTTCACCACCCACCGGATCCCGGGACTCAGCCATATAAGGCCTCTGCTAACATACTCTCTCCTTCAGCCGGAAACCGATGGCATTTAGACTGCTTCCGATGCAATACCTGCGGTACTCTTCTCGACTCCGATGCGAACCTGCTCCTCCTCGGCGATGGGTCCTTGATATGTAACAACTGTACATATAGCTGCAGTGCGTGCGGCAACAAGATCGAAGACTTGGCTATTCTCACAGGCGACCAGGCCTTTTGTGCGACATGTTTCCGTTGTAGGAATTGTAAGAGGAAAATTGAGAATCTCCGCTACGCGAGGACGTCACAGGGCATCTTCTGCATGAGTTGCCATGAATCCCTTATGGCCAGGAGACGGAAAAAATCGAAGGCCGCTGCCCAGGCGAAAAGCCGCGAGAAAGATGCATCCGGCGTCATCAAGGACAAGTCGTTACCCGCTCTTCCGCCAAACGCGATCCCCCCGGGTGCTTTTGCCCAGGAACGCGTCGAGCCCGAATCCGATACTCCCACCGAACTCTCCCCGAGACCTCGTCAAGCATACAATCGAAATGACTCATCATCGAGGGGCAGCTCGAGGCCCGCCCCGTCTCCCGAGCGCCCGGCCGATTCTTCCGGAAAGGATACCCTAGGGCTGCCTTCGACCAACTACCGTAATAACCGCAACTCTTCCATCTTTATGCCCAGCGATGCTATTGGTGGCGACGCCGAGACCTTCTTCATCCCCGTTGCCCTGGACCACAGTCCCGCTCCTACCAACCCGACCCCGCGTTCCGCGCCGGACAACCAGGATGGGTCGAAGAAGGATAACAGGGACTACTTCAGCAGCCCTGTTAAGGCGTCTTCTCCCGAGTCGAAGGTGGATTCCGCTGCCACAACACCCCACATCGCCTTCCAGGAGAAGGGGAGGCAGGCATCTTCTGACCAGGAGTCCGCCAAGGTTCGACCGCCGCCTGCGCGTAGATTGTCCAAGTCAGGCCGCAAGGATTCCACCAGTACCGCCAAATCCTCCGAGGACACCCTCCCGCCGAGAATCTCTAGTAAGGCCCCGCCCGTCACGGACGAATTTAAGCTTCAGGAGGCCCCCCGGGGCAAGAAGCTTCTCACATCGAAGACGAACTCGCAGTCTTCCGGCCAAGACGCCACTGCAGCCAAAGATCAATTGCAGCCCGACGACAAGATCGGAACCCCTCGCTCCTCCCTCGACTCTCGGAAGCGCTCTGGAGAAGAGATCCGCGACCGTTCCGATTCTTTGAATGCGACACCCCGTCATGAGTATAATAACAATGCCGCAAGGCCAATCACGCGTAAGGAGGTCCCTCAGGGCACCACCCCCCGTAACGGTAAGTTTGTTTTCTGTTTGCTGTTGCGGCTGCTCGTTATGTTCATGATTTGAGTTTGCTGGTGTCCTATGTTTGCCTCCATCCGACGCCTTCCCCCCTTTTTTTCTTCTGCCCCCATCCTACTACGCTATTTCATTGTTACTGTGACTAACATTCGTGCTTTTACCCGTCGGTCTAGTGAACGGCAAACAATATGCCACCGATGACGCCAGTAAGCAGACTACTGCTACTACTACCACCTCCACCAGCAGCACATATATGCAACCCCGGCAGGCTCCTGCGCCACCAGGGCAAACACCCTCATCTCGCGGACACAATGGGGAGGCGTCGTCACCGAAACTCAGATGGAGCGCTGGTGGAGAGTTTACCATGGATGAGGATATGGCTCGCATCCTTGGCACAGACGAGGATTCGTCTTCTATCCTACGCCGCGTCTCCAATGCCGTCCGCCATGGCCGTACGAGCGACCCGGATCCCCTCGGCACCCAGACTCGAATGGGTCATGCGAGAAGCGCCAGCGAGACGACACGGACAACATCCTCTCCTCGGTGGCCCCGAACCCCTGTTGCGGAGGATTCGGTCAATGGTCACGCACGAGAGATCAGCAGCCCCATCGGCCTGTCGTCTCCCAACGATGACCCTGCTTTCCTCAAGAGGCAATTGAGGACGTCCGAGCAGCGGGTGGCCGAGCTCGAGAGGCAATTTAATACGCAAAAGGACCTACAGAACCTCAACAGGAAGGTCATCGAAAAGCGCAAGACGGTCCTGGACTTGGATACGCAGACCGAGATCATGATTCGGCAGCTCGAGGTCCTCGCGGGCTATGTGCAGCGGGCCAAGGACACCAAGAAGCCGATCGATGCGCGGGAGCTCGAGGATTCCGCCATCAAGGATTTTGTCCAGAAGCTCGACAAGGTCAAGCAGTCCATGGCTGCGGCCATTGAGCAGCTGCACGAGGAGCGCGACCAACTGATACAGGAGAAGAAGCAGGCGATGGCCGACCGTGACCGGGCCCTTCTCGAGTTCGAGCAGCTCTCGTCAAAAAACGCACAGCTCGCAGACATGAACAACGACCTCACGCATCAGATCCAGGAGCGGTTCAAGTCCCAGATCAATAACAATAACAATAACAACGATCCTAGGTCTGCCAACGGCCTGGGCATTTACCCCCAGCGAGGCTCGTCCACCACGGCAATGTCGTCGGACGTTGCTAGTATTAACACGGCTACTACGCTTGTTCCCCATGACGCTGATGACTCGATTGTCGAGGCCGGCCCCACTGTCGTCACTGTCCGGAAAGGGCAAGTCAAGAAATTTAACTGGAAGAAGGGCTCAAAGACAATTGCGCAAAATGTAACAAAGGGCGTCAACAGAGCGGTGGTGGCATTCCAGGAGCGAGATAGAAACCCGCACCACGGCGGCCTCACCGGTGACAACATCGGTCTTCCCTACAACATGACAGTCGAGCAAATGCAGCCCACAAGTAGCCTCACTCCCACCGGCCCTCAGGGCCAAGTCGGCCAGCCCGGTGCCATCACGCCCAGGCAAACCGGCGAACGCCAGGGCTTCGGATTCTTCAGCAAGAGAGCCAACACGATGCCCAAGGGCATGCAGTCGGCGGCCAACATGTCTGGCTCGGGGACGCCCACGGTAGCGGAAGCCCCTACCGTCCTCTTCGGTTCAGACCTCTCCGAGCGCGCCGACTACGAACGGCGACAGATTCCCAGCGTCGTGACCCGCTGCATCGAGGAGGTCGAGCTCCGAGGCATGGATGTCGAGGGCATCTACCGAAAGACTGGCGGCAACTCCCAGGTCAAGATGGTGCAGGACGGCTTCGAGAAGAGCGAGGACTATGACATTTCAGACCCGTCGATCGATATTACGGCCGTCACTAGCGTTCTGAAGCAATACTTTAGAAAGCTGCCGGTTCCTCTGCTCACTTTTGATGTGTACGAGCGTGTGCTCGAGTCTAATGGTAAGGCACTCTATCTAAGTCTTGGCGTCATATGAGTCTCGATACTAACGGATTGCTCTTTCTTTTTCTTCAGCTATCGCGAACGAAGCGGAACGCTGTGCTCATCTGAACCGAACGTTTGCCTCGCTGCCTCAGCCACATAGGGACTGCCTCGAGTTCCTCATGTTCCATCTTACTCGCGTAGCTCAGCGAGAGCCCGAGAACTTGGTATGTCTCGACTTCCCTAGCCTCGTTCTAGCCTCGTTTCTAAAAGGAGAATGAACCGCTTTACTAATTATCTCCCACTTTAGATGTCTCCCAAGAACTTGGCCGTCGTGTTCGCACCCACAATCATGCGTGATCATAGCCTTGAGCGTGAAATGACGGACATGCACGCCAAGAGCATTGCGGTGCAGTTCATCATTGAGAACACCGACACCATCTTTGATGAATAAGGAGCTGGCGTTTTGTTCGAGTTTACGCCTTGTTCCTCTAACCGTCTCATATATGTCTACGACTAGCGCGATATCCGCCGAGTCAGTATAAGTTTCACGACCCCTTTTACGCCATTTGCTCTTTTCGCTTTCTATCTCTATCTCTATCTCTACCTCTCTGGATTAGAGAGAGTCGGGCGGTTCCTAGGTTGTCAAGAGTAGTAGCTGCATTGATCTTTTGTCACACCCCCCTTTTTTCCTGTTTTCTTTTTTTCTTTTCCCCTCCCTGTCTTACGGGGAGGCATTGTTCGACACTTGTTCTTAGCCTGGTATGTCGTCCATTGTTGTAAGGGGCCCCGTTGCATTAGCAGAGACGATGATGAGGAAGTTTTGGTCTTTGTTTGTTAGGTTGCGTTTCATTCTTGGGCTCGTCGCCTCTCTCTTTTGGCTTATCTTTCCTCTTCTTCTCAGCTACCTAGGGCACGACTGGTTCTTTCTTTTCTCTTTCTCTTTTGCTGTAGGACGTTTAATGATATCCCAGGTTGATTTTTTCTGCGAGAACGAGATTACATGTTTTCTCGGGGGGCTTTCGTGGTGAGGTATCGAGTAAGGTGAAGCAAGGTGTGATAAGGACTTACAAGTCTTCTCGGTTCTTTTTTTCTGTTTTACTCTCAACGTTGGGAAAAACTTGAGACTTGAGAGAGGTTTTGTCCCTAGGCTTTTGGAAATGGTGATGAGTCGACTTCACTCTTTGGTCTTTGTACATATCTGGGTTCCAAATCCATTTATCGGTCATTCCATTCTCAACGCTTTGGCTTTCCCTTTGTGAAACCGACGACTTTTGTACACGTAGAATATGTTCGGCAGCGGGAGTGACGGTCCGAGTCGGAATCTCAGCACAGAGCGCCGCACGGGGGCTGGAGCCGTATCGCACCATTACACCCCCGGGCAGCCCCGGACTCGGCGCCAACCGGTCCTCTTAATCTCTTTTTTTCTTTTGGGGGTCAGAAACGCTGGAAATTGTGTTATACATTCCAAGTCCGGACGACAATACAAATCCAATCTCAGTCTTAAAATTCCAGCCCCTTCACACAATCCACCCCAGCATTCGGCCTCTAAGCCTCTAAGCCGTCCTCCGCCCCCTCACTCACATTCCAACAACCAAAGCAAGGTATTCCCCCCCCCCCCCCCCCCCCCCAAACTTTTTCCTCCAAATTTCTCACGTCGCCCCCATCATCTTCTTCACCTTCTCCAACAAAAACTCACTCTCCCTCCCCAACTTCCTCCGCCCATCCGGCCCCCTCTCGCGCGCCCTCATCGACAGCTTCCGCATGCGCCTGCGCTCCTGCATGGCCCTCTCGCGGTCCTGCCTGCGACGCTCGAAGGCGGCCTCGCGATCCTGGGCGGCTTGGCGGCGGCGCTGGGCTTCCTTGAGCTGCTTGTCGAAGTAGGAGGGTTTTTTGCGGTTGCGGAAGCGGTCGGGGTGTTCGTTTGGTTCGGGGCCTTCTTGCGCTTCGTCTTCTTGTTGTTGTTCTGAGGGTTTGGGTGGGGAGGAGGGGGCTGGGGGTGGAGGAAGGGGTGTCTCTTGTTCTTCTTCTTCTTCTTCGTCGTCGTCGGAGGAAAGGTTGGGTTCTTCGGGGTCTGCTAGTTCGGGGGCTGAGGAGGTCGTTGGTTTGGATTTCGGTGTGGATTTCGCGGGGAGGGGGGCGCCTAGTTCGCGGGCTCGGATTTTGGCGTATGCTTTTTTCGTCTTGGCTTTGTAGATGAGTTCTTTCTTTACTTTGTCCACTGCAGTTACAGAAAACGAGCCGCTTTGTTAGTTTATTTGAAGTCAAGGTGCTGCTTTCGGTGGTCGCAAGGGCGGGGTGGGTTCGTTAACCTTTTCTCTTCCAGGGTCCGTCGGGGAGGTTATCTGGGCCGACGCGGAAGCCCTTTTTGGGCTTCTTGGCCTCTCTGGAGGTTTCTGATTGTTCTCTACGTCGCTTTTCGCCCATTTTGATTTTTTTCTCTCGCTTTGCTTTCGAGGTGCTTTTTGGGGTGTGTTCGACAATGATGTGGATGGAGATGGAGGATTGGCGATGTTTCTGAAATTTTTGGCGGTGGGACGGATAATATTCGGCTGGTCAGATAAGATAAGAGCGGCGTGTGTCCTGTCCATCCAAATCCATTTGACCTCCAACGACATCTCGCCTGGGGGAACCTCATGCTCGTTATCTGGCCCTCATCCATCTGTTCCCGGCGACAAACTAGCCTTGTCTGAAGAAGCTAGCCTTGGTAATACGACATTGGGTTCTAGCACTTGGAACGGTCACATTCAGCTGAGGCAACTCTGAGGAAATGAGCCGATGGCGAGGTGCCCTTGTCGGTGTCCCTCACTCCTCCTCTCAGTGTCCGGAGAAGGATGCTCCACGAACAAATCGTTCGACGTAGAACTTGAGGAAACAGACATAAATCTACTAGGCCAGAAGGCCCCTCTGCTGCGATAGAGAATATCGTTGGAGAGTTGATGTTCCGTATGCGAGGTACACTTAGAGGCAAATCAAGCCTCAGGAGCCAACAAGCGGCTTGCTATGTGCAAGAAGCTGCTCTTTGCAGTATTGTTAACTTAGCTAAACAAATTATGGAACCTCTTGGTCCATCTTGAATCGCTAAGCACTCTTAATGTGTTGCATTCTACCAAATGTCATCGAATCTAGAGTGACGAATATCTCCCAAACTACTCAACCTCAGTTAAACGACAGTTACGCGAGATATAAACTAGAATTCTATTACCTATTGCAATTGCGATTCAATTCCGAGCATCTTACTTCAATTGACTTCAAATATGCAAAAGGCAGAATCGATATCGGCCACCGATAGAATACCGAAGACCTGAGCAGATAGTGACGTAGTAGTTTCGGGTTTTGATACAAGTTGTTCGAATGATGTAGTGTGTTTGCATTGGACCCAATACTTCGCGAAGGGGTGCAGGACAGACGGTCTCTGCAGTTCCAAGTGGCTATTCCTTCTTGTCGAAGGAATGGGTATTAGGAAAAACTGTAACTCAAAACATGAGAACGGAGTCTATCCCCACGGTACTCTCGCCGGGGCGGCCTTGGCTAGGACCCTTCTCATGAAGCATCATCTCCCCAACATCCTGGCGTAGAGCACCCGCCGAGGGCCTCACATCCCACAAACGCGTAAGAGTAACCTCCCCAAAATACGGAATCCTCACCAGCACTCCCCCCTCCCCATCCTCCAACACAACCCCCCGTCCAACCACCCCCTCACTCGCACACCCTCCATACTCCCAAGCACAACTATACCCAACATCCCCCCTGGCAGCCTCCTCCTCCACCTCCACTAACCGTCTCATAACCCTCGCACACTCCGCATTCATAGCATCGCGAGTCTCTCTCCCAAGCTGCTCTAGCCTCTTAATCATGCGCTCAACCATGTCCAAGTCTCCGGGCCGCCGGTGTTCCAGCACGCTGGGCGAGGACTTGTCGGAGATGTGCGCGATGAGAAGCGTCATGGCTGCCGTTACGCCTTTGGCTTCGTGGCCGCGGCTGCAGATGAGGGCGTGTTTGGAGTTTTGGTTCGCGAGGAAGCGGGAGAGGAGGGAGTGTGCGGCTGTTGCGGCTGTGACTTTGTTGTAGGTGTAGTCCCGTCTCGTGACGTTAGTACCACCACCGTCCTCCGTAGAGGAGCCGGAGACCGTCGGCTGTGTCGTGATGTATGGCAAATGTGTGTTGAGGACAAGATAGTACTGGTCAATCTGCGACACGCACTTGGACGTCTCGGCAATGACACTCTCCTCCGTAGCACCGGGAGAAGAAGACACTGTAGGCTGCAACCACCACCTCGTAGGCACCATTCTCGCAATCCTCTTCAAATCATCGTCTATCCCCCTCGTCTCCTCGTAAAACTCGTCCGCCACGGGCAACCACGTGGAACAGCTCTTCATCCGGCCATTCCTCGCCGCAAGCCTCCCTGCTATAACACCATGCAAGCGGTCCAACTTCCTATTCGGCGGCGCTTCTTCGATAAGCTCCTTACTCGCAAAACTAGCTTCCGGGACCTCGAGAACAGGTAAATTCAGCATTAGAGAGAGATATCTCTCACTACACACAAGACTGGCCCATAGTACCGACGCCCTCCGGTGCGCTGATGACCCTCCACCGTCATCACCCGATATGCGGTGTAGCCCGATCCGTTTTGCGATAGCCACCGCACGACGAAAGACGACTCGCCCGTGGCGCATGTTCCCCACATTCAGGTGATATATCCCCTCGAGCATAAGAGCGTCCAGCCCCTCCATCGAGCTCACGAGGGCGTCATTCGTCGTGACATGTTGCGCCGCCGCGAGGAAATAGTGGTCCGCCACGTCACGGACGGAGCAACTACCAAGTTTTAGCGCCGATACGTCCGCTTGCGGGTTCATATGCCGTAGACATATGGCAAGCTGGATCAGCTTTGCAGCCAGAACAATGGGATGCGAAGATGGTGGGGGGAGCGGATCGAAGCCTCGCAACGACGCATCGGCTTCTATGAGGGGTTCGAGAGGTTCTCTTGCGCGGCCCAGGGACATGGTGAGAAACGTCCCGTGGCGCATGATGAGGCTCGCAGAGGTAGCAGTGGGTAAAAAGGAATAGACTAGACTACTCAGCGAAATACCCGACGACGATGCTGGCCTGGAACTCAGGTGCCGCTGGTCCCTCGTAATGTCGTAGCGCGGCTGTAGTTGCCTTTGTACGAGATGTGAATGAGGAAGACCATCCCGTCTAATCAGTCCCTCTACGAGCGACTCGAGCCGATCGATCCGGTGCCGGATATCCCGGTATCCCGGATCGGTACCTTCCTCCGTGAGGAACTGCGGTACACACCTAGTCCCCCGGCGGCGGCATGATGCACAGACGGTGCGTGAGGCGGGCTCGAAATCGCACCGGGTTTTGCGGCGCTTGCATTCCCAACAGCTTGAAGTGCCGCGACGTACCCTTCGACGGTGGGGGCTGGCCCGCTCGCCCGGTTGGACAGTGAAGGCGTCCGGGCCTGGAGACACTAGTGATTGATTTTCGCCGTCATCCATCGTCAAAAAGCGACTTCTCCTTTATAATGCCGCTTCCGTTCTCTTCAGTCTTCCCCATAACAGGAATGATGGATGCTTGCAGTTGCGTTTGGCGATCGACGTCTCGACCGCGTCTATATCCATGAGTCATGTGACCAGACTCAGAGGTCCGAATTTATACACAGATCCCTTTTCACCTCGTTTCCGGGAGGGATCCATGAGATGTGGGAAATGCGAGGAATGGGTGACAAGTTGAGGTTGGTTCAAGATGGTGTGTGGCTAATTGATTATCTGGGCGGCAAAGTCGGTCCTTTCCGCAGTGGCACATCACAGGTACGAAGAAGGGGAGCTCCAAAGGTACAAGATATCAAACTAGAGAAGGTGTTCAACTACTAATATATCTAGGTTTATATCGCCTATTTTGCATCAGGTTGCCATGTAAAGTTGCCTTGCTCAGTGGGTGGTTTACTCCCTCCAAGAGATCAAATCTTTGGGCGTCAGGTGGTGAACAAAATGGTGATCCGCTGTTCAAGAGAGCACGAGCTATCGGGGCCGTTCACCCACATTGATCATCTCGGCTCGGGCCGCAAATGGTCTTCATCCTCGATCGCCCCCGTATGGAATATAGTTACAAAAACGGTTGTAGTTTTTGGCCCTGGACGTCGTGAGAACGGATTCGACTAAAATCTCTCCCGTCTTCCTATGAGACATCCGTAACGCAGCCTGGCCATCGCACCCTTCTCTGCACTTTTCTTAACCCCGCTTCAGCTGCCAATGAGGTCGAAAGGGACTCGGCCAGTTCGCCCATGGTTGCTCGTGAGGCCAGAAAAGATGTATCCCTCAACCCCAAGGTCTCTCTCTGTTTTGTTACCCCTTAAACAAGCAGGAATCCCCAGCACTACCTAACTGCTTTCCACTTATGTCTGATCCGAAGGAATACACCGTTGGCTGGATTTGCGCCATCCCTCCCGAATACGTCGCCGCAAGAGCTTTTCTCGACGAGAAACACCCAGGCCCGACATCCATCGCCCCACAAGATAATAACCATTATACCCTTGGCCGCATCGCGGATCACAATGTTGTCATAGCTACGCTTCCCACAGGCGAGTACGGCCTCGTCTCGGCCGCGGGGGTCGCTCGAGATATGCTGTGGAGCTTCCCGAACGTGAAGGTCGGCTTGATGGTGGGCATAGGCGGTGGTGCGCCAAGCCGGAAGCATGATATCCGCCTTGGTGATATTGTCGTCAGCGTTCCTGGCGACGGCGAAGGTGGCGTCTTCCAATACGACTATGGGAGGGCCATACAGGGCCACGGCTTCGAACAGACTGGATCCTTGAATCAGCCACCACTTTTCCTACGTACATCCATCAGCGGACTTCGGGCCCGGTATGAGGAAGAAGGTCATAAAATCGGAGATATGATAAGCAGTGTTTTTGAGAAAAACGGACGGTTACGGACGAAGTATCAAAGGCCTGACCGGGCCAGCGATAGGCTCTATTTGAGCACCGTCGTTCACCCTCAAGACGCCAAAGACGCCAAAGAAAGAGGCTGCGCACAAGCTTGTGGCGACGATCCGTCAATGTTCGTGCCGCGGCCCGAACGCAGTGAAGAAGAGGATGATCCTGCTATACACTACGGCCTCGTAGCCTCCGGAAATTGGCTGATGAAAGACGCGACCATCCGGGATAAACTCATAGCAACAAAGGACGTTTTATGTTTCGAGATGGAGGCTGCTGGCCTGATGAACCACTTTCCTTGTCTTGTCATTCGTGGTATCTGCGACTACTCGGACTCGCATAAGAATAAGGATTGGCAGGGTTATGCAGCCATGGTGGCAGCCGCATACGCGAAAGATCTTTTGCGTGAAATTCGCCCGAGTAAAGTTGAGGCCGAGAAAAGGATCACTGACGCGCTCCCCGGTTAGTATTCGATAGTTTTCGTCAAGTTCTATCGCAAATATTGACCTCTCTGTAGCTGTATCCCATTTCATAGTTCCATTTGAGAGGAACCGAAACTTCGTCGGTAGGGCCTCTATCCTAGAACGGATATTGAAGCGCGTGGACCCTCGTGCAAGCACAGAATACTGTCAACGCACAGCCATCGTTGGCCTCGGAGGCGTTGGAAAGACGCAGGTTGCCATCGAAGCGGCCTATCGAATTCGTGACATCCGCCCTGACTGCTCTGTCTTCTGGGTCCCGGCCGTGGATGCTACCAGCTTCGAAAACGCCTACCGCGAGATCGGCCAGAGGCTCAACGTTAAAGGAATCGACAAAGATGACGCCGATACCAAGAAACTGGTTAATGTTGCGCTAAGCGATGAAGGTTCTGGGAAATGGCTTCTGGTCGTCGACAATGCGGATGATACAACATTGCTACTTGATAAGACCTCTTCATACCTGGCTCGGTATCTCCCATCTAGCAAGAACGGCTCTATATTGTTCACGACAAGAAATCACGAAGTTGCGGTGGACCTAGCCGATTCTCCGAAGGACGATATTTTTCAGCTTGGCGAGATGAGCGACGCTGAAGCTCATCAACTGCTGGCGACAGGTCTAGATGATGCCCAGATACATGATACGGAAAAGACGACACAGCTGCTAGCTTTTCTTGAAAATTTGCCGCTTGCTATTCGGCAGGCATCCGCATGCATGGCCAAAAAACAAATATCAACAGCCAAATACCTCCACTTCTGCCAGTCGAGCGATGACGACACGATCGAGCTCCTAAGCCGAGACTTCGAGGATCGGGGTCGATATCGAAATGCCAAGAACCCAATCGCTACCACGTGGCTTATTTCCTTTGAAAATATTGGGAAAGCTGATCCGCGAGCTGCAGACATCCTCAAGTTTATTTGTTTTGTATCTCCAAAGGACATTCCACGCTCTCTTCTCCCATCAGCAAAGAGTCTCATGACGGAGGAAGCGATTGGGACTCTTAAAGCGTATGCTTTCCTCGCAGAGCGCGACTGCGGCAGCTCGTATGATATCCACCGGCTTGTTCAGATAGCAGCACGTAACTGGCTCAAGTTGAAAGACGAATGGCAAATATGGGGTCAGAAGGCATTGCTGCGGGTGAATGAAGAGTTCCCCGATCCACAACATGAGAATAGAGAGGTATGGAAGCAGTACCTTCCACATGCAGAGTGCATATTATGTTTCTGCACAAGCCTAGTGGAGGGCAAGAAGTCTGAACTAGAGCTTTTACCAAAAGTGGGCTTCGGTTTTCTTCTTCTTGGCAACTATAAAGAGCCCGAAGCGGGATACCGTAAGGCACTTGAGATGCAGGAGAAGTTGCTAAACAGTGTCCATTCCTATACACCTGAAAATATGGATAGGGCTGTGGGCTCCTCGAGGCTTTTGGACAACTTTGGGGTTATACTTACAGGTCGGGGCGAGGACGGAAGGGCTGAGGCAACACACCGTAAGGTATTTGCCCTATTTAAGGAGTTACTAGGTTATGACCATCCTAGGACACTTACGAGTATGGTCAACATTGGGGGTGCACTCCTACTCCAGGGCAAGTATGAAGAGGGCGAGGCGATGTTTCGCCAGGCACTTGAATTACAAGAGAAGGTGTTGGGCTGTCATCACCCTGATACACTTTTAACTATGAGCAACCTTGGGGCTGCGCTTAATGGCCAGGGCAAGTATGAAGAAGCCGAGGCGATGGTTCGCCAGACACTTGAATTACAAGAGAAGGTGTTGGGTTGTGACCATCCTGATACACTTGCGAGTGTGATTAACCTTGTGTGTGCACTCAAGCCCCGGGACAAGCATGAAGAGGCTGAGGCAATACACCGTAAGGCAGTTACCCTATGTGAGATGGTGTTGGGCTATGATCATCCTGAGACACTCAAGCATATAGATAACCTTGGGGCTATACTCCATGGCCAGGGCAAGTCTGAAGAGGCCGAGGTAATGTTTCGAAACCTACTCAAGTTACGAGAGAAGGTGCTAGGCTATGACCATCCTGATACACTTAGGAGTATGAACAACCTTGGGGTTATACTCCGGAGCCAGGGCAGGTATGAGGAGGCTAAGGCGATATATCGTAAGGAATAGAAAGTAGTAGGGAAGGTGCTAGGGGAAAGGAGAAAGGGGGGTTTGGAGGGAAGTACAGGGTTGTTTTAAGCCAAATAGTTGATAATTTCTTTATATTTTATTTTCCTATATATTTTTCTCTAGTATAGAGTAAGTAATTTGTTCTTTTCCGCTTTAGAAAGTTAAGAGGAAATCTAGAAAATAAATCGTTTTTATTACAACAGAGTATGCCAACTTCAATACGGATGCCAATAAAAGGTTTCGCCAACAAACCAAAACCTCCAGCTAGATGCATTGCTATTCGAGACGGAAAAAAAAAAAAAAAAAATTTTTTTTCTGTGCCAAAAATTAAACAAAATCATCCCTGAGACCCAGTTCTATCGCTCTCGGCCTGCGACCCCGAGCTCTCAGCCAATGTAGCCTCCGCCTTAAGCGTCGGCGTCCTACTCCTCGGCGGGTGCTTCTTCCCCACAATCTTCTCCGTCCAATTCCACGCCGCTCCGACTCCGAACCCCGGACTTCCCGGCTTGGCTCCGGTGGACCCGCTCACGGTGGGCGAGGTTTCCAGCTCGCTGTCGTTTTCGCTGTCCGCCCAATCCCGGTCGCTCCACGTCACCGAGTCGACCCTCACGACGCTGCGCATCGATCCACTTGCGGTTCCTGGCCTGCTCCGGCTGCCGGCGTCCTCCGCCGAATCCCAAGGTGAGCGCGGAACTACGCTGGTAGGAGTTGGCGTCGCTGCGGTGTTCGTGGTCGTTGGCGTAGCAGGCAAGTCTGCCACAATGTCCTCGGCCTCGCGAACCTCGCTTGCTGTGCGTTGTAGGGGATGCGGCGTAGTGTCTTCTTTTGCGCGATCCGCATTCGCATCACTTTCTTTAGCAGGAACGGCATCCCTCACCTCACTGCCTCGCCTGTCGGGTGGAATGTGGATCATGAAAGCCCGTTCAAGTTTGTCTTCCTCTGAGTCGAGGCGTCGCGCAGTCACGGTGTCGCTGAAGTGCGCTTCGACAAGATGGTGCACAACTGGCCAGCCGAACGCATTGGCGAACATTCGTCGCACAATAATGTTGTTGTGCGCATCAGGCTCTAGCTTGACGAGAACCTTGCGCCAGGACAAGTCGTGGTGGTAAGCTCGAGCAATCTTTTCTTCGACACGCATACTGGAGCCGTCGACGATAGTATCTTGCTTTCCCTCTTTCTCTTTGCCAATCCCCTTCTCTTTTTCTTTTTCTTTGCCGTTCACCTTGCCTTTCTCCTCCTTGTCGGACGGTCGGGATGAGCCGTTTAGTTCCGTTTCTGTCGCAGACTTATTGTTGGACGACAAAGGACAATCAGGAATAGTTTCTTGGGTAAGTCTTTCGGAGGGATGAGGTAATTGCACCGGCGTAGCGGCGCCCGACGGGGTATTTTTATTGCCCGAAGTCCTCCTCCGCATATTCAACCCATTGCCGCCTCGCTTCTTGACCGGGGGCGGGGGGATATCTTCAGGATGATATACCCTGTCGTGGAAAATAGCACGGGGCCGCTTTGCAGGGTCGAGAAGGAATTGCAGGTCGGGGACCTGAGGGTTAATGAGGTCGTGGGCAGACTCGAAGATCGTGGTTGTCGGAGGCGCCGTGACGCTACTTTCCGTATCATCCAGTTCGGAGCCAGATGTCACTCTAGACCGAGTCGATGACGAGTGCGCACCGGAAGAATCCTCTGACTTGATGGTTTGACTTCGCCTATAGATTAAAGATTGCTTGCCAGTGGGCGCAGGCGAAGGGGACTTTGGAGTAGGAGGTGGTGACTTGGGGTTTTCGTTGATTCGGAAAAGGCTTGAGAAAAAGTTAGTAAACTGCCCAACTCCAGTATCAACTCGCGGCTGATCTGAGCTCTCACGGTAGATCGACGCTGCCATGAGACTCTGCCTATCGTCCTCAAGCATCGCATCTTGAGATGGCTGAGGGACAATGTGCGAGTCCTCCTGGTACGGCGTCGCGCTGCCCGAGGCCTTATCCTCCTCCTCCTCCTCTTCCGGGGGTAACTGAGGCCGGCGCGCCGTTGACAAACTGGTTCCTGTGAGCTCGGCCCAGCCAAAGCCGATCGCCGTGCCGACAAGGCCAGCATCCCTTCGTGCCTTATCCACACGGCCGAGGCCTTGCCAGTCTAGGAACAAAAGACAGCTTGTCCGGAGAGGAACGATGCCGTCGTTGACAACGTTCGAATAGACAGTCCGATTCCTGAACTTTTTAAGCGCGGTGTGCGCGGGACCTGTCGGCAAGATACGTAGCAGTGGCTTCGATTCGGGGTTCTCTCCTTTCAACTTCTTCTGCGCCATATCACCGAGATTGCTCATGATGGCGTCGAACCCATTCCGCGCCAGAATAGGCGCTCTCCATGCAAGCCCCAAGTCCTGACCTGTCCGCCCTACGAGGCCGGAGTCGAGGGCAAACCTGATGTAGAGTGGGTTTTCATTCCCTAAGCCTAGGAAGGGAGAGGCCAGGGCAATAAAGTTGACTGGACGAATGAGGTTAAAGATTTCGGGCGAGTGCTTCTGGCAGTAAGCTATGGCGTACGTCTGGATCAGCCCACCCAAGGAGTGACCGATGAAGCTTATGCTCGTGATCTTGAACGGACGCACGTTTCCCTCAAGTTCGGCCAATTTCCGCTTTACCTGACTCTTGGGCTCGCCGGTGGTTTCGGCCCAGAGCGATTGCCAGGCCGCCTGTGAGGATGGAGGGATATATGGTTGGTCTGGGTATGTCATAGATAGAATATACCTTGCCAGCCGTTTTCCGAGATATTTGATTCCTCTCTCCGTCCTCGTGGCGTTGCCCGAGAAGCCGCGAACAATGACTTCCTCGTCCTCCTCTACCGGATCCTCTTCGATGCTACGATCGTCACCTTGGTCTTCGCTCGGCATGCCACTATTTCTGGGATCGTCCCTGGCTGGTGTCTTGCCGTCCTTCGCCTTGCCTTTCCCCCTCTCGGCACGCTCTCGAGCGCGCCTAGCTCTCGCATCAGCCTTAGCCTTCTTCACGGCAGCATCTATGCTCTCTTTCAAAAACAGCATGTCCGAGCCTAGGTTGCTATGCAGCCCATGCGTCAGCACCACCAAGTGTATATTCTTCTGCTTCCGTCTCGGTTGGGGCACGGGAGTCGTCTCCTCGGGCACGTGCCGATGTTGACAGACGGGCCACTGAGGCAGGGGAGGCGTGTTCCACAGGACGCCGGTATCCTCGACCTTGAGACGAATCGCCCTCGAAAACACGCCCTTCGGTTGAGCATGATGGTGGTGGAGTAGGTGGTGGTGATGCAAGCACGTGCACGTCTCTTCGGGCACAGGCTGGTGGTCGCTAACCCTCCCAGGCTGTGCGCCTCGCGGCACGGACGAGTTCGTAGATAGATCGAGCGATTTCTTGTCCCTCGCGACGAGGACCTCGAAAGATACGGCGGCGGAGGACGAGAATATCACCTGGGATGCCACTTCTATTACCCACGAGACTGACTCGCTGTCATGCTCAGGGCCCTTGCCAAAGTGCAATTTGTTTCCGATTCCGGCATCTTGTCTTATATTTTCTGGCACGAGCAGCTCGCATTCCCAATAGCTCGACGCCTTGACCATGGGCTCGAATTCGGGTACGCCATATCGCCGAGCGTCCCTGAATTTTTCGTTGGGATTGAAGGTGGCCGGATAGGCCGATACACACAGAGTATAGGGCCCGTGGACGAATGCGCCTCGCAGCACGAGCGCGCAGGTGTTTCGTATGCGCACATGGAGCTTCTCGGGAGAGGGGAGGATGCGATCCTGAGAGGGTATGTAGGTTACGGTGTAGCGGACGACCTCGCCGATTTTGACGCTGCCGACCTGATGTACGAGCAGCATGGCCGAAGGGCGGCGGGCTCAACGCTTAAAAGAAGTCTGTGGGGCAACAGTAGGCCAAGGATTCGTAAGAGTGTATGCGTAGGTAGGGTATGAATATCGGAATATCGGATAGACTCGAGTTCTAGGTAAAAGTCTGGGCATGCCAAGGGGTCGGTCGGTCGACAATGTCGCTGTTCGTTCGCGGGTCATTAATACCGGAAACGACGGACCTCGGAGGCCGAGAATGATTTTGCTGTTTGGCGTGGAAGTGGAAAAATGGGCGAGGCACGATCATAGTCAGGAGCCAAATTTAGGCCCGGGGTGGCTGCTAACTTCTCGCGCGCTGTCTTCGTTAGGCGTTAGGCGTTAGAGAGTCTGAACAGCTACAACAGCCCCTCATTCTGGGGTGAAGTTCTGATGGATGATGAGGATTGATCCTGCTTCCTTTCCAGCAAGGACTTGTCCGTATCTCGGCTCGTGTGGAAGCTTGCAGAAAAAAGGACAGGGTTGTTGGGGGGTGTCAGGCAGTGTACGAAGTACATGTGCCAGTACTTTGACCCTTTCCTGCGACCAGGCTGTGCTGATGTTGCGGGATGAGCCGGCGATACTTGAATAATGATCAATTTACACTACACTACGAAGTACAGCAGTCTTCGTTGAGAGGAGCTCCTTTTCCACGCTTTGGTTACCGCCAGGAACAGAACAATGCTTGATTGTACCTCGTCTGAGAGTACCTGGTAAGTAGCTATGATTATGATTATGACATAAACCCACGGTCAAGGGACACGCGAGATTACCAACAGCAGGTGCGAGGGAACCATTCTGGAAGGAGTGCACGAGCCAGAGCAGGGAGAAGAAGGGACTATGCTCCATTCGTCGAGAAATCCACTGGAAACCTGAGCTATGATGCAATGAATGTTAGAGGATTTTATCAGTTTAGGGGACTTGGACTCTCCAAGTAATCTAGCTGGAGCTGTGCTGATAATACGAAGATACATTGTACCTTTGTAAGCTAGCTGGTATTAATCAGCAGAATGCCTATGTAAAATGGGCTAACCAGAACTGTTCCTGGGCCCATGTGAACTTTCGAGTCTCTTCGCTGTTAAGTTTTGACCCCGTCGCTCTTGCCGGTCCCCGATGCTCCCAGTGCTCCGAAATTCTTACGTCACTCTTTAGATACAATTTTGTATCTTGGAGCTAAACATCATTAGATCATGACCAATCTTTCTGTCAGACCAGATTTCGCATCAAGTTGTCCCTCTTTGAATTCAGCCATCAGCGATTGAGCTGCCGTAGCTGCGTCTGTATAAGCTTAAATGCAGCGCATGGAAAGAGAGTTCGTGTTGTATATATAAAGCTTCTGATTACCCCGTCCTCTTGAACCTGAGGAACTCACGATCCAACCATGCGAGCTTGGAAATCCTTCTCCCGTGCAAACCCACACTGCCATATCCAACTTGCCTATACAAGTAACCCGAATCCACGCATACTTCGAGCTCTAAGTGCAGCTACACCACTGACAGCTTCATCTACGCCAACGTGTAATACCCGATCAGTAGCTTCAAGTGCTAGAACTTCGAAACTCCATTCCCCGTCTCCTTCGGCGAGACCAACTCTTGAAACCACAAACTCAATCTCCCCAACATCGACACACAACTTCGTGACAATGTCTGTAAGTTTAAGACATTTGATGCTTGGAACAGCCCATCATTTCCCCTCCTTGTCTTTTTCTTTGAGAGACTAGATCGATGATGTCAATTCCTTGTTCCCCGTTCCCCGCACACAAACCCCGCCATCTTCAAGAGCTCCTCTCGCTAACAACCCCGCGTTCGCGATTCAGGGCATCACCGACTGGGTCAAGCCTGGCGACACGTCCGGCGAGTTTAAGCGCCAGGTCAGCTCCTTCAGGAACTTCATCTCCAAGGAGCCCGGCGCCAAGTTCCCTCCTGAGAAGGGGAGGTACCATCTCTTCGTGTCATATGCCTGCCCCTGGGTAAGTGTTGCACCGAACCCTAATTCAAAAGCCTTTACCATGCGGAGCTAACTCTACTCCTTCAGGCCCACCGAACTTTGATTACAAGGAAACTCAAGGGCCTTGAGGACATCATCTCCTTCTCTGTAGTTCACTGGCACCTAGGCAACCAAGGTAAGCTGCAGCTCCGAGAAAACCCTCCACTGCAAATCTCCAACACTACTCTTGCAGGCTGGCGCTTCGCCAAAGAAGGTGAGCCCGACATCCCCGGCGACAACGTCATCCCCGACCCCATCCCCGGCCACGAAGCCTTCACGCACCTCCGCGACGTCTATTTCGAGTCTGAAAAGGAGTACACCGGCCGCTTCACCGTGCCCGTCCTCTACGACAAGAAGCAAAACACCATCGTCAGCAACGAGAGCAGCGAGATCATCCGCATGTTCTACACCGAGTTCGACGACCTCATCGACGAAAAATACCGCGCCCTCAAGCTCTACCCCGAGCCGCTTCAGAAGAAGATCGACGTGGCGAACGAGTGGACGTATGATTTGATTAATAACGGCGTGTATAAGTCGGGTTTCGCGACGACGCAGGAGGCGTATTGTAGGAATGTTGTGAACCTCTTTGAGGCGCTGGATAGGACGGAGAAGCATTTGAAGGAGACGGAGAGCGAGGGGCCGTATTACTTTGGTAAGGAGATTACTGAGGCTGATATCCGACTGTAAGTTGCAAACCCCTTCTCCCTACCAGCCTTTGGACTTTCTCCAAATCTAACACTTCACCCCTCTCTCTAGCTATGTCACGATCGTCCGCTTTGATGTAAGTCGATCCTCTTCATCCCATTGGCAGTATGTTTTGTTTTCTCTCGAACAACTTTACCTAACATGTTGATAATAGCCCGTCTACGTCCAGCACTTCAAGTGCAACATCCGCGACATCCGCTCCGGCTACCCCTACATCCACAAGTGGCTGCGGAACCTTTACTGGAACCACCCCGCCTTCAAGGATACCACCCAGTTCGACCACATCAAGTGGCACTACACCAAGAGCCACACCCAGATCAACCCCTACAGCATCACTCCCGTCGGACCTCTTCCCAACATCTTGCCTCTGGGTGAAGAGTGCAATGCTGTCAAGCAGTAAGAGAAGGATAGGCCGATTTTGGAAAGGGTCAGAGGGGATAAGAAGGAGAGACTAGGTAGACACTTAGATACTTTGATGTATAAGATATATTTCGTATAACTCAAACAACCACGAATGAAGCAAATTGTATTACTCTTTTTTAACAGCGCCGTATATGAAAAGAAGAAAAAAACCCTTGACTCAAAATGATTCAAATACATGAAAATCAAAATACCACCGCCTCTCCAACCAGCCTCACATCTCTTCCCCCCTTTCAAACCTTCTGCTTCTTCCCCCCACCCCCCTGGTCCCACCCAGCCCTCCTCTTTCCCTCCCTCCTCCAAAACTCCTGCTTATCCCTCTTCTCCCTCCCTGCCCTCATCTCCTCCATCTCCGCCACCTTCTTCCTATACGCCTTCCTCCCCTCCTCCTTCTTCGCCGCCCTCCTCTCATCCTTGTCCCTCTGAATCGTGGCCAACATGTGCACGAGCGCTCTCGCCTTCTTCTCCTCCCCGCCCAAAACGACGGCCCTCTTCTGCATGTACGTCTTCTTCTTCTGCTTCTTGGCCTCGACGATCTGCGATCGGAAGGGGAGCTGGGCCGCTAGGGCTTTGGGGACGCGTACGGGATTGAAGTGGCGGTTTACGCGCTCGATCTTGCGGTATTGGCTGTTGCGGTCCTTGGGGGTCGGTAGGTTCTCGGCGCGGCGGATCTCGCCTGTTAGCCGCATCGCTTGCCAGCCTACGAGGTTCGTAGCTGGGTTGTAGAAGCGGTGGGGTTTGATGGGGTACCAGGCGCGTAGGAAGACGATGTCGCTCATGAGGATCTTGTCTTCGAAGGTGGCGCGGAAGCAGCCCTCGGGCTTGGACAGCGCGCGCTTGATCTGGCCGCGGATTCCCGACACGGTCTTGATGGCTGCGCCTTCGAACTTGGCGATTTCGAGGGACGAGTTGAACATGTTCTTGATGAAGGCAGTGTTCTTGTAGATCTTGTAGGGCACGCCCGTGAGCTTGAGCTTCTTGACGATCTCGGTCGATTCGTCGACGCTGAGGACCGTGCCCGTCGCGGCTATCCGGAAACCCGAGGTGTTGCCAGAGAGGGAGTTGAAGCAGACGAAGCCCGTGTTGGGAGCGATGAGTGGGCCGTAGAAGGTTCCGAAGCAGTGCATGTGTTCGGGGGTGTACTTGAGCATGCGGTTTCTCGTCCGCGAGTCGGAGATGCTATAGATGGGTAGGGTTTGGAACCGCCTCCAGCCTAGCGAAACGATGAGGGGATCGTTCGTCTTGAGAATCTTCTTGTGCCATCGATGCCTCTTGATTCGCACCTGGACGAAGCCGAAGCGCTCCTCCGTCGGCGTCAAACCGCCGAGGATGATGGGTGTCGAAGACTTAAAGTTCTCGACGAACTCGGCCGGTACACCCTCGAGCACGATCTTGGCATATTTGCCCGCCTTGTAGCCCTCGACGGCTATCCGTTGCCTCTCGTCGAGTTGCTCAAACTCCGCTTTGTTGATATCCAGCTGCTTCTGGATCATGGCCTTCTGCGCATCGTACCATTCGTCCTCGCCGAATTCATCTGCTGTGGTACCGGCCTCCTTTCGGGCGTTCGCTTTGTCGTTGAAGAAACCTTCGCGATCTTCTTCTTCGAATCGCATCTTGAGCTCTTCCTTCTTGCGAGCGTTCTTCTCACGCTCAGCTTCAAGGTCTTCGACGGGCTCGGGGGATTCCGATTCCATGTTGCCGTGAACCTCACCCGTCTCTAGATCCTCAAAGGCCCCATCACCCTCGTCATCATCATCTTCGTCCTCGTCACCGTCTTCATCCCCTTCGAGTTCATCCCCTTCATCGAAGCCATCGAAATCATCACCGTCGTCGTCGTCGTCTCCACCTCCTCTTCTTAGGGAGGCCGTCGCGAATCTCTCGCGGATGGACTCGATGATGTCTTCCTGCGACCATTTCGTGGCAAGCTCATCGTAGTCGAAGACGGGAATCTGGCGGTCCTCAACAATTTCCCCTTCCTCATGCTTCGCCTTCTTGAAGAATTCTTCGTCATCGTCCTCGATATTCTCCTCCCCCTCCTCTTCGTCATCCTCGCCCCTCCATCTCCGAAGCGCATCGCGAGGCGTCAGAGAGTCGTCATAAATGTACCTGGCAAGATCAGCAGTCCGGTAGGTCTGTCGCCTCCCATGCATACTCCTTGCTACCGAAGCGAGGTTATCCTTCCATCGCAAAGCGGCCGCTTCTTCGTCCGAGTCGTACTCCTCCTCGTCATCATCATCATAATCTTCACCATCAACCTCATCCTCTCCTGAAATTGAGCCAAGGTCAGAGTCACTGTCGGCAAAGGCAACATCGTCTTGTCCAGGCTTCTCATTACGGCTCCCGTTGCGGAACAACTTGCCGAGCTTGCCCTCGTTAAACTCGTCCTCAACGTCGGACTCGCCGTCCTCTTCACCACTAACGAAGCCTTCGTCATCCGGGACATCGTCAAGATCGGAGTCATCGTCGTTCGCCGCAGCGAGCCTAGGCTGGCGATGGGTCTTTCGTCCCGTATCTTCTTCCTCATCAACTGCTTCCAGCGCATCTTTGCCAATCTTCTCGCCTCCCCTGAAGAGCTGCACGCCGTCCTCGGTCTGACCCAAAAGCTTACGCTCACCTTGCAGGCCAATAATGAGTTCTTCGCCCTCACCTAGCTCTTGGTTCTCGCCGTCCTTGTTAAAGGTGAAACCCTTCTCTCGTGTAATCCAAATGGCATCACCATCGATTTTGAGTCCGCTCCTGTCCGACATCGGCGCGTGCAACTTCTTCTCCTTTTCGTCGAGGCGCCTTCTCCCCGTCTTACCCGTCACCTTGGCAGCTGCCTGTTCCATAGCCGGGGTCGGACATGGGTCGGGCAGCGCCTCGACCCCAGCAACGGTAAAGTCTCCCAGACCCGGGACGTGGACCCGCTGGCCACTCGAGGCAAAGTTCGTTCCGCGAAGATAACCCGAGAGAACTATGGAACGATCGCATTTGGGATCCTCTTCAACTTTGGTGGGATGGGTGATGTCTCGGAAGCTGTCGATGACGGTGTAAGGATGGGTATTTCTCCAGACAAGGGGACGAGGGTTCTTCATGACTGAAAGGAATCGAGAAAGGTTGTGAATTTCGCGGTCGGGATATCGTCCGTTGAGCACACCTGAGAGATAGAAGAGGTGGGCGCCTTGGTAAAGCTCGGTCCACAGCCTCCGTTTTAACCTCTTCTTCGCATCCTTCAGGGCCTGGGGTTTTCGGAAGAGGTCGAGGTGGGTGAGAATGCCGAAGACATTGCCGGGCATACCGGTAGCCGCAAGGACGTTGAGAAACTCCATAGTCTCCATCTCGAAGCCATAGTTTCCGTCAATCATGAGAAGAACAATATCGGCAATCTTGGCCACGTCGACCATGGCTTCGAGCTCGTTGGGGCACTCGAGGAACGTCAGGCGCTGCTTCTTCGACGTAACGACGGTTATGGGTCCTTGAGGGTCGGACAAAGTTTCTTTCGCATATCGGCGGATAAGGGACTTTAACAGGGTCGTCTTGCCCACGCCGGGAGGGCCGACGATGGCGACGAGTCTCGGCGGGGGTTCATCGGGGAGACGATCGATCTGGGGCACGTGCAGACGCTTCTCCTTGATCTGAGAGTAGGAATCGAAGTAAGTACATGGTCAAAATACTAAAGCCAGAAATCATTAAGCAGTGCGATGGCAACATACATCGTGCGACCGTGCCGCCGTTCGTTGAAGCCGACCGGGATTCGCAAAGGCAAAGGCCTTCGGATTCTTGTCTAGAGATTGGGTCAGTCCTGTGGGCTGCGATCAGTAATTAAGTGCAAATTTATGACATACCTCCGGTATGCTTCTTCTTCTCTTTAGCCTTCCGATGAGGCTTGTGTACTTGGGCCTCCATGATGGGTTAGTGGTGCTTAGAAAAGATCGATCCAAACCATGGGAATTTTTTTTTTTTTTTTTTCGTTGTCGCTGGATGCTCAATGTCGGAACTTTTTGCCCCGTCTCCAAAAAATTCGTCGTCGTGTTATCTTATCGGCTTATCGATAAGAGATCTAGATCAAGCTCGACCCCACCAAGCAGCCCCTCCCTCCCAGCATCGCCCTCACACTCACAGCCATCTAAGACGCGGAGGCGGAAGTAAGTTACACTGATCGAGTTGGTTGATTTACAAAGCACTCTACTCCTTCTGATACCTCGGTATCCCCATCACGATCGCAAACTCCATTGTCTCACCTACGCCCAAGATCACGATGACAGAGCTCGAGGATATCACCTACTCGCGCGAAGGCACAATTGCCGCAATAACCGAGTACTACAAGTTCCTTACTTCAATGTACGTGAGGGATTCGCGGGTTATTTATCCCCCACCTAAGGGCTGGCCATCCATTATCAACGCCGACCCTCACCTCCTACAATCCTTCGGAAAATCCGACGAGGTCATAGCACTACTTGCCCACCTACCCTATATACAAATTGTTCAGGGTGATGAGGATGTGGAAGCTGCCCCTTATTGTGTTTTTGCCGACTGGCAATTTCTCATTGAATGCCTTGGCAAGCCTGCAAGTAACATTACCAGTGAGGGCCTGCATATCACAACCGAGGGAGCTACCTTTGCCGAGCTATGCCCACCCCATGTTGTTGGTCTTACATTTGGCGGTCGTGATAATCCTGTCATGGTGCTCGACACAAAGCTCGGTATTATCCACTGGGAGGACTGTTTTGATCAGGTTGAGCGCGAGTACGGCGCAAATGGAGTCGATTATGAGCCGGGTGATGATGATGATGCAAGTGAGGAAGAGGTCGCCTGGCGCGAGAGCGCAACAGCGTGGGCTATCCCAGACTTCTTCGAGAACCTCAAAGCTCAGTTTATAAAGTTAAACTGGATTCCCATCAGTCCTTATTCCGTACGGAGTACTCCTATGTACACCAGCCCAGATGAAGAAGACATAGTGCTCATGTTGCAGGGTATCTACCACCAGCATGGCTGGCCTGACTTGGCTACTTATCGGAAATTGGACTGCCTGGAAGCGGTACAGGCAGCCTTGATCGAGAGGTATCCTAGTCATGCTTGCAGCTCATCAGCCGACAGGGCCTCCAGATCCTAGCCGAGCTCAGCCAGACCAACCACGGACTGGCACTGATGGACAGATGTGGGATGTGGACTGTGGTTATTACGATATGTTCCTAGTCTACATCGATGGCGTTTCTCTCCCGGTCGAGTCTTCAGGTGCCTAAATGGCTGCCTGAGAGACACACGACATCCACGCGTTCTGCACCCTTCGTAATATCTCTCTCAAAAAGTCCGACAGAGTCCCATCGCATGAAATGTATGGGAAGTCCCCTTTAGTAGTCGAAGTGAAAGAGGAAGGTGTTAAAACGACTGGGATATGGACCGTCAAATCCTAAACTCGATCGGTTTTCCGTCTGTACATCTAGACACCAAGTTAAAACACAAGCGAACAAAAGGTCCCAGGTCCAGCCCGCGAGCTGATGACGTAATTTGCCTCAATCCCATGCGAACAACTTGGACTGGGAAGACCTGGATGTCTCAACCCAAAGTACATCCAGTATGCCACACGTACAGGAGGAGGACTCCAACTGACGTCGCCGTCATTAGGACAAACGTAAGCTTCAATCCGCGCTGTGACAAAGGACGGGGCAGGCTCAAAGATTAGCAAATCGATTGAGTCCATTTGATTGTTTACCCAAGCACGAGTCCATTCAATTACTGCATACATTGTCCACAGCTACGGGTCTAGAATGCGTGCTGCAGCTGGCTCGGCTGTTCAGGCGACATCTATAAAGTCCATCAGGCGCCCAGGCATCCCCGCAACTCGCTTCCCATCATCATCCTCACTACTACGCTCATCCATCACCAACCACTTCGTTACTAGTCAATTTCACACTTCAAAATCATTCACTATGCCTACTTACATTGTGAGTTTCTACCATGCATGTGATTATCTCCTATGAGCTCCTTGACGAGCTGGCCGATTCACTTACCGACTGGGCTCGTTACCCGTATAGGTCACATGCAAGCCGGACGCGACCCCCGCGCAGGTCCAACAGTAGGTTCTCCGCCGTCCCTTTTCGCTCTTCATTCTCAGCCCCCAGTCCGAACTAATGCCATTTATAGAGCCAAGGATGACGCAGTTGCCCAGGGCGGCAAGATTGGACACGAATACAACTTAATCAAGGGCTTCTCGTGAGTCGACCCACTGACTTGGGTATAAGAAAGATCGCCAAGTGCGGATAACTAACCAGGCGTTTTGTTACATAGTGTGGACTTCCCTGATAACGCTGTTAGTGCTTTCCAGAAGCATGAGCATGTCGAACACGTCGAGCTGGACCAGCCTGTTAGAATCCAGTAATTCCTACGAAATCGTGGTTGGAAGGTTGGAAGGCGACTCTAGTGGGAGGAGCGCTTGGGTTCCAGTCTCGGAAGGCGATAGTTGTCCTTGAGGAAGCATGCGATTCTCCTCGCCTTGTTATCGAGCAGGAATAGTGTAATTGATTATGGTTCCAAAAATGAGTACTGTTGTTTGTTCAATGTTCCCTTCCTGCTTGAGTAGAGCGGCTGTTCAAAGTACATTACATCATAGTTTGTAACTGCAGCTGTACAATGAAGTCGATGAGAAGAGACCACTACGTCTCGGGGCATTCGCAATGGAATGCGGAAAATATCACTGCACGGACTCTTCAACGTAACTTCGCGCTTCAGAGCGCTTTTCTCTGTTGCAGTTTTCAAAACAGGAATGGGAAGCAACTGAACCATTGATCCACTTCGAGAACGGAAAATATTTGTTATTTGCCCAGATTTTGAAACGGTCCATAAAGCGGCTTAGCAAGCGACTAAATCAACCAAGTGTCAAAGATTCTCTATGGCCAAATGGTTAAGGCGTCCGACTGTTACTCCAGTAGCTGAAATCGGAAGATTCCAAGTTCGACCCTTGGTAGGGAAGCTTCATTTTTTACCCATCCAGTTCATTTATCAGGGCGATCGATGATTCTTTTTTGCTAGTCGATTTTATCGTTATGATTATCGTAATGAATTTATTTTACAAAATGAGTTGTTTCGAAAGTGATTGTGAATTTGAATTTATAAGCTCTTCCTTATTTTATTTGCTATTTAATTATTTATTTTTATGAGCTGATGATGGAAAGAGTCGCAAGTGCCAGTTGCAAGTGCCAGTGTGGACGAATGGATCTTGGAGTCATCAGTCTCGTCATCTTTTTTCACCATGATGACCCTTCAAGAGTGGTCTTCCCATCTCGGAACAATGGCGGAGATAGCCACCAGTTAGGGCCGCCAACACTCGATGCCACCACTGTCTAGTGCTCAGTTGGCAGCAATTTCGGACGGCATTGCCCCAGTGCAGCGCGGCACTCGTAACTACGAAGGCTTCTGCCAATAGCGCCGCCCTCACCAGCCGACCAGCCGTCACTTGCCGACCCAGCTTGCCCCATGTTCCGAAACCCCAATGTCCAATGTGACAATGTCCCCCTCTCGATCCTCGTACTGACAGTTCTTTCAAGTGTTCCTCAATTGTCAGCACCACGAGAGCATTGTTCATGGGTACGGCACAGTGTGTTCATCACTGGAGCTAGCCGAAACCAACAGTTCGACCGCCCACTCTCAACTGCGACGCACCACCCAACCGCAGCGAATTACTCAACTGCCAGTCTGCCAGACCAAACCAACTTGGACCGACATACACCTTCGGTATAGCCCACCTTACCCCAAACTTAAACCCGAGCCGTCGGTCTGAATCATCCCAACTTCTCTTCCCTTCCCGCAGAACAGCATCACCTCACCATGCCACCATGAAAGCCATGTCCACCCCCATACGGTCCCTGCGGTCTCGCAGTCGACTCTCAGCTTCCACCACACTCTCAGCGGCTCCAATTGCACGGCGGAGGATATCCACGAGCATCTGGAATAGCTTCATCTTCGGACCGCGGTCCCCACCCACCCCGCGACCCGTCACCGATCACGAGGTAGCAGAACTGGCGCGGAAAGAGCTGCACCCTCTCAGTCTGGCCGATCTCATCAAGTGAGTACGGTACTATCTAGGCTTCCTCTTGAAAGGAATTGAAGAATTGCTTTCGGAAACTTTGTGGGGGGAGGACAGAGAGTGTGGGATGTGTGTGTGTGTAGATGTGTGTTGCTCACGAGATTTCCCTAGGCATGGTCGTCCCCCGCTCTCCGAACCTGCCCTCCTCTCCTCAGCCAACTTCACGCTCTCCCTAATACCCGTCCGCCTCGCCTCCCGCATCCAGGCCCTCCGCAACCTCCCCTACATCGTCGTCTCGAACCCCAACATCAACAAGATATACAAAAACTACGTCCACTCCCTCTCCACCCTCCTCCCCTGGTACGCCAATCACACCACCCACACCCCGGCCATCGAGACCCTCGAGGACGAAGTCGCCTTCACCTCCGCCCTCTCCGAGCTCGTCGCGACCCACCAGGATACCATCCCCGTGCTCGCCCGCGGCTTCCTCGAATGCCGCCGCTACATCCCGCCGCAGGACGCCACGCGCTTCCTGGACGAGCACCTGCGCGTGAGGATCGGCACGAGGCTCATTGCTGAGCAGCACATTGCCCTGCACCACAGTAGCCAGGCCCACGGCGGGACGCGGAACAGCGTGCATTATGGGGATAGGCCGAACTATATCGGCGTAATAGATACGGCGCTGAGGCCGGCCACGACGGTGGAGTTGTGCGCTGATTGGGTGGCGGATATTTGTGAGTTGAGGTATGGTATCCGGCCCAAGGTCGTCATCAATGGCGAGCCCGATACGACGTTTGCTTTTGTGCCCATGCATCTGGAGTACATCGTCACCGAGCTCCTCAAGAACGCCTTCCGCGCCACGCTGGAAAATCGCATGGAATCCGAGCCCATCGTCGTGACCATCGCCCCCGAACCAGCCTCCCCCTCCGCGACCCCGCGGCGCACGACCCCCCCTCCCCCTCCGCCGGAATACAGCCTCGGCGAGCACGACGACCCCGAACCCGACCACCACTCGGAATCACACACCATCCTCCCGCTCGACGAGAATGCCTCGGGCGTGACCATCCGCATCCGTGACCGCGGTGGCGGCATCTCCCCTTCCCTCCTCGACAAGATCTGGTCCTACTCCTTCACCACCTTCTCCGCCGATGACGAACTCCCCGGGTCCAGCGGAAACGGCGACGGTCTTGCCGCCCTCTCTTCCGCTGGCCCTGGCGCAAGCTCCCTGGCCGGCTTGGGCTACGGCTTACCCCTCAGCCGTGCTTACGCGGAGTATTTCGGCGGAGGCATCGCGTTGCAGTCTCTCTACGGGTGGGGCACCGATGTGTATCTGCGGTTGAAGGGTGTAGGGAAGATTGATTCTTGAAAATTGCCTTCCTTTGTTTCTTGGTGTTTATTGAGCGAAGGCATGAGAGAGAACATTGGGGGGGTTCTTTTTTCACTACTTTCTTTTTTTGTTTTACGTTTTGTCTATATGAAAGATGGTTGAAGCGCTGAAGACGGGAGAGAGGAGGACAAAGCATTGATATCGGATCATGGGATTAGAAGGTAGCGAGAAACTTGGGAAGGTTTCGTTTTCATTCCGCTGCGCAACGGACGGCATGTCTCTTTTGTCCGAGGGTTAACAAAACACTTATTGTAGCATTATCTTTTTTGTTTTTTTTTATTAGTCTACGTACATAAACATAAACAACAGATTTCCCATGGGGAGACTTCATTCACCCCTTGCCACTTAAACGATTGTGTTTGTCTCCCTTCCAGATCCCCCTTCCTCTGGAGTGAGGGAGACCATGAGAGCCCGCAACCCCCATAGCTCTTTCCTCGGCGTCGCAACCTGCAACCACCAGCACTCATAGCTTTATATAGAAGGATCCAGCAGCATCTTCCAACCGAGTAGCTGAAGTGGAAAGACCACGACCAGTGGCCAAGTGGTCATTGCAGCGCTCAGAAGGTTGGAAAATTGCAAATTTTCGTAGCTCGCGGACAAGCAACCTGGATTCGATCCTGGGAGCGAGCCGCGAGCGAGCTTTTTGTTCTTTTTTTTTATACCCCTAACCCATTCTACGAATTCTACTCGCACCTCGGCCTCTTGATTTCTCTTCTATTTTCTTGACTCGATGGGATATTTATGATGCATGTCCTACAAGACGGGACCTGACTGGGCTTGAGATTGATCTCGGCGCTCGATATAAGGGAGTTCTTCGTCTGTCGAGAAACTGGTGATATTGTTCGCCGAGATCAACTTTCCTCGAGACACATCTAATCTCTCATCCTAGCTAAATATATACATTCTCTTCATCACAGATCAAGGCACGAGAGGCAATCGTAATCTCTCTTAATATACTAGAGAATTAAGTATGTGTATTGTATGTATCCCAAATAGACGAGAAAAGAGATCAACGTTACAAGAGAAAACCAAGGAAAGAGCTCGAATATGAAAATGTTGAAACGCCATCCTCGAAGACCACCCGTCGAAATATGTGCCTTGATTTGACTTGAGAGAAATGAGAGAACAAGGAAAACACAAGGAAAATAAAGGAAACAGGACAGTATTGTGTGTTGCGAACGTCCATGCTCAAGTTATCAAATCCTCCGAAAAATCTCTAAAGTTATCATCAAAATATAGTAAATGAAACCAAAAATAACATCCAAATTCAATTACACTTCAACTTTTTTTTTTTCTCGGAGGAGTTTACATGTTAGCCAACTCCTGGTCAATCTGCCTATCCATAAACGTCCTCCTCTCGCCAGTGAGCTCAGTCTGAAGCCTCTGCTCCACAAGAGCCCGCACCTGCTTCTTCGTCACGGTATCGAGGTCAACTTCCCTAAGGACGCTCTGGATAGCCTCGATAACCATGGCATCGTCAGGCCCAACATGGCCGCGCTGGAAGTCGAACGAGGTGGTCGAGCGCATAGCTGCATCGGGACCCGCGAAGGACGCCCTAGTCGCCGCGCCACCTGAGTAGCCGAGTGCGGTCGAGGAGCGGTTCATACCGACGCCGAGGGCGGGCGAGAGGTTGCTGGTGCCGCGGAGGTTGGAGACGCTGGCGCGGACGTCCTGGTAGGGCGAGGGGCGGCGCTGGATGTCGCCGCCGAACGACGCCATGGACTGCCGGTTGAGCGCGTTGTCACCATAGGGGAAGCTCGACTGGCGCTGGATGGGGACACCGGCGCCGCCTAGGTTGGTGGGCGAGGGAGGCATGAAGGGAGGACGACCGGCCATACCGCCGCGGAGGGAGCCTTGAGGAACGGACGAGTAGACGCTCCTGACCTCGTCCATCTCGTATTGGTCCTCGCCGAAGTACTCGCGCTCGGCGGGACCGCCACGGCGGCCAGGGAGGTTGTTGGCGAGGGCGTAGTCGTCCCAGCGCTGAAGGGGAATGCTTCGGGGATCGAAGTTGGTCTCGTCGACCGCCACAATCTTCTTGTCACCCTTTTCTCCCACGACGATACGCGTGTTACCCCACGAGAAGTTGTCCTGGTTCCAGAAGGAGTAGATGGGAAGGATGAACGAGTAGATGGGGAAGGCGAGACAGTAAATGATCATCCAACCAATGTGTTGCCACTGTCGCTTGAGGATGAAGATCAAAGCCTGAAGACCATAGACAGCCGCCAACATGACAATCGAGAAGAGGGGGAACTGGCTCTTGTGTGAGGCAACGCTGTAAATGAGCCATCCCAAGTAGGCGCAGGTAGCCGGAAGGATAATGGTCGAGCAGAGATCAAGGAAGACGACAAATCTCATGGAGAAGCAGCAGAAACCACACATTTCCTTGAGCCGGAGCAACTCGACGAGGTTGTGGATCGTGGAATTGATCCAGCGACGACGCTGCGAGAGAAGGACACTCCATGATTCGGGTGCGGCAGTCTCACAGTAGGCATCGGGAATGAACTTGTACGACATGGAAGGAAAGTACTTGGTCATGAGCGTCGTCAGGTAACGATCCTCACCAAGAGACAGCAGGTTCTTCTTGTGCAGCGTATCAACATCGCAGACGGAGTAATCCCTGATCACATCATCCGAAATGATGAGTGGCTTGCCTTTGTCAATGGTTCGGAGACGGTACATGGAGAAACTAGGAAGGGAAAACAAAAAGGTTAGCTAACCATCTAGGAAGGAGGTTGAGGAAAGGGAAGAGAAGCAATAGAAAGGCACGCATACCATCCTGGCAAGCAAGTAACACTGCCGAAGAGAGACTCGAAAGCCTTGGTAAGGTGGTGAGAAATAAAGTACTCGTAAACCTGGATCATGGTCCACCATGTCTTTTCATCGTTCTGCAGCCCCGTCTCACCGCAGATACCGGCAATCTTGGCATCATTGGCACAAGCCGCAACTAGGCGATTGAGCGAATCTTCCCGGACCGAGGTATCGGCGTCGACCATGAGGAGGTACTCGTAGAGCTCGGGATCCACACCAATGACGTTGTTGATCTGATGGAACATTTCCAGTTCGAGCGGGTTCATGGGCGAGCGGTGGTGGACGCGGTTAAGGAAGCTCATCAGCAGAATCTGCGAGTCACGCTTGCCACGGTTCCCGGGCTTGACGGAGGACTGCTCGGACTCCTTGCCGACCTTGACGACAACGATATAGGGGACGACGTTGCCCTCGAACTCGTACAGACCCGAATACACTTTACCATAGTTGAGCTGCTCGGAGCCGGTACCAATCGATTTGAAAGGGAGCGCTGGGGGATCAACCTTGGGGTCGACGCCGAGGATATCAAGGACAATCTTGGGCGTGGGCCTGTCGTTGCCCTGACCAACAATGATACCGTCGCAAATGACGCAAATGAGCTTCCTCTTGTTGTCATACTGGAGAGCTGTGAGCGAGTCGATGGCCTTGCGCAGGGAGTCTTCACCCTCAGTGTAGGCGGGGACCTGGCAAATGACAAACTTCTCCTGGGGCGAGGGGCGCCTCTTGGAGCCGAATTGCAGCGCGGCTAAGAACTTGACGAGGATGACAGCGCAGATGATGATGGTGAAGGCGAGCAACATGTACTTGTTGACCTCGCACCTAGGTGTGATTCGGAAATCAGGGATACCCTGGTAGAAGTGATTCTTGATGCAGTTCATGCTGTTGAAGACGGGGGTCTGAGCATCGGTATTACGGACCTTGGCCGTGAGTTCGTCCCAAAGCTCTGTGATATCCTCGCCAGGGTGCTGCTGCACGATATCGGTGACATCCTCGTGAAGGAACGAGTAGAGTTCGTTGCCGTCCATTACATCTAAAGTGTGGAAGTAGTCGGTCATATCGTAGATCTTGCCGTCGTAAGTGAACCACATGTGCTGGTTTTGGCGCCCATCGTCCTTGACCTCCTGGGGAAGCCACACAAGATCACCCTTGTAGTACTCGGTGATCTTGGGAAGAAACTGAGCGGTGTACCAATCATCTTCGGCCAGCTTCGAGGTAATGTAGGCGGTGTGTTTGCCCGACTTGTGCACGGCCTCAGGATGCTCTTGAGTTTCGTTGGCGAGGAGCTCCAGTCTCTCGCCGATACCGAGACCGCGGCAGCTAATGGCTAGAGGGATAGGAAAGTAGTCGGTAAGGTCCATTCCGGCGAACGGCTCCATCCGCTCCTGGGTGGTCTTGATTGGAATGTCGCTGTGTTGCTGCTTCCAGAACTTGGAGATATCGTAAACCCTTCCATGAATGCTGACGAAGTAATCATCTGCTCCTAAATGGTGGGAAACCTCATTCCTATTCCAAACCTTGTCTCTGTTGGGGCAAAGAACAAGACCAAAACCGATAATCCAGAAGACGACCATTGCATTGATGAGGAAGATGAGGAACACTAGTACGACCTTTTCACGCCACGCCATACGGACGTCAGGGCGTCTCATGCGGCCAACATGGCGGAGGACTGGCGATGGAATCCAGAAGGTGAGAGCCCAGACGAAGCCGACCCACATGCGACGACCGAACGTTTGTTGCTTGGTCTCAATCGTCTTCCCGTGAGCAAGCTCCGGATCCATGTTGCCAATGAATTCGCCGTCGTTATTGTAGTAGACCTGACCCTTGTACGTGTCACCTTTGCTACCTAGGCCGTAGTCGCCGTTGTTGACGTTCCTCAGCGGCGTGGCGGCGACGGAAGGGGCGCGGTTCTGGTTCAGCGTGACTTGGCTCATGTTACCTTGACTGAAGGTCCGGTTGTGGCCGACTAAGTGATCCCGACTGCCGTTCAAGGAACCATCCAAACCAGTAGGGAAATAACCGCTGCCCGCAGCTGAGTAGGCAGATTCAAAACCCTGGGTAGGCGCCGCCGCAGGCATAGCCATAGGCATGGGCATACCGGCACCCATGGGCTTAAGATCCAACATGCTCTCGGCCTCCCACCAGGCGTTTTCACGCATCCACACGCGCTCCTTTCCAACAACGACCTCGCCGTTGCTCCAGCCACGCTCGAGGATCCAGGTTTCGATACCGTCTCGGCCATCCTTGCAGCCCAGAACGGAGTATCGCTGGACAAATTCGTCGAGGTCGAAGTCGGAAGTGAAATCGAGGTGTCGGTTTCGGCGGTTCGCCCATTCGGGTAACCTCCAGGCGCGGAGTTGGCGAGAGACGGTGCCGGCAGACCAGGCCGAGGTGATGGAAGGCAAGGCTGCCAGGCTGGACGGAGAATCGTCGGTTGGGTGGATGCAGAGGTGGAACCAGGCTCGGCTAGCGTTGAGGAGAGCGGCTAGGTCGATTCTGCCGGCTCGACCTAGATTAATTCCCTCACCGGGGACGGGGAAGAGCAACTTCTTAAGGAAACCATCATCGTCGGCAGCGTGAGCCACCTTCTCAAGGATAATCTCACGCTTCTCGAGCTCGTGTTGGCGGCTTCGGCCCACGGGACCGGTCATAATACCCAGATCAGGGGCGGCCTCCGCCACGGCGTTCTGCATCTCCCGGAGAACGGATGAACCCGCACCGGAGACTTCGACGCCATCTTGAATCATCTCCTGGTTGATGCCTTGGCTATCGTCGAAGATGGCCCTCATAGCGATTGCCTTGCCGAGCGTCGGGTCGGGGACTTCAATGACTGTGATGGAAACCGTATCGCCAGCATCACTAGGACCTGCGGGAGAAGGGCCACGGCCGTCAACAGACCCAGCACCATCGCGGATAGCCGACATCTGGGAAGAAATGGCCTCGTTTGCCTTGGCAATAACCCAATCGACGAGACACTCATAGAGGCCACCGACAAGAGTGACGCGGTCTTCGGTCGAACACTGTCGAGCGAGAACCTCTGGTTCGACGCCAAGGAGACCACTGACATCCTCAATGATCTCATCCAGCTCGTCAGAGTCCACACCATAATCGAGGGTATTACCGAGCTTGAGAAGACCTGCGAGAGTCGAGATGAGATTCCGGTGAGCAGATCCCTTAATTCCAATTTCCTTCAGCGCTGCGCGGAAGTCATCGGCAGCAGCTGCATCGTCCGCGGTGGGGAGATACGAAGGCGGGGTGTAGGTACCGGAGCGGGAGAGGAGGGTATAGCTCGAGGCAGCCTTGAGGCCGAGGAACTCTCGTTCGGCGGGGGTGGAAGCCGAGGTGAGGAGATAGTAAAACACGTCGAAGGCGCGGTATCCGGCCTCCGCTGGAATGTTGAGAAGTCCCTTGGCGGTATCGATACCGCCCTGAGAGAGGGCAACACTAGCTGCGGTGAGCGTGCCCGCAAGGTTTAATGTGAGGCTGACTCCCAACGCAGCTTGACGCGGAGTTGACGGGTTGAAGGGTGTGACACATCGGAGGAAGGGTTGGATGGCCTCCAAGGCAGTGAAAAGGGTCGCGGGAATAGAGAGCGGAAGAGACTGGAGGAAGGGCGAGAGGAGCGATGGGGTGGATGTGTGTAGCGATCTAAGACCGTTCCGTTAGAATCCTGAATAATATAACGGTTTGGGTAGCCCGACAAGTAGAGGTAGGGAAAAAAAAAAAACTTACCCAAGGATAATGCATCCATCCTCTGCTCGTCGTCTCGCATGTTCCCAGGCCCGCGCAGCTAGACTACGGTCAACGGTTCCTCCAACCTTCCCATCAAGCCCCGCCTGAGCGGCGGTAAGCCAGGTGTTGACGACTAAACTGGAACCAGCATCAAGAGTGTATGGCTGAGAAGAAAGGTAGCCGTTATGGACGGCATTTAGTAGGGTCGTCGTCGACACTTGAGAAGACTGTTGGCCGGCTCCGCGGGGACCTCCCGGAGACTCGGACGCGAGCGAATACATCGACATTCGAGAATTGGCCATGTTTGGCAGTGGTTTGGCGACGTGATGTCCGTGATGGACGCTCACGCCGTGTGTTGGTTAATTTTGGGCGGGATAAGTTGAGGACGGCGATCGGGCTGGCCCGACGGCTCGAGGAATATCGACCGGGAAACGGTGGAATCGATGAGTCGACGTCTTCAGTCACTGTACTCGACGATGAAGACCCGATTATGGCTGATGCAGATGTAGCAAAGAAGCGAGCGACCGGGAAAATTCTGAGCGTCAGGTTTCGACGATGGTTAAGGGGAAAACACAGAATTACAGGGAGTCGTTCGAGAATACGCTCCGCCGCGGGACGGCTCCTTTCGAAGCAAAAAGATCGAGCAGAAGAAAAAGAGAAAATGTATTAAACAGGATTAAGAACGAATGAATGCTAAGAATCCATCCAAAGCGAGTGAGGACGGGTGTAGAGTGCAGCAAAAGAGATACGCTCTTCAGAACCGAAGAAGGCGATGAAGCGATGAAGAACGTGAAGGGCAGGAGCAGGCGCGGGAGGTTTCAATGTTGGCTGTCCTAGTGGACTGAGTACTTGGTAGGGTACCACGACATAGTACACTCGGCCTACTGTGCAGCACTGAAGTACCAGGTGAGCCCACCCACGGGGAGTACGGTACAGTAGATCAGGGAATTACGGAGATCCTCACAGCCCGGGAAGTACTAGTATCACCTCGTTTCGTTTTAGCTGACATTGTTCAGCGCCTTCCAGCTGGCTCAGTAATATTCAGAGGATTGATCCCTGAGTACTTGACGTACAGAGAACGGCGAGCCTATAGACATCGACGTAGGACTCCATCTGCCACGGGCTATGCCTGCACCGAAGTATTCCAGATCCTATGGCTTCACCCCTCTCACGATATTGATCCTCTTCAATGAGTTTGCAGGTCCTTTTTACAGACTCCGAGCATGAAATGGCATCAAAAATCACCATTTGTGCCACAATGAGAGAAGGCTTCGTTCCTCATCTATGGCAATCCTTCGCACAGCACGGTTTCTTCTTGGCGTATGTGAGTGTACTCTGTACATTAAATATGCCATGTTGTCCGTGAAGGCTCAGGCCAGGGGCTCCAGGACCAGCCCATTCCTCCGGTCCATGCGCTAAGAAACCAATGAGCCCCAATGGATATGCATGATTCTCTGTTTATTTGGTGCGGGTGCCACACCTTGCCTCTTACGGTCTAATCGACGATTGGGGGTATTTTTAGTTCGGTGGAGTGCAAAAAATAGGGGCAAGCCACCCAGGTACGAGAAATTTAGTCTCGTGTCCGCACACCGTGCAAATTATTGAGTTGCCCACGGTGCTCATGGTGGGGACATAACGGAACCCCAATCCGTCTTCTCTACGAATTGGACACTTTTGTACTGTGTCCTGGGTGAGAGTCACTTGTTCAACGAAGTACTTGCATGATGTCGTCGGAATGCATGTGAGATTTTTTTTAGCAATGGGAAGGGCCAATCCATCGTCTGGGGAAACAAAGGACATCGAGAGCATCGCCACCTGCGTTGCTGGGAGGTTGCCGAAGATTTGGCTTTGGTCGAATCCATTGCAGCGTCCTCGAATATTTCATACGAAGCATTCTCCATCCCAAGTTCCTTTCAGCCTGTTGTCGAAGAAAAACAATCTATTGCATAGGAAGTTGCCGTGATACCTTGTCATGGCTTACACCATCTTCCTGCATGAGCCTGTGTGTGGTCATGGTGATCGGGTGATACAGGACGGAGTTTGCAAATGTGAAGTATTAGAGAGAGATGGATGATATTAAAGAGAGGAGCGCGACATCGTCTTCGTGATTTTTCAAATTAAGGTTGTATGAGGGAGTACACCAACGAAGTGGCACCTGGTTTATTTACTTCGTATTTACTCGACACGTCGTCGCTGCCCACCCACTTGGACAGCCTCTTGCATTGAAAGTGACCTTCTCCACCACCCCATCTTGACTTGCCTGTGTACCTTGTCATCCACTTAGTTCAAGATGAACCCGACCATTCACCACCTCGTACAACCGAAGCCATGGAAAATGTCAAGGAGTGCTATCACCAAGGCGTGCTCGCCCACACACTGGAATATTTTCGCCATCTCGTGGCTCCCTCTCGCTGATGTCCGTGAGGAATTTCTACCGCCGTTAACGTGGGCGAGTTGATGGTGGAATTTGTGGCGGAGCACGTCCTGTGTCTTCTCACATCCTCGGCTTCGGGCCTCCGAAGAGGGTAAACACTCCCAATATCAAAATTTGCTTTTTCTCAGATATTTGCTCTTTGCTTGTTCAGGCCAGAAACAAGGACGCCCAGTGCCGAGTGGAATTCGAATCATTAAAATCGGATCCATAATTTAGTGGTCGCAGAATCAAGGAAATGGTGCGAGTCACTTCCAACAGACTTATGCGTTCCAAGCAGGACCCGCTTATTTCCCCTTTTTAATGCTTAGGGTCTTAGAATCAGATGGAGATTTCTCCGTCGACCAACACATTTTAGACAACAATCACAGGGCATGGTGGTACAAGCCTACGGAAACTCCCAGGTTTTCCCTTGCCCTGCCAACCATATGCTGCTTGAGTCTTGCTTTGTTTTTTTTCAGTCTTGTTTTTGTACCGCTTGCGCCCGATAAATTGCCTTTATCCATTTCAACGTTTCGTTCTGAACTCTTGCCTCTGGGGGCATGCTTGGTAGAGCGCATACATCTCTTCTAGGCTTCCGCTTCCGTCCCGGGCTACCCCAAATACCCAAGTTTCTCAGATCTGTAAACAAGACCTCATCTAGCACTAGCAAGGAGAGGGAAAAAAGAGAATAAAAAAAAAAATTCCAGGTGAGAGGAGCGGGCGGAGATGAGGCTCGGCGTGGCCCGGCGCAGCTGAGATCCTAGGACCGGGGTCTGATCTTCATGGACGAAGTACCAAGTGGCAAGTCATAGGGCAATGGATACTTGGTCCTTCATCCCGCCACTTGGCAAGACGCCATGGGCGAGCCCCTACTAGGACAGGGCCGCAAAACGACCCCTGAAGCCTTTGGAAGGGCAAGACGTCCCCTCATCTGTGTCCAGGAAGAGAAGAAAAGGATAAGTTCAATGATCCACGTACGAAGTAGTATTGTTTCCCGCCATGATTGCTAAGCCTTTTCCGTACCATTCCATGTCGAATCGGCTGAGCTGAGGCACCAATTCCTCTGTCGGACTCCCAGAATAGCCATCAAATGGTCATAATTCAGAATCATACCGAAGGGCTTTAAGTTCTCGAACACGAGCCGTCGGTGGCAACAGTATTACCTCGATTCATAGAGGATCGGGCTCGTATGGCTTGTCCGATCGATCGAACTAGTCCGTAGTCGTATTTTTGACACGAGGCCTTTCCGGCTTGCCATAGTCCAGGTGGCTCGTATGAAAGAAAAATATGCGCTTCTGAGCCAACATCACGGCCCATGGCAGATGTACACAGTGTCAGTACTCCAAGCCTTTCGTGGAAGATTTAACGGAATTGACGGTGATCCGTTTTGGTGCAGTGGACAACACCAAAATGCAGCCACCAAATTCGCGAAATTCAATGCAAGCGACTAACTCGTCATGAATGTTGATAGCCGCAGGAAGCCACAAAGATCTGATACACTGGAGGCGATGGTGATGGCGCTCGTCACGTCTGAATTCCGGCCCGCCTATTGTCGTCTGTATCCGTTTGGGGGGCGACGGGAGACCTGCGAGAACTTGAGACAACGGGGGCGAACCAGGAGTCTGTCGCGTCCCAACTTGATGCCGCGTGGGCTCGGCGAGGAGAGTAAGAGGTTCCAAGATCATTGGGAATCGAAACAGATGCATTATTATCCTTATCGTGCTTGTGTTTCGGCGATCATGGTAACCAAACCCTGGGATTTCATTAGTGTTTACCGGCTTTGCTTCAGAGGGTTTTCGTGAGAGACCGAGACCCTACTGAAGTGAAGGCGGCAAGAAGGGTCGAAATCGGGATGAAGAATCTCTTGTTTCAGCCGGACTGTTCAGATTCCATGCGGAAACTGCCCTAAAGACCGCCCTACTGGGAGTCTTGAGCACCCCATTTACACATTTCAATTATGTAGGTTAGTGAAGTCGACTTCATAGACAATGTTAATACATTTTCAAAGCTTGCCACTCAAATCTAACAACACAAACTCATCTTGGAAGGACGATCCTCGGGACTCCGGACGGTAGCCCGCCGCATGAAGATGCGGACATGGACATAACGAGCGTCATTTCGGGGAAAAGCACAGATTAGATGTTGCAGGGTAAGTACTTTGTCGTGTACGGAGTACCTCAGTACATTGGCAATATTGTCCTCTGAACGCACAGTGCCGGACTGAGAAAACATCAATCAGCTGAACTGCAAACTGTTCGCTCAAACTCGGTTACGGGCTTGGGAGAGGGTTTTCTTGACCAGCCACGGACTCGGGATTGGAGGAAAGACGAAGATGAGGAAGCGCTATGTGCTCATGTTCTGACGTACCTACCTTAGCTCAGTGTTCCGGTGCGTGTCAAGCCAATGAAGCCCGACGCAAAACACCGACGCTCATCTCCTGGGTTTGTACCGTCCCCGCTGGTGGAGCCTACGGTAATTGTCCTGTGTTGTTACGTTTGACTAACGGACCAACAACGTCCAACTTCAGAGTGGCACATTGGAGGAACAGTCTCGTGGCAGTACTTCCGGATGTCAGCAGGAATTTGAAGATATTGGACTGCGCCATGTTATACTGGGACAGTGTAGACAGTACATAGGCCCCACAAAGTCGGGGAAGAAAGAGAAAAAAAAGTTAGGAAAAGAAAAAGAAAACGAAAGGAAGGGGAATTTTACCTTTTGGGCACAGAAATAATTTAGCGTGCATCCCCCTATTATTGAGAGGCACGAACCCGGTACGCCCAAGACCACCAGCCAATCGTTCCATCGATCAATTGATCTGTAAGACCAGGACACCCGCCAGCGCCAGCTTCCAGGGTTACAAAGTACTCCAGCCGCTGGGTTTCTGGGAATCCGATCCGCCTGGCAGTGCCTTCCTCCTGCTTCCTGCCTTCTATTCTCTTGGTACTTCGTACTTTCCACTGGTACTTCGGTCCTCTTTTTCACTCTTTTCCCTCTGGTCATACCATCCATACAGAGACAAGATCCCCGTGCCCATTTTGTGTGTTGTACTGCACCTTTCTCCTAACAACGCCAAATTTGGCTCCTTCTGATCCTCCTCCTTTCTCCTCAAGGAGCGACGTTCGTTTTTGCTGCTCCCATAGTCGTTGATTTTCTTCATTACCTTCGTTTCGACTCGCCAGATTATTTCGCCAATAAGACTTGTATTAACTGTACTTTACCTCTTCATAATTATTCTTTCACTGCCCCGTTTGCTCCCTCGCCCCAAAACGCGAAGATCGAACCTCGACGCCCTCGTTCATCCCCGAGTTCCGTCGTAGAGAACGCACACGAAGAATCCGAATCATTCGTTGACAATCCCTCGTTACTCATCTTCACTCGCTCCTAAAGAAAAGCCGAACGTTGACCTCCGACACGCTCTCCTGAAGCCCGTCCCCGGCTTCTCGCCCAGCCCATCATGAGTCTTCCACCGCTGGGCGGAGGCAGCGGGGCTCACACGCAGGCCTCTCTTCCTGCGTTGCCCGCTCACCTCCAATCCGATACTCAGCTTACTGCTCATCTCGCGAGCCGGTTCCACGCTGGTCTCCCTACTGCCCGGCTATCGTCTCATGCTCTCATCTCTCTCAACAACTATTCTTCCTCGGCCAAGGGTTTCGATGGCGGCCGTGAGGGCAGCGCCATGGCCGGCACCGAAGAGATAGCCGACCGTGCCTGGCTTAGGTTGGGACACCGTTCGGAGAACCAGGCTGTCGTATTTCTGTAAGTGTTGTGATAGATGCATTGTCGTTTGGGTTGTGACGATAAAATTGGAAGCGGGCTGGATTTTTTTTATTAACACAAAAACCCGAAATGCAGTGGTGAATCTGGTTCTGGCAAGTCAACTCTACGATCCCACTTGTTGACGGCCCTGTTGAACAAGACCTCGACACCCTTGTCCACGAAACTCTCACTCGCCGCTTATGTTTTCGATACCCTCACCACCACCAAGACCGCGACCACCCCAACAGCATCCAAGGCTGGTTTATTCTACGAGCTTCAGTACGACACTGCCACAACCACCAACCCTATTCTCCTCGGTGGTAAGCTTCTAGACCACCGTTTGGAGCGTAGCAGAATCGCCGATGTACCCACCGGCGAAAGGAACTTCCATGTTCTTTACTACCTCCTTGCTGGAACCACAGCTGCCGAGAAGGCCCATCTTGGATTCGACAATGCCTCCGGCAGCGGGCAAAAGAGATGGAGGTATCTCGGCCACCCCACTCAGCTCAAGGTTGGTATCAACGACGCCGAGGGCTTCACCCTCTTCAAGAACGCCCTTCGCAAGTTGGAGTTCCCTCGTAGCGAAATTGCCGAGATGTGCCAAGTTCTTGCCAGTATTCTCCATATTGGCCAGCTTGAGTTCGAGACGACCTCCGATACTACCGTAACCGGCGACGACAGCGGTGGTTTCTCTCACGAGGGTGGCCAAACCATCACCGCTGTCAAGAACAAGGACACCCTGAATCTCGTTGCGGCTTTCCTTGGTGTCGGCTCGCAAGATCTTCAGACGACGCTCGGTTACAAGACCAAGATGATCCATAAGGAGAGGGTTACAGTCATGTTGGATCCCGAGGGTGCCCGTGCACATGCTGGTGAGCTCGCGAGGACATTGTACTCGCTCCTTGTCGCCTACGTGGTGGAGAGCATGAACCAAAGGCTCTGTGCTCCCGAAGAGTCAATCGCCAATACCATCTCTATTATCGATTTCCCCGGGTTTTCCCAGCAGGCTTCGACAAAGTCTACTCTCGATCAGCTGCTCAACAATGCCGCTTGCGAGGCTCTTTACAACCTGACTCTGCAGAACTTCTTCGACCGCAAGGCTGATATGCTCGAGTCCGAGGAAGTGGCTGTCTCCGCCACCAGCTACTTTGACAACTCCGATGCTGTTAGGGGCTTGCTCAAATCCGGCAATGGTCTGCTGAGCATCTTGGATGACCAAACCCGCCGGGGTCGTACCGACATGCAGCTTCTCGAGTCTTTGAGGAAGCGCTTCGAGGGTAAGAACCCGTCCATCGCTGTTAGTTCCGCCACCGCCAGGCTCCCCGGCAGCAATTTCGCGACCGAGAACACTGCGGCTACATTCACAATCAAGCACTTCGCCGGCGAGGTTGACTATCCCGTCAAGGGACTTATCGAGGAAAACAGCGAGGTTATCTCGGGTGATCTTCTGGGCATGTTCCAGCGTACCAAGAGCGAGTTCGTCGCCCGCCTCTTCGGCCAAGAGGCCCTCCAGACCGTCCACCACCCCAAGGAGCGGTCCACGGTCATGCAGGCCACTATCAGTTCCAAGCCTATGCGTGCCCCTAGCGTCATGTCGAGGAAGACCACCAAGGGCGGCCGACCGACCCGCTTCGAGCGCCGCCAGCAGCAAGAGGAGGTAGAGGCCCTGAGCGAGGCTGGCGAATCGAGAAAGGGCTCCAAGCTCCTCTCGGCGCACGGCGCTTCTGGCCAGTTCCTCTCATCGCTGGAAAACGTCACAAAGGCGGTTGCGGACCCCAGCACGAACGCTTACTTCGTTTTCTGTCTGAAGCCAAATGACAAGCGGATCACCAACCAATTCGATAGTAAGTGCGTGCGAACTCAAGTGCAAACATTTGGTATCGCCGAAATCAGCCAACGCTTGCGGTCGGCCGACTTTAGCTTGTTCCTTCCATTCGGCGAGTTCCTCGGCCTCGCCGACACCGATACTATGCTTATCGGTACCGAGAGGGAGCGTGTCGAGCTCGTTGTTGAGGAGAAGCGGTGGCCGAGCAACGAGGTGAAGATCGGTTCTACCGGTGTCTTCCTCAGCGAACGATGCTGGATGGAAATTGCCCAGCTGGGCGACAACTACTCGGCTTCCGGTGGTGGCTTTGGCCTCTCCGAGGCTGGCGACGGCATCACACCGCAAGACACGCCTTACGCAGCGTCCAAGGAACGCCTGCTATCCACTGGTACCCCTACACCTATGGGGTATGGCGAGAAAGGCAAGAGCGGCTACTTTGGCGGAGACATCGATGCTCGCTCCGAGGCCGGCGTTTCTGCCTATGGCGGCGGAGACATGTTCAGGAATATGGACACAGTAGAGCAGATGGCAGAGCGGACAAACGAGAAGGACATGGTCGAGGTCGAGGAGTACCGCGACAGCCCGAGCCGCAAGCGCTGGATGTTCCTCGTTTACTTGCTCACGTGGCCCGTTCCCGACTTCCTCATCAGGTGGCTTGGCAAGAAACCTCGCAAGGACGTCCGTATGGCCTGGAGGGAGAAGCTGGCCATCAACCTGCTCATCTGGTTCTTCTGTCTTCTAGCTGCCTTCTTCATTGTCATCTTCCCTTTGCTAATTTGCCCCAAACAATACGTCTATAGCCCTGCCGAGCTTGCGTCCTATGACGGAAAAAAGGGCTCCCATGGCGCCTATGTCTCGATTCGTGGTTATGTCTTTGACCTCGAGAAATATTCCTCGCGCCACTACCCACCACCTCCGATCGTGAGCAAGAAGTCACTCATGAATTATGCTGGCCTCGATATCAGCAACCTCTTCCCCATTCAGGTCAACTCGCTTTGCCTGGGCAAGGACGGCTCCATTGATGACGCCGTAACCCTTGACTACAAGTCTACCAATATCACCGGCTCTCCTCTCCTCGTGAACAGCCAAGACTTGAACGCTCAGTACCACGACTTCCGGTCTTTCAGGAACGACACTCGACCGGATTGGTACTACGAGCAAATGACGATGCTTCGAGGTGGCTTTATGAAGGGTACCATCGGCTACTCAGCTCAGTACGTCAAGACACTCTCTACGCTCGACAATAACAAGAGGAACATCGCCATCATCGGTAGCCGGGTTTATGATTTGACAGAGTATCTGAAGGGTGGCCGTAAGCTTGTCGGAAAGCCCGGCGCCGAGGACACGCCCACGGACCTGAGCTTGACGGAATTCATGGAACCTGATCTGGTTCGGCTGTTTGAGCTCAGATCCGGCGAAGACCTCACGTCGCTCTGGGAGAACCTTCCTCTCAACGCCGCTGCTAAGAGACGAATGATGTCCTGCCTTAACAACTTGTTCTTCGTCGGCGACGTCGATACCCGCCGCTCGCCCCGTTGTCTGTTCGCTGAATACCTTGTTCTTGCTGTCTCTTGTCTTCTCGCTTCAATCATTGCTTTCAAGTTCTTCGCCGCCCTCCAGTTCGGTACCAAGAATATTCCCGAGAACATCGACAAGTTCATCATGTGCCAGATTCCGGCTTATACTGAGGACGAGGATTCCCTTCGCCGTGCCATCGACTCGGCCGCTCGCATGAAATACGACGACAAGCGGAAGCTGCTTGTCATCGTCTGCGACGGTATGATCGTGGGTCAAGGTAACGATCGCCCGACACCTCGGATCGTGCTTGATATTCTTGGCGTATCCGAGTCAGTCGACCCCGAGCCGCTCAGCTTCGAGTCTCTCGGCGAGGGTCTCAAGCAGCACAACATGGGCAAGGTCTACTCTGGTCTGTACGAGGTGCAAGGTCACATTGTTCCCTTCTTGGTCATCGTCAAGGTTGGCAAGCCTTCGGAGGTTGCGCGCCCTGGTAACCGTGGCAAGCGAGACTCCCAGATGATTGTCATGCGATTCCTCAACCGTGTCCACTACAACCTTGCCATGAGCCCTCTAGAGCTCGAAATGTACCACCAGATCCGTAATATCATCGGCGTCAACCCTACCTTCTATGAATTCATGCTACAGATCGATGCCGACACGGTCGTCGCCGCAGACTCGGCCACCCGAATGGTGTCAGCGTTCTTGCACGACACTCGTATCATTGCCGTCTGTGGTGAGACGGCGCTTACCAATGCCAAGTCGTCATTCATCACCATGATTCAGGTCTACGAATACTACATCTCGCACAACCTGGCCAAGGCCTTTGAGAGCTTGTTCGGTTCGGTTACCTGTTTGCCAGGTTGTTTCTCCATGTACCGCATTCGTGCTGCTGAGACGGGCAAGCCTCTGTTCGTCAGTCGAGAGGTTGTCGACTCGTACGCGACAATCCGCGTCGACACGCTCCACATGAAGAATCTGCTCCACTTGGGTGAGGATCGTTACCTCACGACTCTTCTGCTCAAGTATCACAGCAAGTACAAGACCAAGTACATTTTTGACGCGCACGCATGGACTATCGCTCCCGACTCCTGGCAGGTGTTCTTGTCCCAGCGACGACGATGGATCAACTCGACGGTGCACAACCTTATTGAACTTATCCCCATGAACCAGCTCTGCGGTTTCTGCTGTTTCTCTATGCGCTTCGTCATCTTTGTCGATCTTCTCAGTACGGTTGTGCAGCCCGTCACGGTTGCGTACCTTGTCTACCTGGTCTACCTTATCGTCGACAAGAAGACCGTAGTGCCCGTCACTGCCTTCGTGCTACTTGCTGCTGTCTACGGTTTGCAAGCCATCATCTTCATCCTCAGGCGAAAGTGGGAGATGATTGGCTGGATGCTTCTCTACGTGATCGCCATGCCCGTGTTCTCATTTGGCCTTCCGCTCTACGCCTTTTGGCACATGGACGACTTCAACTGGGGTAACACTCGTGTGGTCGCCGGCGAGAAGGGCAAGAAGGTCGTCATCACGGACGAGGGCAAATTCGACCCGGCTTCGATCCCGCGCAAGAAGTGGGAGGAGTACCAGGCCGAGCTCTGGGAGGTCCAGACCTCTCGCGAGGACGCGCGGTCGGAGATCTCGGGATACAGCTACGCCACCAAGGCCAACCAGGCCTACTCAGAGTACGGATACCCCAACTCGCGACCGGGCTCGACCGTCGGAGCCTACCCTCCGCACATGCCCCTGCCGCTGTCGCGACTCTCGTACGCAGGCTCGGACGCCATGGCCAACAGGCAGAGCACGTTTGGCGGCTCTCAGTTCTTCACGCCTGAAGACATGGTGGGCCTCCCCAGCGATGACGAGATCTTAGCTGAGATTCGCGAGATTCTACGCACGGCCGATCTCATGACTGTGACGAAGAAGGGCGTCAAGCAGGAGCTTGAGAAGAGGTTTGGCGTTCCCTTGGACGCGAAGAAGGCGTACATCAATAGCGGTATGTTTGGATCATCCATTCGTTTCTGAAAATTCTCTGCAGGATCTTTGCTAACATGTTTCGACTTTTAGCTACGGAAGCTATTCTCTCTGGTCAACTTTAATCTATCTAATAACTCACATATCGGTGTTTTTGTTGCTATTTTTTTCTCTCTCTTTTTGGAACAAAAGAAGTCTTTGTCTTTTCATCTTTTCTTTGGATATAACTTGCAGGAAACCACACACTCTCACATAAAAGGCAATCCATCTTTGCTTTATCTCTCCGTCTCTCTCTGTCTGACACTCTGTTTCTATGGCGATAATTTGATGCATCTTTATATTTTGGTTATTGTGGTTTTTTCTGGTAAATTCACTTTTTTTCTGGAAACACAAAATTGTCTCCCTTCTCTAACCCCTCGTCGTAATCATGATGGGCAGTTCTGGAACAAGATTATTTGCAAGACGGTGTGCGGGATTTGAAGTACTTGTCCTCTTTTTTTTTCCCCTCTTTTTCGAATCCCTTTTAGGGACGTGGATAGTAGGAAGCGAAAGTCTAATGAATAGAGTAAGCTATTAGCATCATTGATCTTTTCTCCTTCTCGGGGTGGTGTTGAAGTCGACCTAGAGCTTCGTTTCTTATTATGTTGAACGTGGGTCGAAGAAGGAAATGGAAAGCCCTCGTTCACTCTTTCTATGGGTCCCGGGCACCCTTCGTCCTCTTACCCTCTTCATCTCTCATGTCAGGACAGAACCCGATGCGGGACACAGGTCCGTAGACTCGATGATATGTAAAGCTGGGAAGTCACTAACAACGGGTACCTAAGTCTAGCCGTTGCACCGCGATAGCTCAGGCAGGGACCTTGTCATCGGCAAGACAAGATCCTTCCCCTCGACAGCACATATTCCGGGACGGACAAGCTCGCATCGTACAAAAAAAAGCCTGTCTCATCCAAGTCCCTTGAACTTCATGTCTTCTACAGGAGTTCATCTCCTGACTGAACATGTTCCTCGGGCAATCGATCACACGACTCTAGGGATCCGGAGCCAATCTTCATTCCGCCCACCCCGCAAAAGAGGTTTACAGACATATTCACCCAGTCCCCCAAAAAAGGGACCAATCTAGTAGGATGTGGAAAGAATAAGAGGCCAAACAATGCATTAAAAAAGAAGGCAAAAAGAGAAAGCGATATCTAAAAGCAAGCAGAGCCACATCCACTCCCCCAAAACAGTCGTAATCTCCTTCCCTCTCCTTCAAGTTTCGTGTTTTTCCTATCAAGGTTCGTTTCGACACTCCCTATTTCAACACCTTCATTCGAAGGAGATAAAACAAGAAAAAAAGAGAAGTCTAAAATTCGAGGATGCCCTCCCTCCCTGTATTCCCTTTATTCGTATACCAGAGTTTTGCTGTTCCTACAAGACAAGGGAAGGTAATAAAAGAAGAACCATATTTCGTCAAGGGAGAAGGTCAATGATCTCATTCCAAACGTTTCATTTAAAGTTTCTTCGTATGTTTCTTTTTCGTTTCACAAAGAGAGAGAGAGAGAGAGAGAGAGAGGGTTAAGATGTTCATTCATGAAAAGGGGGAGGAAGTATGTGTTTCTTGTCTTTTTTGACCGCTTGGATTTGTCGAAACCGCTAGGGGGTATTATATTCATTACAGGAAGTAGTCGGGTGTTCCTACAATATGTTAGGGCAATCTACCCCCACGGAGGACTTGATGTCAGTCGATGGGATGGGGAAAACTTACGTCTCGAAACCATTGGCTCGCCAGCGCGTGGGCATGGATCGAATTGCAAGCTAATCAGACAGGGTTAGAGAGCTGATCCATCGAGGGTACGGGTTGAAGCTTTGTGGAGGCCCGTTCGTTATAAACATACAAAGTATATTTCAGATGCTCATCAATCTCCATGATAGCGGCTTGGTTACCGCACCTGTAGCAGTAATTGGGCGCTAGGAACGAGAAAAACATATCGTTAGCGAGAGCCGGCGAGAAAATAGAGAGAGACCATCCACATACCCGAAAAGATGGTCACCACATGGCGATCTTGGGACCAGTTATATCCCTCCATCACCAACTGGTGAGCACGAGCAATCAAGGTCAAACCATTATTATGGTTAAAAGCCTCCGATATATCCTGCCCAAACGTATAACCAGCACCTCTGGGGGAAATACCCCAACCGCAGCGGTCGTCGGGATCCGACCAGAGCAGGTCGCACATGGGGCCCTCGTGGGGCACCTCCTGGATTCGGTCGAGGGCGCGGATGTTGTCGAGGGTGTCGATGCTAGGCGACAGGCCGCCGTGGAGGCAGAAGATCTGGTTCTCGATGAGGGCGGTGAGGGGGAGGTAGTCGAAGAGGTCGGTGAAGTACTTCCACACGTTGGCGTTGCCGTACTTCCTGAGGCACTCGTCGTAGAAGCCGTAGACTTGTGTGATTTGGCGGGATTCGTGGTTGCCGCGCAGGATGGTGATGCGTTGGGGGTAGCGGATCTTGAGGGCGACGAGGAGGGTGACGGTCTCGACGGAATAGTATCCTCGATCGACGTAGTCGCCTATAGGAGGGGTCATGTCGTTAGTCGTTTGGATTCCTTGAGATATTTCTGCCTTCTTTCCCCCTCTTTCACTTTTGCCACTTGGTTGGCCGTCTCCGTTTCCCCTCCATTGAGTGCAGCTCTCACTGTGATGGACTTATGATTTTATCATAGACGTACCCATAAAGAGGTAATTGGTATCAGGGTTAGGACCGCCAATCTTGAACAGCTCCATGAGATCATGGAACTGGCCATGGATATCGCCACACACGGTAACGGGGCATTTCTAGCAGTAGGCAGCGGCGGTCAGCTTGTCTCTCCTCTCGCGTCATGCTTTACCCCCGCATTCACTTCCCCGCCATTTGTATATTCGCGAGGGAAGAGCGAAGAGGAGATGGATGATGGAAACTGGCGACGGTAGAAACATACGACGGGCTGTACGTTGGATTCCTCCTGGAGGACTTCTCGCGCCTATTTTTGACATCGATTAGCGAATGAACGAAACAGACATCGACCACGGTCGCATCCGAGTCCGATAATGATCGAGCGGCATCTTTAGCGAATAAAAAGAAGGATAGGAATATCGGTGAAAGAGAGTAGGGATGTCGTCGACAAAGAGATGCCTCGATGCCAAGACGCAAGATTGACGGGGAGGTTGCTAAGTTGGGCTCGTGTCGCCTCCCCAAATCTGATCGACAGAAAACACAGGACCACGAGACGAAGAACAAAAGAAAAGACGACGAACCTTTTCGCAAAGCCTCTGGACGTCGAGCTCAGAGAGCTGCTTACAGCTCATCAGACTCTCGATCCATCCATCGAGCGTGGGGACGGTCGCGGGTTCGAGGTTGACGAGGGGCTCGGTGGGTACACGCCCGACATCTTCCATAGTAGTGTCCATCACGGGGAGTTTGGAGATGCTGTGGGGTTCTGGTTCGGGTCGGGGGATTGAGATAATTCGAACGCCGAGAGGGAAAGCTATTGAATTCGATGGCGGTTGATGGTTATTCGGGGATGTTCGCGGCTTGGATTTCTTTCGCTGTCTTCGCTTCGTTCGGATTAAGGGCTATTGTTGATTGAGGCTGTCGTTGGTGGGCAGGTTCGATGTGTGGTTTGGTTTCGCGTTGAATTGTGTAGGAACCGCAGGAGGGACGGTAAATTGAGTACACTAAATTAGAGGGGGGCAACGAGCAGCCAGGCACAAGCGCACGGGGGGGTTGAGAGATTGAGAGCATGGGAGGCGGCACAAGCAGAAGCACAAGGCGGGGGCAACTCTCATCAATGCTGTTGGTGGTGACGTTTTGGGACGAGGTAGCGTGCTCAGTGCCCCTAAAGGGGGAAATACAGGAAATACAACAGCACTACAGTAAGAGCAATATTAGGCGCGGAAATTGCAAACCAGGCACAGGGAGTGGCGCATTGATTGAAATTTTCTTGCCTCTTTTAACTTCAGCTTCCAGCCAGCGCTCAGGCATACTTCAATATCAATTAGTATCAATTTTAGCTACTGAGGTACTTAAAAGTATTAATTCATCGACTATTACGAAGTAACAATTCTGGGCGGGATGTGATGCCTCTGGTCTTCCTGGGAACCAAATCGCGGTCAATCGCTAGAATGTCACGTGTAACATCTCATCAGAAGGACCTTGATGCCATCCAGATCATACGAAGTGCTTGATACGTCGTGGTTGATTTAGGACTCCGTGGAAAATCTTCAAAAATGCAATATAAATCCTCCAGCTAACTTGAGGGGTATCCGGCACCAATACAATCGATGCCTCACACTTCTTCCTACCCAGTATATGTATCCGCACATTATGTACACCTCAAACACCTCAAACCAGGCCACTCAAATCTCCAATCCATCTTCAAAGCACCCTACTTCAAACCTAGACCCGAAGCACCATTGGCCCCATTCGTCTGCTTCAACTCCTTCCCAACCAGATTCTTGAAATCCAAACCAACCTCTGAAAGCAGCCTTGCATGTTCGTGAGCCCTCTCCATGCAATTCTTCCACACGGCGCTGTCCCGATCCGTCCCGCTCAGCTGCCTCGCCAGGATGACGTTGAACGCCTCGACTTCCGTCTTGGCCCATTTCACGCAGGCGCTCATCATCGACGGCGGGAAGCAGGCCTGGAAGCACGTGACGGTGTTGCGGATGATTTGGAAGTAGACGTAGGATACCTCCCAAATGTATAGGTGGAGGTCACCTTGGAAAATACATTGCCTGGTATCCATCGTTCCTGATTAGAAACTCTTCCGCTGCTGTGCAAATAAGGGAGATGGGGAAGGGGGTCCACACTAACCTTGATCGTTTCTGAATAATGTCGCTCCGAGCTGCAAGATAAGCTTCTCTAGCACTATCCTCAAAGCCAAGACGCGTAAGCCAATCGACGTTCCGCCTCGTCTTAGTCTGATCACTATGCGAGGCCTCCAGCTCCCGCGTGATGAGAGCCGCGAGCCGAGCACATCGCTCCTCGACCTTGAAGTTGATAAAGTCCTGCGCGACGACGTTGTTCTTGAGGCTCCTCGCCAGGTTCTTCAGCATTTCGACCCGAGCCACCGCCGGTTCGAGGTTCTGGAGAGCAATGTCGATATCAAGCTCATCCATCTGGCTTTCCACCCACCGCAGGTTCTGCTGCTTCCCGTCCACTTCGATGAGCATGTCCTTGATGTCCGACAGGGTCTCGAGCAGCTCGGTCTTCTGCAGCAGGCCTGGGTCTCGAGAGGCGAAGTAGTTGATGGTCTCCTTGGCCTTGTTGTTGGCTTCCATCTCGGATCGGAGGCTCCGACGGAGCTCTTCGACGGCCTTTCTGATGTTGAGGAGAAGAGTTCCCTTTTCGGGGTCCTCGGGCTTTTCAGTGCGATAGATGAATGAATCCTGGCCAATGCCGCGGACCATGATGGCGTCCGCAAGTTTGTTCCGGCCAGTTGACGAGTCGCTGGACCCGGCCATGTCTACAATTTCGATATCTAGCAGCGGCCAACATCGGTCCGCTACAAGCTTGGTCATGGGACCACGGTTGTCAGTTGCCCCGCTGGCATCCGCCTTTCTCTTCTTGCGTGATGCGATCAAAAGATGGTCATTGAGAAGGAAGATTTGCATGGCCCGGCGAGATTTGTAGGTGGCGTTGTCAAGCTCAATCCAAGGACCTGCATTCTGAATGACATGTCGGCCAGAGGAGTTGGGTAGGAACTTTTGCGATCCTTCCACGTTTTTGTAGAGGGCCTGCGTTCATTTGCCAAGTTAGTAATGGCGGTCACTCCACCGTTGAGATATCTTGGAAAGGGAGAAGGTATTAGGCAATACCTGCATCTGCGAGTTCCACAGCGCGCTTCTATCGGCTACGGAGCTCCGCTTATCCCGCTTGCTCATTCCCGAGGACAACTCTCCGTCGAGAGCAAGGTCACCCGCCCCCGCCGAACTGGTACGTAGAGCGGTGGTGTTGGCCTTGAGCTCGGCCATGAGATTTCTCAGAGTTCGCATTTCCCCTTTGAGCTTCTCCGCCTCTTTGCTGATCTTGATGAATTGCGTTCGGTTCTGGAGGACATTCTGCTGAAGATCGGCGGCGGCTCGTCCCCTCAGCTTCTGTAGGCCGTCCTCAAAATCTCGGATCTGGTCCTCGTCGACATCGCCAAGCACCTCGGCGACATCTGGAAGCTATCAGTTAGCATAAGGACAAGAAAGGGATAAGAGCCGTAAAGTACTAACATTGTTCAGCGTTGAGCTTCGGGTCTCGGAGGGCTTTCATATCAATCGGCGGCGCATTGCCTCCGCCACGTGACGGCGGTGGCCGCCGGTCTCTGTCATCTCGGTCTCGCGTGCGAGGCCTATCTCTATTCCGGGATCTATCCCGATCTTCAGCCTGATACTTATCAAAGGCGCCTGAGCTGGGCATTGGTGGTGTCGACAGGTCAAAGTTAATCGGCGCATTATTGAAGCGGGTCGAGTAGCGGCGCTTGACGAGGTCGGAGGTCTGATTCTGAAAAAGGCATTAGAAGCTAGATCCAAACAATTCTACTGATCTGGTGGGAATCATTATACTCACCTTACCCCCTTGAGGGGGGGCTGCGCGTCGACGAGCGTCCGGAGGGAGTTCAGCACTTGGCCTTGGTGGCGGCCCCCCTGGTCCTGGGGGCCCCGGAGGCCCTCCCCGAGGCGGTGTGTTGACATCTTGACTGATGGGAGCGGATATCAGCTTTGGGTTTATGCGGCCCTTCCTCTTCGGCCCGCTTCGAAGGGAGGACATGGTGATGAGGTTTGCAGGAGGTTATGGCGCTCGCAAACCGGTTCAGATTGAAAAGAGAGAAAAATGAATATATCTTTGGAGATAAAAGGCTGCGATTTCCAGAATCTACACCTTTCGGGCTTTGGAATAAGGCCCCTTGAGTCCAAATTAAACCGGGCTAGCACTCAGGAGGAGCTCTCCATTACTTCAAGGAGAGATCAATTGATGTGCTGTCCCGACACTGGACCTTCCTTGCTTGTCGAGGTACATTGTAGATTGTACCGAGGCGTCTCACAGCAGTTCGAGGTCTCATCACGTGATATGCAACTGTTTCCGTCTGCAGCTGTTCACTGACTGGAGTTCGACAGATGGAGCGATGCCCCACTTCAGGTCCAGCGTCATAGGTCCGTGCTCGCCAGTGTTTTCCAGTCTTTCCACCTGACGCGGCTGAATCCCGGAATACCGCGACTGCGAAAAAACTGGGTCCAAGGTAAGGCTCTTCGAAAGCTCTGCTAAAATCGGCCAGAAAAAAAAGAAGCGAAAAAACCCGGGTTCATTTTTCCAGCATCTCCATTTTCCAACGATTCAGCTTCTCGGCGGACGGAACATCTCCTTTGGTGTCTTTTGGGAATTGTACGTCTATATTACGGTTTCAGGGCTTTCTTACCTTTTTTCTATTCCTTCTCTTCAAGGCTTGGGCTGCTTATCCCGGTTTATTTTTTTTTCTTTTCTATCCTTGCGTCACCTCACCTCGGTTTTCCCCTAACGATCAACACTTTTTTATCTCCCCTAATCATCCACACTCTATCATATCCACAAACATGGTACAAACATCGGTTCTCGTGACGGCCTCGGTCGCAACCGCTGTCACTGGCGTTCTAGGTATGTTTTATCATCGAGCTGCCAAACCCAGGTACCCAATGGAAGAATGCTCTCTGCTCTGTCTCCCCCTTCAAGCAAACTTTGAGGGACCTTCCTGTTCAACCAAAATACATGGTCTCTTCCTATACTCACATACTTCCTTTCTCGAACAAAGCCTACGCCGTCTACTTCGACTACAAACGTCGATCGGAACCCGAGTTCCGCCGCAGTCTCCGTCGCAACGAACGCCACCGAGCCCGCGCCGAAAAGGAGGATCAGAAGGCCCAGTCGCAGCTGCAACGCCAGAAGATAAAACTCGCCGTCCAAGCTGCTATCGAGGATGGCTTCCCTCGTGATCCCTCCGAAAGGGAGAGGTACTTCATGGAACAGGTCTCCAAGGGCGAGGTTCTGAGCGCTGATCGTAAGTTTTCGCTCTCCCTTAAGGAAAAGGTTCTAGGATGGGGATGGAATGGGAGAAGGGGTGCTCCCTGAGGAGTCACATGGATGCGAAGCCATTTGCATCTATACGGAATGTGGGTGACCCTGCTAACTCTTTTATCCCCTCCCATAGCCAACACCACCTTTGACGCCGCGTTGGCCTTCTACAAGGCCCTCAAGGTCTATCCTTCTCCTGGTGATCTCATCGGCATCTATGACCAGACCGTCTCCAAGGTAACATTCATCCCCCCCTAACTGAAGCTTGCGCATATTTCTAAACTCTCCTCTCCCCCCAAACAGCAAGTATTAGACATTCTTGCCGAACTGATCGCCGCCGACCCAACCCTGAAGATCGGCACCAACGCCGAGGCATCCATCCCCACCATGCCCCCCACTGTCGGCCTCGACTAGACATCACCCACGCTAGAGGCTCTTTGCACTCTCGTGCTCAGCTCCCGTTTATTTGCATACATGTATTAACCTGATATTGACCCTTGTTCACGAGGGAAAGGGGTGAAAAGAAGTCGAAACCCCTCTGAGAGAAGAAGGAAAAAGAGAGAGCGAGAGCGGACTGCAAGGAAGCCAAGAAAGGGAGAAAGAACCCCTTCATGAAAAATGATTGAAGCGAATACGACAGGAGGACAACCCCCCCCCAACTCTTTCTTTTTTATTGCGCATACACACACAACCTCTCACCCTCATATTTCTCAGAATCCATTGCTTGCTATTCACTCAGAAAATCTGCTGATGAAATGGGAAGGAAAGCAAGAGGCATGGTAATGGGTTCTTTTCATTTCATGATGTGAAGGGAGGGGAGGAGAGTGTGCACAAGTGTGTTCTCTCAACCTGTATACTATTCCTGGAATGAGGTGGTTTCTATAGAGCTTGTGTAGAGAATATCGAGTGTACTATTTTCTGGTTTTGGTAACTAGGTCCATTTGGCCTGGGGAAAGTTTCTAGCAGGAGCGTTTAATGCGAGAAACACGAGGAGAATGGCCCCTCGGTTCGAAATCTGCTGTCAAGGCACGCACCAGGTTACTTTCAAACACCGAAAATTCCTCTTACACATCCAGTTCTTGGAAGTCCCTTTCAATTTTCCAATAACAGGACCAAAGTCCCAGCTTCTAACCTAAGCCTCTATCTTGCGACCCTTCCTATCAACCCTCTCATCCCTCGGATCAAACCCACCATTCCCCCAAGTCGCCCACTCAGGCGTCTCCTCACCCATATATTCCTCGGGCGTCCAATTGCCATCAGCGCCCCTCTCCTCCAGCAGCTCAAAGAAGCGATCATAATCGATCCTCGTATGCCACTTCCCGTCGACCAAGAACCTCTCGCTAGCAATCAACACGCAGCAGCTATGCGCGTGCTCGGCGGCGATTCCATACTTGAGCCCCCTCTCCTTGAGCTTCTTCTCGAGGGCCTCTACGAACTCGCAGACCTCCCAATAGAAGGGGACGTTTGTCATGCGCAGACCGTGGTTCGCCGACGTGGAGGTGCCGCAGAAGGTGACGCCCTTGATCTCGACGAAGCAGGGGAGGCCCCGTTCGACGAGGTCCGCGTATCCTTCGACTTCGTCTTCGATGTTGAAGCCTTTGACCAGCGTCAGGCGGAAGACGGTGCGGTGCTTGAAGCGCTTCTCGCGGAGGATGTCAAGGCAGCGCTGGAACCGTTCCCAGAAATCGCGGTGCAGCGGTCGGTCGATCTTGCGGAGAGATTCTCTGTTAGATGCGTCTATGGAGACGTACAGCTGCGTCACGGCCTTGAGGGCCGCGAGCTGATCGGGGTGCTGCGCGTTGCAGACGAGGAAGGATGAGATACGGTCGCCGTGGAGCAGGGCGAGGAACTCGTTGATGTGCGGGTAAAAGATAGGTTCGCCGACAAGGGACAGCGCGCAGTGTCGGATACGCATAGCCTCGGCGTAGCGCTCGGCACGCACGCCCGCCATGCCGCGCAGAACCTTGATCTTCTGGTAATGGTTCGCCTTGATGCCATCGAAGATGAGCTCGGGCGGGTCGACGACCCAGCGCCACGTCGTACCGACCGGGTTAGTGCCGTGGCGCCAGCAGAAGACGCACTTGTTAGAGCAGGAGAGGGAGGGGGTGGATTCCATGCATTGGTGCGAATTGATGCCGTAGAAGGAGAGCTTGTAGCAGGAGCCGCGACCGCGGAGGGCGGATTTGGTCCATCGGCAGATTTTGACGCCCGAGTGGGAGCCGACAATAGCGTAGCCTTGTTTTGTGAGGGAGGCGTAGGTGGGTGAGTTCTTGGGGACCATTTCTTTCGCGGCCTGGACTGGAGCCTTTCTCCTCTTTGGCAAGGCGACAGAGTCTGTTCCGTACGTGGTGAAGTCGACTGCAAGAGGTGCCTTCGCCCTAGGCTCCTTAGAGGGTAGACCTTCTACGATCTTGCCTAGATCCTCGACATCGCCCAGGTCGCCAGATGAATCTCCCGAACCCGAATCCACCAGCGTCTCACCGTCATCATACTCCTCCTCGGCCTCGCTAGACTCCTCATCACTCTCCACGGCATTACCGCTCCCCGGTAAACCCTCGCCCAAACTTCCCGTCCTCACCACCTGCCCAAGGACTTCTGTGACACCGCTCGTCCACTCAGCCATCCGCTCCTTGTAGTCCCTCTTGATATCTCCCATACCGACAGGGTACGCCCTCTTCCGGCCGGTCAACCTCGCCATCCACTTATCCACTTCCTTCGCCTGGAAGCAATACCCCTCCTTCTCATCGGGCCAGCCCTCCTTGTCGCCGAAGCCGAAGACAGAGTATCCCAAAAGCACCGACAGCGAGCCGGTGTCTATCCTGAAATCGTAATGGGTCTCCTTCAGGTGCTCTAGGAACGTGTCGTTGATGGTGTCAATGTTGTAGCTGGGGAGGAGGATGAGGTAAAAGAGGTCGATTCCCTTCTTCGAGACAGGCGGCGCGACAAAGTAGTCTTCAAAGTCGATTTCGGCCAGATCGAGCACCTCGGCCTCGAGAAATTTGCTGCGACCAGAGAGATCCGGGAGTTCCTTTACGGCGGCATCGAGGTTCGCTTTGAATTCATTGGCGATGCGCGCCGTGTTGGTGGTGATGGAGGAGAAGAAGATGAGCACTTGCGCCTCGGTGTTTAATACTGCCGGAGCTTCGGTGGGAGTTTGAGAGGAGGCCTTGGTCTTGGTTAACCCGCCCTTTATCCTTTTTGGGCCTGTTCTTTGTCGCGGTTCTCTGGTAGGGCTGGGGGTTGTCCTCGTTTTCGTCTTCGTTTCGGTCTGCGTCTGGGGGTTGGGCTTGGGCTTTTCTTGCACTTCTCGCTGTGCTGGTGCGGGTTTCTCCTCGCCGTACAATTTGGGTAGTGCAACAAGGTCTTCGTGCTCCTCGTTTGTATGAAGATACACACGAAGGCCTAGTAGAGATACGAAAACACCTAGTAATATCGGGGTCCTATATTCGTGCCACACTTCGAGGACATCTGCCATCACGACGCAAATATTAGCTAGCTTCCAGGACCAGGGTAAGTCTGGGCGAGGGGTAGTGACCTGCCATTTGATAGTCGGTCAATGGATGCGACCGGGTCGGAAACCCAGTTGATTGACCCCATATTGGCTCGTGGGTGTGTGCGGCTTCCCGCGATCGCAGTCGAAAGTCGAGACTCGTTGGATGCAAACCGAGAGACTATTGACTGGAGATTTTTTAAGGTTTTCGAAAGTGTGTAAAGAAGAAATTTGCCCCGCGATTTGGATATTTCCGGCCAGCGGACTTAGTGCGATATGGCGCCTGTACGACAAGAAAAAGGGTGTGATGCCGTTTTTGGGGGAGCAAGGGCGCCCATCTTGGCGCCTCAATTGAGCCTGGAAACTTTGTCTTGGGACTCTAACCACCCGCTTCGAACAGGTACGTGTGCAGAGACCACGAAATAGGCACTGAGAAGGCTTCGGAGGAGAAGAGGCAATCTCGTTGCTCTAGATTTTACTATATCATAAGTCCTTTCCATCTTCATTGTCCAGACCGCTCTACGAAGGTACAGCTCTATAGATACTGGTGTCCCAAACATTAATTATTTGATTTTGTCGAACGGACAGACTTCTCAGTCTCACTCTCTACAGAGGTACCATGCTGCCTCTCCAGGTCGTGTCTAATCACGTGATCCCAATGCCACACAGTGACCATGAGAGCAGACACTGTTAACGGCCCCGTGACTCGGAGCCGAAATGACGGCCAAACTGGAACTAACACGCCGATCACCTTGCTTCACAACACTAATTACTAGACCGCAACGCCGGATTAATGAGTGGGTCTTCGCCTCGGGCTTGGGGGTTCCGGAAGAGACGTCGTCGGGCGTGTAGTGGATATATCTAGCCAAAACACCCTGTTTTCTAAATCCATCTATCGAAACAGGAAAGCTTCTTTCGTTGTCGCGAGGATATCCTAAATCTACATCCACGCCCAAGGGTGCTTTTCAAGCCCGCTCCCTGATCGTGCAGTAGAAGGAAGCAAGAATTTATGTACGAGTCTCTACCCATCGCGGTAACGTCTGCTAACGGGTTGTAGCACACTACCGCGGAACGATTCGGAATCAATCAGCTCGGAAAGGGTCTACAGTAATAGCGTTCCCGAAAGGTACTCGTAGTGGCATTTTACTATGGGACATGTTCAATAGTATCTCCAAGATTACGAGGGCCATAGAGGCCGTTGTACTGACACCCTTGGGATGCTCAGCATCGCCGAGATCATGGATTTTGCGGAGCAGCCGCAGTTCTTGATCTGGAGGCCGCAGTCAATATCCTGCAACGCGGGTGCCCGTGGCCCCAGTTAAGATACTCTTACCGGTTGCGGTATTAGATTTTCCACCTCTATGAATCTACACTAAAAGTCTCCGTAACGAGAACGAGGCCGCAATTACTAGGCTGGAAGATTATGCGGCGTTGGACAGTACTAACTGGGTGGGATACCATATAAGAAAGTCGAGCAACCATGCATGAAGAAGGAGCAATAGACGCCTGACGCAGCATGGAAGTCCATTGATATACGCTTGGAAGTATAACCGCACAACATTCATCCCAAGCTCCAGCTTGGGCCCTCAAACAAATCGCCGTTCTTACAAAGACCTTATCCTCCAGATATCCTAAATCGCCTAAGGCCCATTCCCGCCCGTTGGGGGCGGCTGCTGCTGCGGCCTCGGCACAGAAGGATGATATGTCGCCATCGAGAATTCCGAAGTCCCGTTCGACGTCGTGCCCGCATTAGGATCATGGTGGATGACGTCAAAGTTCGCCGTGTTGCCCGCAGTGTACACGCTACGGACAGCTCCCGGACTGGTGCCTGGGGTCCAGGTCGCCGTTTGGTCTGGGATGAGAGGGTGGTGCAGCCACCCCGGCTGCCCGCGGCGCCCGATGTGGGACGGCGGGGGGTTGAGCGGGAGGTTCGTTCTGTTGCCGAAGTAGCTGGGGTAGGGCGGCTGCGCGTTGGCCGGAACGCCGGCTTGTTGTTGCCGGGCATCGCGGGCGTACATCCAGGTCTTGGAGTTGGGGTCTTGGCCGTTCCATGGGACGCCGTTGAAGTCATACTAAGTCTGGTTGTGAGAGACGTGGAACTATAATGCGGGGAATAGCTTAGCTAGGAGAGAAAGTGCTGGATTTGGGCCTGGGCACATACATAGGACGAGCAGGTGGGCGTACGACCCGGCGGGGCAGGCGGGTTTGAGGTGGACCCGCTAGGAGGAGGTTGACCACCAGCTGGGGTAGACATGGTACTAGTGGAGGCAAAGACAACGGAAGGAGCACGCTCAGAAATGAAGGGAGGAAGCTATACGATCCAGAAGGCGGTGGTTGATGTGCTTGGGAAAGGTTCCTCGAAAGAAGACGGCGACACTACCTACACCTTATGTGTTCAAAAGGAGGCGGCAGGCGGTAGACAGGGCTTCGGGGGTCCTCCATCCCAAACAGCCTGCTGCCCGAAATACCGGCACATCATCCCCTCGCATATCGCTCGGTTGGGGGTGTGTACCCCCTCCCCCCTTTCTCCCCCTCGGGGGCTTACATGTCTGACGGCTGGCGGCACGAAACATGCCGAGAAGGGCGAGCCTTGCATCACCGGGTGGCTCGAAAAATGATGGCCCTCGGGCCTGGGAACACGTTCACGGCGTCGCGTCTCGCAGATGCATATCGTTCCCAGAGCCAACCGATGTGGCATTTATTCCGACCGTCTAGGAAAGTGGTTCTCAGAACTCTAATGGACTTTCTCCTCGGACACTCTGCGCTCTGGGACTCCTTGGTTGGAGAGCCGGGACGAGGCTCGGAAGCGCATCCGTCCGCTGTAGGGGCCGGTGGTGTCAACGAAACACGTAGGCTTTGTACGACTGTGATATAGATACCACGGGGTTAGTCCGAATTGCTCACGCGGGAAGGTTATTGGTGAGGGATGCTCGCGCCACGTACGAAGGTGTGTGGCACAACATGACTACCCCCCTCTCTCAGTCTTCGGAGCCTGGTGGTTCGATCGACAATAATACGTGTATAATACATATATTTAAACTGCCTTGGACAAGACGCGAAGGTGTGAAATTGGAGCAGGCTGGGAAATGGAATTGTATATTTCCCCATATGGCCGATGAATGGGTGTCATAATGTTATACAGAACGGTAGTCCACCCCGAATATATATTCGGAGTACTACATAAACTACAGTGGCTTCAATCGGGCTCTCCTGCATCCAATGTTTCTACGAGCCTGCCACAACCACAACCACAATCACAATCACAATCACAATCTCAACAACAACCCCGCATCTCAATCAACTTCGCATCTCATTTCGCCTCACAACATCCTCCAGTCCAACCACCTACCATACATCCTTTTCCCAACATCCGCCGACTCTCCTTCAAAGCCCAAAGCACACCACAGATGGCCGACATGGAAGACATCCAAACCGACCTCCAAGCCCTAGAGGGCAACCTCACGGACCTCATGGGGCCCGTTTTCAGAGTACTCAAGGCAACGCTGGAATACCCGGCAAAGCCCGAGGTCAAGGCGTCCAAGCTCGCCGATGATGTGACATTCTTCACCAAGGGGGATAACGGAGACGCAGTCCTTTGGCAGGTCTGGTGGGTTATATTCGACATCGCGAGCGTAGTCCCGCCCGACCACGCGTGGCAGGATAGTCTCGTTCAGTGCCTTAGCCTCCTCCGCGAGCGGGACGAAGTCATTACGCCGAAGATAGAGGTGAGAAATTCTTTGAAAAAAAATGAAAAAAAAAGGGGGGGGGAGGGGGGAATTCTAATTTAGCGAAGTGTACTGAAACAGGGTCGCTGAGCAGGGCGCACCAACGTTCAAGGACCTACCAGGCCTATCACTAGCAGCTATTGAGAAATTTGACGGTACGAGAGATAAAGAAATGAAAAAAAAAAAAAAAAAAAAAAAAAAAAAAAAACATGACAGCTTCCATAAAATATCTTGCTGACAGTTCCGCAAACACGCAGCCTACGATCCCTCCTTCGTTGGAATCGAGAGCCCAAATCTAGCCCACTGGAAGAACCTCCAGTCATTCTTTGCGCGGCTCACTCACACCGGCATCATCCGGCAGCTCAACTTCGCTATCTGGGAAATCCGGGAGACTATCGAAGGAGACGAAGCCCAGACGCTGAAGGGCGCCGAGCTGGAGTGCCACCTCTGGGCCGTCAGCGAGTGGCTCGCGCGCTGCACCAAGGAGATATTCGAGCTGATGAGCTGGAAGGACGAGGTCAAGGAGTCGGAGGCGCAGTCGCTGAGGACGGGGAAGTTGTGCGAGGGCGTTGCGCCGTTGAGTTTGGAGAGGTGGGAGTTCTGGAGGAAGAGGTTGGCTGATATTGCTGCTGATCGCGGTAGTCTGGAACTCGGAGATTCTGTCGTTGAGCGGATAGCCGAGGTCTTGAGGAGAATGGACGCCATCGATGGTCGCCGCGCAGCCGAGTCCGTGGTTCAGGCTGGGAGCAGTGAGAAGCCCCAAGGAGAGAAGGTTGGGAGTGATGGCGCTGAGGGTGCCGAGGCTAAGAATCTCAAGGCTTCTGATTAGGGGATCAAGGGCGACGAGGCCAAGGAGATTTCTGCTGGAAGTTCGTCGTCGTCTAGAGAGGACATGCACGCAAATACCCTTATTGCTAATTAACATAATATGCCGGTTCGCATTGTGTGAAACTGTTGTGTATCTTATCATTATTCATATCTAAAACAAGCACAAACCTCTCTTTGCGCTTCTAACCATATCATTAATTCGTAATATCCCCCTCATATTCACATTCTGCCATGGTACATATTAGCACGGTCCTATATATACTCTTCCTAGAGTGAGAGGGGGAAGGAAAGTTTTCATCTCACCTGTCAACCGGGCTAAGCCCTAACAACCTCATCCCATTCTCTAACACTTGTCGAGCACCCTCGTACAGCGCCGCCCGAGCGAGCATTACGTCTCGGCCCTCGTTGGCCCCGACCACCTTGACAACGTCGTAGCATGACGAGAGCTGGTGAGTTAGTCGAAACAAGTAGGTCAGTATGGCAGAAGGTTCGAGATTCTTGAGCGCTGTGGCCGTCACGTCTGGATACTGGGCCATTAGACGCAACAGGTCAACGCAATGTTGTTTAGCCGTGACATCAACATCAAGGGCTTCAGGGTTCTCAACCAGGTAACTAGCAAGCTCGGCACGATCGAGCTCCGCCTTTCGCAAAATGGAGTTCAACCGAGCGTGGCAGTACTGGAGGTAAGGGCCCGTATCACCCTCGAAAGACGTCACCCTTGTGATGTCGAAGGGATAATTGTTGATACGCTTGCCCGACATGTCTTGTACCATGACGGCGGAGATGCCCACGGCTTCAGCTACGGCATCAGGGTCCTCAACCTGGGCGTACTTGACGGTGTTTCGGCGCATCACCTCATGCATAGCCTCGCTCGTCTGGTCGAGAATGTCGCTCAGCAGCTTCACGTTGCCGAGCCGTGAAGACATGCCCATGACCCTGCCAAAGTTGACATGTTGCACGCGGGCCTCGAGGTCGGGGCGTCCGAGAAGTGCAAGCGTCTTGAAGACACGGCGGAAGTAGAAGTCTTGCTCCGTCGAGACGGCGTATATCATCTTGTCAAAGGCGTACTTCTTCTCCCGTTCCAGCACGGCGGCGACGTCCCGCAACAGGTACGTGGTGGTACCAGTACGTCCACGAACGACGGCAACGCCGAGGCCCTTAGCGCCATTCTTGTCGAAGTTGATGATCCAAGACCCATTGTCTTCTTCGTAGACGCCCTTCTCCTGGAGTAACTTCTCGACTGTCTCAACGGTGGTGGCTTGTACTTGAGACTCGCCGGAATACTCGTCAAAGCCGATATTACGGTGCGCGTACGTCGACACGTACCTTTCGATGCTTATATCTCTAAACCGTTTCCATAGGGCCATCGCTTCGGCATCGCCGTCTTCCATGCGGCGGAAAAAGGCGTTGCGCTCAGCATAGAGTCCTTTCGACTCGATCTCGGTGGTGTCGAGGCCTTTATCACGGGCTTCCCTGCTTGCGTCCTGTTCAGGTTTGAAGAGAGCATTGATTCGTGCATAAACATCCAGCAAATGTTTAAGCGGCTCCCTGGCCAGCTCCTCTTCAGAACCAAAACGCTGCCAACCAACGGCCAGAAGCCCAAATTGTTTACCCCAATCGCCAAGATAGTTGATCTTTACGACGTCCCAGCCCATACTCTCGTACAGGTTCGAGATGAACGCGCCGATGATGGTGCTGCGAAGGTGTCCCGCATGGAACTCCTTGGCAATATTGGGCGACGAGAATTCGACAATGACCTTTTTTCGGCCGAGGTTGGGAGAGGCCGGGTCACATAGGCCCACGTCTAGGTTTCTGCCGTACGATCCCTGCCGCTGGAAGATGTATGGGAGAAGTAGTTGTGGGAGAGGCAGTGGGTTGAAGAAGATTGGCAGATAGATCCCCCGAGCAGTCGGCTTCTGAAAGAGCGGATGGTCATCGGGGAAACTGGACGCAAGCTCGATGCATTGGTCATCCGGCTTCTTCCCCTTCAAGCGCAGGCGAGGTACGGGCAGCGTCAAATCGCCATGGGGTAGGGTGTTGGGGAGTTGGATGGCGTCGTAGGCTAGGGTGACGTCGCAGCCGGCAAGCTTCGCTAAGACGTCGGCGAGGTAAACGCGGTAGATGTCAAGCGGTCGACTTAACGGATAGACAGGGAGAGTTTCGTGAACGGAGGGAATGGAGCTCGCGCCAACGCCCGCGAACAGTTGGTAGAGGCTCTCGATCGTTACTGTCGACATTCCGTCTGTGAGTGCAGTAGGAGCGTTGATCTAAGTGATTGTTTAAGTTGGCTGTCTCAAGTCAACGGATTCCTTATGAAGTCCGTTCTACTGGGGTTCACATGTAACTGCTGGGTTGAGTTCAGTATTGCCATCAATGACTCACGAGGTTTGATTTCGGGTCCATCTGAAGGCGGCTCAGGACGCGACTGCATTGTCCAAACTCCTCGATGACTCTTGGGAAGGAGGCAGGGAGCAGGGAACGGGAATGAGTCAATGAAGCGGCAGGCGCTGTCCACCGCGAAGTCCTGGGATTCCCCGTGCCCGGAACCGCCCTGTCGGTACCGGACCTGATTGGTCAGACTTGGGAAACGCGGTGGGTGAATATAATGTGATGGCTCCTTCCTCTGCAATTGATGGCACCGGTAATTAATCCAGGCGCGGGCAAGTCCCAGATGCTCTCTTCGCACTAAACATGATCTATTCGATTGCCTTTTACTAGACTCTACCAAGGTACTCTAAACCAGGTTTGTAGGTGAGGGAAAGTGAAGGACGCGCATGGTTTCGATATGTTAAACTATTAAAATACTTGAAGGGGCTATTGCTGTATTGACTAATTAGGAAAGAATTGGCCGGCGCAACTGATGGCTTCGTTACATGTAGAATTGGGCTGCTACGGCTGCCGTATTCTGCGGAAAAATTGTCCTTGTAAACATGGAAGGAACGATAATGATTACAGGTCGATCGAACAATTGGTCCGGAACAACACTTGTTCTGATCCGTGAAATCCCAAACCACTTTGCTACTGAGAAGAACTGTCGGAGTTGAAACTAATTTCCTCCAAAAACAGCTCCTGAAAGCCCAGCCCGTTCCATTTCCGCACACACACACACACCACACGCAGACACTAATAACAATGCAACACATTCCAGAGGGAGGGTTGAACAGTTCCACGCTACGAATCCATGACGAAACCAGGTTTCCGTATCACGCCTATGCCAAAAACATAGGCGTGGAACATCAGAATATCCTTCTCCGTCTGAAACGGCCTGTTTTCACAGCGGCAATTAGGGATTTCTAGGACGTGGGAAAGGGTGTGTCTGTGGGCTGCGAGTAAGTTCATGTTTCCTTCGTTTCATTTTCCCTTCTTAGTTCGTCATAAGCCATCCTTCTTCTAACATAGACTTTGTGGTTGAAACCAACTTTGTTCTCGCAACTCCTCACGTCACTTCCTCGAGGTCAAGTCTAAAACCGAGCCTCAGTCAAGCAGGCCAGAATCTCATTGTATGTCACGTGGCTGCGATTGTCTAACAGTCTGCACATCAATGCCCCACCTCATCTCATCTCACCCATCCCACCCCTCTATCACCAACCACCATTGTATGTTCGCGATTTGGTTTGATCAGCCCGAGACAATGGCCCACCATCGACACCAAGCCTCTCTTGAGAGCATCATAAATTTCTCTCCTCCTCCCCTACTCTCCGCCAACCAGCGGAATCATGCTTCCCGCAGATTTTACCAGATCATTAATCACTTCGACGTTACTGGAGACGCTAGGCCCACCCGTGGCACCTACAACGTTCCTCGACTTATACGGCTCACGTACGAGTATGCACTCTCCGAGGAGTCTCGGGACCTGTTCCTCCAAGCGTTCTTTAGGGCTTTACAACTAAGGCTAGACGATGAGGAAGATGTTGACCTTGGAGGCAACCGAGAGGAAAATATCCGAGCTGATATGGTTGGCTTTTCCGAGTATTTAATGGACAATTTCTACTTGCCTCGTGCGTCATTCTCCACGTTGCCGTCCTGTCCTTATGGCTAATAGTCGCGATACAGTGAAGGCTGCAACAGACCAGACCCCTCAGCCCTCACCGGTTTATCATTCGGCGGTTCTTATGGTTCAGGGACGTAACAATCAGGAATATGCTACGACGCCAACACGTATCGCTGCATTACGAGGTACAACACTTATCCGCGATCATCATAGATGTGTGATATCTCGAGCTTTCGATATCGACGAGGCGGAAAATCGCATGGATGCTGAGGGTGAGGGTAATGCTAAAGATGACGATGGCAATATACTCTCCGAGCCATATGGCTATCTCGAGGTTGCTCACATCATTCCACATTCGCTAATGCGACCCCAAGGAAATTCTGAGGTATGTAGCAAGAGAGTTGACATTAAATTAAAGTAAAATAAAATCAAAGCACTGATATATGATGGACTTAGTCTCGGCAGGCTGCTCTTGCCATCCTGAACATGTTTGACATTGGGGTCGCTCGTCTAATCGAAGGAGTGGAAATTGATCGACCGTTCAACACGCTGAGCCTCCGCCCCGAGTACCACAGACGATTCGGCGCGTTTAAGCTATTCTTCACCCAGTTACCAGACCAAGGGCCACACACATATCGAATTGAGACATTCAGAGCCGGCCTTGCGGCGTTGGGACCGGCACTTCCACTCACCCGAACTCTCCTTCTCAGCCCCGACCGTAACATCGACCCCCCTTCTAGTAGGCTTCTTGCTGTTCACCGGGCTGTTGCCCATATTCTTCACCTCTCGGGTGCGGGGGACTATATAGACAAGTTTCTGTCGGATATGGATGACGGCTGCGTAAGAAGTGATGGGTCTACAGAGCTAGATCGTTTTGTTCGGCTACGGCTGAGGGATACTGAAGATGGGGTTGGTGTGCACTGAATCGGGTGAGAGATGCGGTGCCCCACCGCCCATCACCATACCAAACTACCGCAGACTCCTTTACCGATGGGGATGTGGTATGGGACTCCGGAATGTTCGAACAACGCCAGATCTCGGCTGCCACCGGGTAATCTACCTAAGATTTCACAGTTCAAAGGCTTTGCAATTTAGAAGCATTTCGACCGGTGATCCTTGAATAGAACCTCAAATCCAAAGGCTCGATCGCCTGGAATAGCAACCACACCCAATTGGTTCATCCGCTACTTAAATCTAGATTTAGCTGACTGAGAGAAAAAGAAAAAAAAAATTAACTACTTTTCCTCCTTTCCCTCTACTCCTCAAGCGGCGTATCAGCGTAGTTGGCCTGCGAGTGTGCTTCCATGACCCTCGCGCCAGCGACCTCATCCGCCAACTTGCGAATCTCCTTTTCCTCCTCCTCTTCAACCTCGACATCAAGAGCCCCAAGGTTCTCCCTCAGCCTCTCTGCCGACTTGGTCCCAGGAATAGCAAAAAAGTCATCACCCTGCGCCAACACCCAAGCCAACGTCAACTGCGCAACTGTAACCCCCTTCTTCTTCGCCAACGCCCCAATCCTATCCGCTAACTCCACATTCTTCTTCAAATTGTCCTCCTGGAACCACGGCAGGCCCGAAGTATGCCTCATATCCCCCTCCCCACGCACATCCTCCACACCCCTAATCGCGCCCGTCAAAATGCCCCTACCAAGCGGACTAAACGCCACGATCGCCACCCCCAACTCCCTCGCCGTCTCCAAAGTCTTCGTCTCGACCTCGAGACAAAACGGACTATACTCATTCTGCACACAAGCGATCGGATGAATCGCGTACGCCCTTCTCAATGAAGCAGCGCTCGGCTCGCTCAACCCGATGTATTTGATCTTGCCTTCGTTCTTGAGCTCGACCATGACGCGCATCGTCTTCTCGATGGGCGTCTTGCCGTCCAAGCGGTGGATGTAGTACAGGTCCACGTAGGGGAGGCCGAGGCGCTGCAGGGACTTTTCGATGGAGGCGCGGCAGTGCTCGGGGGAGGTGTCGATGGTTATGCCGGCGGAGGGCGTGAATGTCATGCCGAATTTGGTGGCGAGGAAGATGTCTTTGCGCTTTTCGGGGTTGGCGGCGAACCATTTGCCGATGAGGTCTTCGGAGTCTCCGTAGAGGTTGGCTATGGGGGTGAGGAGAGAATAGTAGTTAGAGACATACTCGTAACTGAAAAGGTATGAGAGGGAGAGGGGGAGAAAGAAGGGTGGTTCTTGTTCTCTTACCTGTATCCCAAAAGGTTTCTCCCATTTCCCATGCCTTGGTCAAGAATTCGAGACGCTCTTCGTCGGAGCGTGCTTTACCATAGGCAACGCTAAAGCCCATGAGGCCGAGACCGAGACGGGGAACGAGAGGGCCATCCTTGCCAAGAGGACGAGTTGGGAGGGTGTTTGGGGGAGCCATAATGTTATCTTTTTTTCAAGAGAATTCTCAAACAATGTGACCTTTTTGATTTTTCTGTACTTTCGAATCTGAGTTGATGATGAATAGAACGAGAATAATTTCAGGAAAAGAAGAAGTCGACTTGGACGGAGGCAGTCCCCGTTTATATAACCCGAGATTTCATATTCCCCTTTCTTTGACCTTCGCACGACTTTCTCCTACAAACCCCCTCTCTTAGAATTTTCGGCCTTTGCCCTCCGTTAATCTCCGGATCTTCGTCTTCTCTGACTGGCAGTGCAACCAAGCTTCATGATGTTGCTGGTTGAAGATGTCGTTTTGGACTGGAGCGAACTGACCAATCAGCGTTCTTCCGCCGATTAAGTCCGGGATGCCGGACGAGTCACGGCTCCGATGCCCGAGGCGGAAACCGGGAGGGAGGAGACAAAAAATAGAGATTCAAATAAAGAAATGATATTGTCAGCTTGGAATTCTGAATTTTTTCTTTTGTTTATTTTTAGCTTATGGTCAATACTTTAGAGATGGGCGGCGTGGGAAAGCGCAGCAACATGGCGCCTCCGAGTCTTGAATGCATTGAAGAAGATGACGATACTCTCACAATAGGCACTATTCAAAGTGTATATCAAGTTCATTCGCTCTTTACAATACCTGTGAAAGCAACTGTCTTATTGAGAACATTTCCTGCTATCTATGTTTTTTAAGGCAACCTTCATGGGCGTGGTGTTTGCGCTGTCGAGGAGCCAACTCTCAGCCACGACGTCAAAAAGCAATGAACTTCGATGAATCACTAAAGAATTTCCTTGAAAGTACAACCTCAGCCACAAATATAGACCGCGAGAATCGATCATTTTGGTGCTTGTAGTCCTTTGTAGAGCTTTCAAAGAGGACGCTGCTGAGTCTACGCTAGCTTCGTGGTAGAAAAGCATGAACGAAGGGAACCTTTGCTCCCTTGGAATGGATTCCCAGATCCTGAAGCTCCAGTTTCGTGGATTTGACTCGCAACTCTCCCCAGTATTTCTTTCATGAATCCGTAGCTCTTTTGAGTTTACCATATCTCCAAGAACAATAAAGGGCGCTTCGCTTGGCTGGCGCAAGGGGCAAGGCATCGCAGTCCGCAAGACAAAGGCTGAATCACTCTCACACGCGCCCAAGTCCCTGGAGCAAGGAAACCCGCATTTTAACGATAGTCGATCAACAACATAAAGGCGTACTGTATACCCAGTCCATTAGAAAAAAAGTCTAAATCCACCATCCACATGGGCGACCAAACGTGATCAAGCTTCACGCTAGTCCAACGGGTCAAAAAACCGAACGACAAAAGCCGACCGAGGGAACGTACTAAATGATACGCAGAAATTCCCGAAAAAAAAACAACCGGCACCAATTCTCTAGATAACACCCTTCACTTTCCAAATCTTCTCTCTCCTACGTCCATATCCCTTTCTCCTTCCCCGACTCGAAGAGGCACTTGCCCCCGTAACCCCCTTGACCAAATGTGCCACGGGAAGGTAACCCAGTTCACCTGCGGCCACCGCCTCGAGTCCATAGTCTACCGCTGTCCCCAGAGCCGCTCCTCGCCTCCCTGCTTCGTCATATCTTGGGACCGCTATCGGATCAACGACACCTGCGCCGACTGCGACCCGGAAGCTAACATCCGCGTGGTACAGGCCACGTATGAAGCAAAGCACTCTGAGCTCATGACGAAGATGAGAGAGGCCAAGAAGAAGGGTGATAGCGCGGTCGTTGAGGCATTAACTAAAGAAGTCATGTCGCTTGTGGAGTGGCAGAAGAGAACTATGCGACGAGTCGTGACGGTTGGGAGGCCTAACGTTGTCGTAGCCACCTCGTCTCAAGAGACGAAGCTTAACAACGCGTTGAGCGATAAAAAGAAGACGTGATAAAGGAATTAATCCTAAAACGGAGTGGAATGAACAACTGAGGAAGCAGGGCATCCGCGGGGTACTGACCCAGGACGTCGCGTGAGTAGCTCACATGGATTTCGACACTGTGCGCCACAAGACCTCACCCGCGCTCACCAGGCACCTTGAAACCCATGAGTCCACTCTCTCGGCGCCTCGCCGGGTCCCATCGCCCTCGCAATCTCATACATCGAGGGTTGGCCATTGACTCCTTCACCCTTCTTGCCCTTCACGGCGTTCTGTTTTTCAAGATCCTTCTTGGTCATCACGTACTTCTTCACGCGGTCTTGCCCAATCTTGCCCGCCCGTCGCTTGTCTGCCGGGATCCGGAGGAACGGGATAGCCACGACTGCTTCGAAGATGTTCCGGACCTTGTCTACTGATACTTGGTGCCTCTTGGCAACTTTTCCAAACGGGAACGCCTCCATGGCCGTGTCGGCGATGTCGACGATGATGTGCTTTCCGGCGCTAGGTTCTTGATGCGCAAATTTCCTCGGAGGTTGAGTCTGATGTGCTTGCGGCTTGGACTTATTCGGCATTGGCTGGGAAGTCTGATCTGCCATCTTGGGCATAGCCTCCATCTGCGGTTGGGCTGGTAGCGCCGGTGGTGCCATCATCATCCCCTGCGCCTGTGCATTTTGCAGCATGTATTGCTGATGAGGCGGAAAACCCATTAGAGCGGGCGACCCTGCACCTCCGGCATTCATGCTCATGTTCATGGTGTGGGGCGTGGGAAACTGCGCACCAGGAGTAGTATGTCCGGCCTGCATGGGTGTTGGAACGAAGACGAAGTTGTACCCGGTTCCGTTATGAGGACCGTGGCCATGAGAGCCACCCATTAGCCCATTAACAAGACCCGGGTTCGGGAAAGGTGACAACCCACCCCCAGCAGCAGCAGCTGCTGCTGCTGCCGCATTCTGAAGAGCTGCCTGCTGACGAAGAGCGAGACAGACGCGACAAGGGCCCTTTACGCCTGGTGTTGATTGGTGATGCCCTACCCGTTGACCAGCTTGGACCTGAACTTGATGCTGCAGCATTTGGGTTTGCGTTGGGAGTTGTGGTTGGCACTGCATCTGGGATTGTTGCATCAACTGTTCCTGAACTGGCTGCTTCGGGGGCGATTGAACCTGAGCCGGCTGCACTGGGATTGAGGGTGCTGGGGTGAACGGAATCGGAGTCGGCTGCGGCTCAGAGCAGTTCTTAGACGAGCCGTGCGCGTTTGGGGAATTATTTTGAGCACCCTGTGGTTGTACCTGCTCGGGTTCTACTTTCTGCACAGATTGACTGGGGGGTGGCGGACCAGGCTTCGTTCCCGAGTTAACATTATCATTATCCCCATGAGCCGATTCGGTAGAGCTTGATGACCATGACTGAGCTTGTTCGGTCCGAGCTAGAATCATAGACATGATCGCCCTCGGGTCCTGTTGCGTAAGCTGTTGTTGCTCCCGAGGTCGTTCGTCTGGAACATTTTCTTGCCTCTTTGGGTTTTCCTGGGTTCCGACGGCCGACCAGTTCGCGATTGCAGAGCCGTTCCATGTGGAAAGACCAAGGGTTTGACCATCGGCTCTCCCTGCAATATTCCCTGCTGGCGTAGGTGTTGACAGTTGAGTAGCACCATTATGGAGCTGATGCGGTTGAGCGCTTGGTGGCGGCGGTTCAGGCCCCGCTGTAACAATGGAATTGCCATCAACCATCGAATTGGTATTATTCGCAGGTGCCTGAGGAGGGACACCACTGTTCCCCTCGACGCCCGAGACAACGTTGCTGCCGGCGGACGCGTTTTGCGGATTCGAATCGGCTGTCGAGTTGTTAAGCAGAGGCTGCGAATGACCCCGGTGGAGAAGATTTGGGGCTATTGTCTCAGGAAGCTGCCTCGGAGAAAGACTTGGCGAGCTCCTCGAGTACCTTGTCTGTCCACTCGGAAAGCTCGTCGGAAATGCAAAGTTATCCATTGATGGGAGCGAAGTCATCCTGCCATTCGCCTCGGGTATACCCGGAGGCCTGGCTTTGGGTAATGAGAGCAGGGCTGCCGCAGGCGTTGCAGGCTTTAGACCGCTCGCCGTTGGGTTTCCCAAACCTTGGGCAGAGGCGGCAGAGGCGGCTTCCGACAGCGTTTTTAGCTTCTTCTCATCGGTGACCCTGGGAGGGGGCGTTCCTGTAGCTGCCGAAGGAACGCCCGATTCCAGCTTCCGTCGCTTAACGGGCTTCTCGAACACGAACTCAACATCGTCATCGGGCCGTTTCGAGGTAGTCGGCTGGTTAGGTCTCGGGAAGGGGCCCGAGATGGACGGAATAGATGTCAGCGAAGGAATTCCAATTCGAACCTGCTGAAAAGGGGGTTGCGGCGGAAGAGGAGGCAGGATAGGGGGTGCCAGTTGTGGAGGAGGTAGAAGCAGACTTTGGGGAGCGATGGTAGGTCCGCTGGGTATTGAAGAGGGATGATGTATCATGGAATGGTGCCGAGTAAATGCTGGCTCTGGTGTACTCATTGGCACTTGGAAGTCTTCCTCAGAAGATAGCAGCATGGAAAACATCTTGATGAGACGAATCGCCAGGTTTCTTGTTGCCTGTGACTGTGTTGCGGGCAGACAGGACTAGGAGAAGGGGAGAATCGATGGGACGTCTGATATTTGTACTTCCAGAGCTATAGAAGTGCAGAAACAGCACTTGCTGTAGATGGACAGACATTAAGATAGATCCACACAGCTTCTCTCCTTGCATGTAGGAGCCCAGTCTCCAAAGGCCAACCTCAGCTTTCCCCGCCATCATCTCAATAGCAAATATCAGTGTTAAAATGTGTTTCTGAGGTTTCAAAAGCTTGCTCTCTTCAATGTATGAAAAGACGTTGGCAAAACAAGGATGGCAAACATGGTCATTGACATGGACCTGGCTGGCTGTGAGCTCTAAGCCACAGGATAGTTACCATGGAGCCCTTCAGCTTCTGAATGAACCTAGGCATCTCAGATCTTGGGTCCTTAGGAAAAGGGGAGAGCACTCATCAATTATAATCCTCTAAGGAATGCGAAAATCCTCGACTTCATTGAGCCTGCAGCTGTGATAGAGTCAATGAAATCCAGGGAGGCAAATCACAGCTCAAGAAGGCTTGACAAGCAGGAACAATCTCTCAGATTAAAAGGAAGCATCAAATCCCCAAATCTAAGCTCACAATTGCAGCTCTCAAGCTCTCCAATGACGTTGCTGCATTGTTGAGTGGGATGTCTTAGTCAGCAAAACAACCCCTCCAAGCAACGTCCAACATCCGCTGCATGAACCAACCTCACCTCTTCTAGGCTCCTGCCTAGCTAATATCACTCCCTCATTAAGAGATCCTAAGCTTAATCCTGGGACTTATTTCTTTCTCAACTTACCACTTCCTTAAACCTCTCCCAGATTTGGACCTAGAGTGACAATCCAAGAAAGCTTCAGCTCCCAACCTTGAATCTCGTCAACCCCACCTCACCCAACAAACAACTACTTCAACACACTGGAGGAGCCGTCGACATGGCTTCCCCTTCAAACCCCCTTCTCAGCAGCCATCAGCCTTCTGATGTGCAAGTAATCCTCCATCCCCTTGTCCTCCTTACCATATCAGACTACATCACCCGCCACACCCTCAGAGAACAGTCTGGTCCTATCATGGGCGCCCTCCTTGGGCAGCTCAATGGAAGAGAGATAACCATAGAGCATGCCTTTGAATGCAACACTGTCGCCAATCCAGATGCCCCCATGGGCTACTCTTTAGACCATGCAAGGTTCATCAGCCGCCTAGAGCAATGTTGGTGTTCCTCCTGTTCCTCCCCCTTCCTCTCATCCTATTGGGCCCCTCTGCTTACTCTAATGGCAAACCATCACAGTCAAAACGGTACACAAAGACCGCATGCTAGACCTAGTCGGCTGGTACACCCTCATAGCCAAGACCGGCCCAACCCCCGACATCCTCCCCACCCACACAACCATGCTCGACCTCAACGACTCCACCCTCCTCCTCGGCTTCCACCCGGACGAGCTCGCCCACCACTCCATCGGCGCCAAGCTGCCCCTCACCATCTACGAGAGCAACTACGAAGCCGACGACGAACAACAAGATGACGAGGATAAGACCATGCAGGACACCGACCCCCCTCTCAAGCTCAAGTTCCGCGAGCTCCAGTATACCGTCGAAGCCGCCCCCGCCGAGATGATCAGCATGGACTTTGTAGCCCGCGGAGGCGGCAACGCCACGGCCGTCGAGCAGCAGCAGCAGCAAGAACAACAACAGCAAAAGGAACGCCGCCAGGCTACCCCCAGCGAGGTGTCGGAGAATACCCGGGAATCCAAAAGGCGAATAGTCGCCGTCCCTGATACGGACGTGCCCCCGGACTTCGTCCTCACGAGGGAAGAGGAGGAAATGATTGGCGCTCTCACCGCAAAGGCCAACGCCATCAAGATGCTCCAGGCCCGTATCCACGTCATCCACAAGTACCTCGACCAGCTCCCCGAGTCCTTCAAGCAAGGCGACCACTCTGCCCCCGAGATGACCGATGCCGATCCAAACTTCGCCGCCCCGTCTTACACCATCCTGCGCCAGATCCAGGCACTCGTCAGCCGCCTTGAGGTCCTCGTCCCCTCCAATGAACAGGCTTTCCGTCAAGAACTCCTCCGCGACAAGAACGATGTCAACCTCGTTTCCCTCCTCGACAGCCTCGTGCAAAGTACGCAGGCCGCCCGTGAAGTCGGTCGCAAGTTCCAAATCATCGAGAGTAATAAGCCTAGGAATCGAATGGCTGACTTCGCGGCTGACACTCACTTTACCTTTAATATGACGGAGGGCCATGAACTATTGTAAACGGAGGGGCCGGTCGTTCGCAGTGGGCTTCCTTTCTTGCGCTTGCCATTTCTTTTTCTTTTTCTTTTTCTTTTTCTCCTTCTTCACTTTACGAATACAGGTGCAGGGGCATAGCTGGTACGAGGGTTCATGACACGCTACGTTTATTTTATCTTCGGCCTCGGCCTTGCAGGGGCATACATTTCGGAATTCATGGAAAAATCCGTGGGGTTTTAAAAGCAACCATTAACGGAGTTTGGTATTCGCTTTTAGTCATAGCCATTACTGTATGGTGTTGATAGGAATAAAAACAATATTCCCTTCATTTCCAAGCATTGGCCGCTCGAATGCAAACGGAGCGGAGATGGAAACCATCGGGTTGATCTTCACAAACAAGTGCCAGGCATTAGCATGAAACAAGCATCACCGGTCGGGACAACTTCAAGAATGCAATGTGATGGCACATTTGAAGAGATACACCGCAGGCCACAGAATAATCCTCTTGAATAAAACTGCTCAAACCTAGGAATATTTATGAGTTCCGTAAGGTATCATTCTAAGAAAGCAAGCTCAACGGAGACGCAAGAAAAGACGAAAACATCCTTCTTTGTCTTTTTTGTAAACCTTTATATTTCCGTCCGATTCCCAAACAAACTCAGCAAAAGAAAGAAAACAGCCGAGTCAATAGGAAGGAGATGAAGCATGAAGCGCCGCAAGAAAAGAAAAAGAAGAAATTAGGTTGGAAGTAAGATAGGGCTGTGAGCAAAAGAGGAAGGACAATTTTAAGAAAAAGCAAACCCAAAAACCGTCTATCAGTTCATTGTCGCGTCAGTGTTGTAATCGACCGCATGTAGCTCCAAACAATCCGGAACGTGTCCACCACAACCATCGCCGCCCCTATCGATGAGGCTGGAGGCAAGAGCAGGTCAAAAGAGAATAGGAAATTTTGGCCTAGTTCCCTGGACGCTGCTTAGGCCTCGATGACGACCTTCAGGACGAGGTTACCGTCGTCGTCGGAGGTCCGACTCGCCAACTCAAAGGCATCTTTCGAATTTTCAAGTCCTTTGAATCGGTGAGTAACCATATCATCGAGGCTGGGGAGCGTGAAACCGGCTACGCCCTTGCCCTGGTTGCATAGGATCCGGATTCCAGTCTTGTATGTGTTGACGTATCGGAAGATGCCGAGAATATCAACCTCTCGAAGATGAGCAGCGGACAGAGGAAGAGTCTGAATAGGAGTTCCCATGCCAACCATAATGACTTTACCACCACACTTAGTCGCATAGAGGCTGGTGTGCATACAGACCTCCTTTCCGGTGCACTCGAATGTGATATCAACACCGTCATCGTCTTCCTCATCGCCGTCAAAGGTGAAGCCGTCGGGGTTCTTCGTCACGGCCAAGATGTCTTGCGCCAACCGTCTGGCGTGTTCCAGCTGGCTATAAATGCTCGCTGGTGTCATAATGCCGGATGAAGGTGTCGATGTGCCCGAATCTCCACCACAGCACACAGACGAGCACATAGAAGACGAGGCGTCTGACGAGGTTCTAGGAACCACGAAACCATGGGTAGCAAATCCTTTCGTCAGGGCATAGTTGACACGGCCGGCATCAACATCAGTAATCGTAACCCTCGTGCAGCCGGCCTGACGGGCCATGATGGCAGTGAGCAAACCGACGGTACCTGCACCAATTACAAGGGCGGTAGATCCGGGGGCTGGGGACGCTCTGTTGACAGCGTGGAGAGCGACTGAGAGCGGCTCCAAAAGCGCAGCAGCATCGAAAGACACATGGTCAGGAAGTCTTGAGATTGATTAGTATGGAAATGTGGGAATGTAGGGACAATTCGGCCGAGAAAACTAGCTACAGTGGTAAGAGAAGGGGGGACTCACTTGTGGCACCATTGCGCCGGGTGGTTGATACGTTCCTGAAGGGTACCCTGGTAGTGGGGGACGCTCTTCGCGCTGCTCCTAAACCGAAGCTTCTTGCAAAGATTGTAGCGGCCCTTGGTGCAGATCGTGCAGCTGCCACAAGGGACTCCGACCTCAAGCGCAACTCGGTCGCCAAGCTTGAAGCCCGAAACCTGGGCCCCTATCGCGACGACCACCCCGGAAGACTCGTGTCCCAACGACAAAGGATGGATAGCACAGAGGTCGCCGTTGGCGAATTTTTTGTAGTAGGATACATCGGAGCCGCAGATGCCTGTAGATTTGATGGCAATTTGGAGCTCCCCAAGACCAGGCTCTTCAATCTTTCTCTCTTCCTATTGAACCCAAGTTAGAGAACTGATAACGCCTTGCACCTTCCGAAGTCGCAGCCTGCGCCATCTACCACCCCTTCTTCCCGATATTCTTCACATGCCAGAACCGTCCCCACTTGTGGGTCATCCCCCTCATGGCTATCTCAGATCTCTGAGGAAGGAGTAACCTTGTGTAACCAACCAAGGCCCGGAGCCCTAGAGTAGTTGGGGGCGAAGCGTGGGGCTTCGCGCGGTTCCTGGACAGCTGAAGCGCAAGGGGCGGAGAGTGTGGCATGGGCGGGTTCTCGCAGGCACACATGTCGGTCGACAGAAATAGAAGGAGGAAAGGCTCGGGTGATGGAGCTTGAAAAAGCTAAAAACAAGGGCGGATGAGACTTTCCCCATACTTACCAGACGCAAGTCACGCGGTCCGTAGAGTACTGACGCACTAACCGACTTGGACAGCTTGGATCCATACACTGGGATCGGAGTTGACAGGGTCTCGGTGACCTCGACCATCGCCGCGGGGGCCATCTTAGGCTGCGATGACGCCGGAGTGTGTGGGATAACGTGGGATGTTGGGTGGTTTGACTAGGTTAGTCTCAGACGGGGCTTGGCCTAGCTGCCTATTAGGGAGTTGTGACTGTGTGGGATTGGCCAGTTCGTGGGAATGGGGGGGTAAGAAGTGAGTGAGGCAAATGGTCAAGTTAGGGATCACGCGTGGGGTTTTTGTCAAGGGTAGTGTATTAATCCTAGACCTGGAGGGCTGGGGAAGCTTCCTTCTCAGGCGTGGGGAGTAAAATTGGGATGGAGAAGGTTCGCGGGATGAAATATATATGTGCTCTCGGAAAGTACAACTTGCTCTTGGGAAGCGATGCGGCGAACGTTGCACTTGTGGGTGGTCCGGAGCTTTATCTCTTGGACCCGGAGCTACGTCCTGCTTCGTCCTAGCTGATGGTAAAAAGAGAGGAAGGTCCGTCCCTTGCCTGGCTGTTGCAGAAACGAGAACCTGTCCGCAATTTTGATTCCATTTGAATTGTGCCGTCGCAACGCCCCCACTCTACAAGTAGCACGTCCATCCTACTTTCTGGTTTCTAGACCTGCCCGTGCCTTGGGGAAGGCAGGATCGGAGCAGTCTGATGTGTGTGAATCACTGGCAACCAAGTATCATGGGCGGGGCCCGATCCCGTTTCCCATTTCCAATGGTGGATGGGAACAAGGGTAATGGCAACGGGACCTTAACGTTGAGAAAGCGAAAGCCGCGGCCACTCATATACGAACCAGTTATCTTGGCCGAATGGGCAAGCTTCCTGGTACATCCGGAACGAGGTATGCGCGAAAGCTAGGGAATGGAGCTGCAGCTTTCTCTTCGGGAAGGTTACCAGTCTAATTCTACTACGACTCTTACCCAGTAGAACAGGACACTCGTAGAGTACGAAGGAACATGAGGTACTGACAATCTACAGAAGTGTACGAAGGACGATGTGGGTTCCGATTGCGCAAAACTCTGCGTCGCGAGTGCGTCAGACACGCCAGTACCTTGATGTTCACAAACCCTCCTGCCTCACCACGTGCGGGTAGTGCGGTTCTCGGGGGTGGGGTGGGGCGTGTAAAAGCAGTGACAGTGACAGGAGACGATTGTTGGTTCACCCGATGAAAGGAGCTAGCGTCATTGAGAGTCCTTCGAGGAAATCGCATCGCAGCATGGATATCTTGCAAGTGCAATGCATAGCGTACAGGCATATGCATGACTGGGATCCCAGACGCTAGCAGAGATTACTTACGAGGCGTGTGCCTGAACTAGCACATTCATCCAAAGGTTGATCGAGACTCAATGTTTTCATCCGCTAGCCCCTCCCTCAACTTATATCGAAGCAGTACTTCGTAAAAGTGTGGGCAGCGCTTTCTTGAGAGCCCCTGTCTGCCGGTGATGGGGACCAGGCCAGGCCCCAGGGGGAAGGAGTAGCTCGAAAGGGGGCGTGGGGAATTTGTTCTGCATAGGGGTCGAGCTATCATGCACTGCAAATGGGTGAAAAGGACCCCACAGAAAGTCGCGATGTATCTATGATTGAGCCTTGTCACACAAGCTTCAATCCAATACCAATACTTTTTGACATGGCCACCGGAGGAGGGGACCCATCAATCCGTACCAAGAAATTGATGTAGGCGACTGGTCAATATGATAATAAAACTTTTGAGAAGGTACGGTGATCCATTAGACGTAGTTAGAACTCAAGAAACGAGCTGGTTCCTCGTCCCATACCGACACATTCGTACTTCGCTTCATTCTATGAAGTACCTGTAAATATATCCATCCACACCTTTGTGAAGTAATCTGTCGGTGTGTTGGTGGAAATCGGTGTGGAGATACGCTAAGGCATGCTGGGGTTGAAGGAGTTAGCGGCTTTCGTTGGTGTCAAGTTGTCAACTACAGTCATCGGTCTCAGCCAGCGAAGCTTCCGAGAGCGGCTTGCAGCAACACAGAACAAACTGCATGAGATAATCGCGTCGAAGTCTTGTGTCTCTGCCGTCGGAAAGTAGATTTCAGTGCCGGACTGCGGCTCGAGGCGAGCTCATAATAGATAGATAAGTCGTCATCGAGTTCGATCAGGTGCATTCGAATTGGCTAACCGCAGACTTGCAGCAATCCAGTGCTTCCAGTGCTAGGAGGACAGCATTTGAAGAGACTCACGGAAACATGGAATGGATTGGAAAAGAGCCCGGCGCCTGCAGCTTTGTTCCGAACAGGACAGGACGGTTTACGCAGATACGCAGAGAGAGTCATCGACGGTGGCCATTGATATGAAGATCAGGAGAAGCCAAGAACCACCTATTTACCGTTTCCCTCGGAGGAGGCTACCAAGTTCTTTCGCTTCTTTCGCTTGGGACAGATGATCACCTAATAACGCCGTAGGATGGCATGGTTGAGTGCCAACCGTCCGTCCACTTGTCCGGTAATAGCATTCCTGCATGCCCGGACCTTGTGCTTTTGATCTATTTTGTCTGGATCAACCAGAATCAGTGCCACACGGCAGAATTGCACCTACCCTACCACACCAAACTTGCGCAGTACATGTAGTATCGCGTTTATCAGTGGATCCAGAGTGCAAACCTTTACCTGCAATGCACGGTTTCGAGAAGTAATTGCGTGCTCACGATGGCCCATCGTGCAAATCGTGCACATACTTACTGGCTGAAAAATGAAACTGACATCTGGTTGCCGGCAGCTTCGACCAGGACATCCGGCGTTAAAACCATACACAAGAACCCGTCGCTTTCCCCTCCCTTGCTAAGCCTCCGAGATACGAAGTAAATCGTCCCAGATGCGCTCCTCTCTGACCGTGCGTTAGTTAAGTAACCTTGGTTCTCCACCCGAGAGTCGGGTGTGAATCGTAAATCCCGACGACGCAAGAACCGAGGCGAGCGGTGAAGGACACAACTGGTGCTGCTAAGAAAGAGGAAACGCGAGAACGCAGAACTTAGGAGCATTCGATACTTGCAGCACGAGGTCTTGGAAAGCACCCGCCATAGCTGCCTACAGAGACGGAAGGCCTGCGTTCAGAGTTGACAAGTGCCTGATTGATAACAACTTCGAGACATGTGCTGTTCGTAGAGGACTGCTGCCGATAGTTGAGGGCCGAGGCAAAAATTTATTTGTGGAAGGATCAAATGAGCTGTTCCCCACAAACCAATTATCCTTGGCCGAGGCGGGGCTGAAGCTTGAAGTCACAGACAATTGGGGATCTGGATACAAACACCGATTCCTTGTCCTCAATTACCGTCCTCCGTAGTCATATCTGGATGGTTAGACCAACATCGCCACTAACTCTTCGCGTTCGTTTAAATGGTGTGTTAATAAATATCTTGATGGTTATGGATCAACTATGGGACCATGGGTCATCTAAATTTTGGGAGAACAAGTCTATTCAACAACCAACTCACAAAGTTGGATTTATTTGCTGCTTGACGGAAGTTGGAATTTTGGCCGTGTACGCTCTGATCGGATCGCCAAAATACAAAGTACAATTGTACGAAGTAATCAACGATGGAAGTGGGAACACGCGCAAACGGCTCTAAACCGACTCGTTAATCTGAGGAGACAGAAGTACGAAGTAGGGCCGGAAAAGAAAGCAACAATTGAAGGGTATTAGTTCGTACTTCGTAGTGACGCATCAGGGGTGTGAGCAGAGCAAAGCAATCAAAGATTTGGATGAGTACCCCTGTGGCCAGGCCTTGCGAAGGAAGAGGCTCCGACTGACCGAGGAGAGAACCCTGAGCGTCGTTACTCCTCGACCAGTTCCCTGGCCGCTATCGCTCCGGTAAAACGCGGTCATCTTCAAGACCAGGCGGGAATGAATGACAAGAGAAGCATGGACCACAAGATGGGGGGAACGCTTGGGCAAGGGGAGGATCAGGCTGGTATGATCTACGCCAAGGGCAATGGCGTTTGGAGAGACCGGATGAACACCCGGAATGAATCCAGCTTCTCAGGGCACGTGGAGAACGCGATTGACTTCTCAATCATAACTGGAGCCGAGTCAATGCATCACTCCAAATTATTGAGAGTTACTTCTCATATCCCAATATTTCCGTAATAAATGCTGTGAGTTAAAACTATACCGGGGGGCTATCGAGCATTGTTTTTTACGTGCCAAGTACGAAGCCTGTGGCACATTGATACTGTTTCTTCTTCCCCATCAATGGTTGTGGTGCGCTTGCTTTGTCCTTAGAGGTACCTGACCCACATCTTCACTAAGATTTTCGTACCGATGTATCATTGGTCAATTCCAATTCGTGGAGATACGCTAGAAGCCGAGAAGAAACCAGAAGGAACACTGGGGAGGAAATCCACTCTGGACCCTTGTACCTGTGTACACCAATTGGTCCACCCCTTGTGCGAACCTTGGTGGGCAACTTCTATCCGACAACACCAGACGTTAACAATCGCGCTTTCCAGTCCGGAAAAGTACCTCCTGAGTTGTAGTTCCAAAACAAAACGAGAAGGTATGATGACTTTCTGTCTCCAAGATTAACCGGACTTTCCTTCTTCTAAGCCCAACGAAATTTCATGTGCAGCAATTCGGCCCCCAGCTCTTGGCCTAGCAATGTGCCCGTCAAGGTGGAGCCGAGTACTAGGAAGGAGAGCCGAACTTGAGGAAAGTGACAGTGCAGGAACTTGGAGAGGAATCAATGAATAATTTGGTGTTGCTCGGTCGTTCCTCAACATCAATGTTCCGCAGGTGCCAAGCCCTCAGTGAGGATTGAGACCTTCATATTGATGGCTTCTACATCAATCGATTTATCGCCTCGGGCTCTTTGTGTGTCTCGCCGGCGACTGCTCGGGTCTCTTGTTAGTTGAACTTCAAGTTCCCGAACGTGGCAATGTTCAATAGGCATGTTACTTCCCCAACACTCGGTTCTCCAATCCGTTCCCGACTGGCCGTGGAGCTGGGCTTGGCAATCCGGATCGCCAAAGCCCTCTTCCTCTCCGATCCCAATTTGAGGCAAGAACTTGTCCGAATCGAATCTCGGTG